ACGATTTGTCCGCAACGAATTGTCCGCGACGTTTTGTCTCGCGACGATCTGTCCGGTCACCTGTTCATCAATTTGTTCTATTGGTTTTGATACACGTAAATTTGGTAATAATAATGGTAAACGAGCATTTCTTACAATACTTATTAATTAAATTAATGGTTGACTTAGTTCTTGAGCAAATATTGATGATGAACGAATAAACTGATTCATTAAATTTTAAACTATGTTCTTTTATTAATTTATATGATTTATTTAAAATTAAATCAAAATATGATGGAATAATTAAACAAGATAAATTTTTAATATGACTAAAAATATCTTCATAACATTCTCCTAATTGTTTTGTATTTGAATGAATTTTAATTCTTGTTGATATATAATCCATTAACCAATTTCCTTGTTTAAAATAAATTATAAAAGGATGTTTAAGATCATTATTAAACCGAATTTTATCTAAAATAGATATTTGTCCTTGAAGACTACAATAAGTAAGTTTTCCATAATTTGGTATTGAATAAGCATCGAAACTTTTTCCATTTGATCGTTCTTCAATTGATGAACGATAAGGAACACGTTCAATATCAACTATAATGTTAAATCTTTTATTATTAAATTAAATTTACTTGCAGAATTTTCAAATTCTTTTAAAATATTTTTTATATAAATTATTGATTTTTCAATATTTAAAATAGATGAAATACTTAATATAACAATTGAACCGGGACAAAAATTTTCCGTAAATTCAATTGTTCGAAAAGCATTATAATCAATTGAATTTAATGATGTTAAACGAATTAATGAACTATTTTCATGTACATAAATTTTTGTACGCTCAAGTCCATTTATATATTCTATGGATTCTACAAATTTTTTAATTAATTCTTCATTTAATGGATGGCTAAGTGATGCTTCAATTAATATTTTATCAATAGGACCTTCAATTGATAATGAATTTATACGTTCTTATTTTTCTCCAACTTGAAAAAACGATGTATGAGCAATTAATAAGATTGATTTATGAGTTAATAGATTACAACGAGTTATTAATAATACTGATGTAGATAATTGATCAAACCATTAACTAAATATTATATATAGATTTAATTATTTATAAGTATTAAAATAAAATCAAACCTGAGTACAATCTTGTTGAGCACGATAAACATGTAATTTATTCAAAGCTTTTTCAATTGAAATCACTGCTGTTTTTTCATTAGTTTGATAATTTCATTTGGGATAAAATCTCGTTTCATGAATAAGATCAATATAATGTGGAACTAATTCATCATAACCTCTATTTGAACCAGTTGAGCAATTACCAAAAGTAACAATAGCTGAATGTGGAAGAACATCTTCAACAGATCTTCTTTCAACTTGACATGGATTATCATGTGCTTGATCATAATACCATAAATATAGGTTTGTTTCTAATGGTCGCATATTATCGAGAATAAATGATCCCATTGGTTCTCCTTCACTAATATTTGTCTAATTCATATGAATCAAATGCTCGATATGATTCTAAAAATAAATGTGGAAACTTCGGATTTCATCCGAAAGTTATGTGTACTGCAAAAGGTGCATGGGATATATGAGTCATTCTAGAATGTCTGAACACCAACATTATCATGAGAAACTAGGCAAATGGATTTCTGGGTGCAGAGTTTGTGCATTTTGAGACGTTTTTCAGGCGATGTTTCATCAGAAAGCTACGGTTTAGTTCAAAACTAATATCAGATTCGGAATCAACGTTAAAAACTGAGTCGATTTATATATGTTGTGAATAATTCTGAGAAAGATTTATTTTTTGAAAAAAAATTCCCTGTACTCTTTAACAAAAAATTTAAAAGAAGCGAAAAGAAAAGATATAAAAACTTTCATCAGCAAAAAATCTTAAAGGATCATCATTCATAACCCAAACATTATTAGCCATAACATAAAATTGATAATTCGTATCATTTTGAATNCTCCTCCTCAGGGATGGTCTGGTCAAAAATGACAATTTTTTCGATAACTCAACCATTTCTTGAGGGATTCTTCTCATCTTCGAACTCGACCGAGATATTCATGAGATTGAACTGTGTGGAAAATTTCATCACGGTCTGGCTCTCCTTTCGAAAGTTATCGTGCATACGGCCGGACGGGCACACTGGTCGATTCTAGAGTGTACTCACTTTTTGAGTACACAAAAACAATTTCGTTCAAAAGCTATTTTTTGCTTTTATTTAAGATAAAATTTTAACCTCTAACTAATGAATTAATTCCAATTTGATTAATACGTATAATGAGTATCTGTTTTAATGTCTCCCATAGAAGAGTTCATCATTAATATAAAAATTCTGATCAGCTTGTCTTGTATTATCCATCATTTCTTGTGCAAACCATAAAGGTGTTGGATGACAATTATCAAGGCGACAGCCATGAAATGTTGTTGCAATTAAGCGTACGTATATTCTTTCATATATGAACATAAAGCTGGTGAATCTTTACGTTTTAAACCAAAACGAAGTCTAATTATATCAGACCAATGAAGATCTCTTCGTAAATAAATCTCTTGATCTTTAACAAAAAATTTAAAAGAAGAGAAAAGAAAAGATATAAAAACTTTCATCAGCAAAAAATCTTAAAAGATCACCATTCATAACCCAAACATTATTAGCCATAACATAAAATTGATAATTCGTATCATTTTGAATTAAATGATCAATATCATCTGGATGTTTAAATTCTTCATTGGAAAAATGAAAATAATTTCTAACAAAAGGCGTTGAAGGTAGAGATAATTTTTTATATTTTGATTCATCCGAAGAAAAAAAGGATATCTACAAGCTGAACTATAAATTCATAACAGAAGCAAAAAAAATGAAATATTCGATTTTAAATCAGAAAATTCGAAGCATTTACATTATTGATTTTACCTCACAGACTTTTAATAAACCACTCCATTCACATAATGAACAAATAATTGAGATGCATTTCATATCACATGTGAAACTTCGATTAGGCATTATCTTCACAAAGAAATAATTAGGTCTATCGATAATGTCTATGCAACTTTTGCATAGATAATAATCACATGAAATTGTGCTTGTTTATGCACTCTTTTAAGTTTATAGCGCATAAAATTGTTCAATGTACATTAGTCTAAAACTTCAATTAACTATCAAGTTTTTCTTTATTTCATTGTTATCGCTACTGAGCTTAAAGATTATTTTTAAAGGAATGAACATCTATTTACTATTTAGCTGAAGTAAACTCGAAGTAAAGATTTTAATTTAATTTCGGTTTAGTTGAAAGAGTTCAAAAAGGAACTTCTTAAAGGGATAGTGGCTGTTCTTTGGTCTTGTCCTGAGTAAGCCACTGCAATCAACTAGCGTAGAAATCGATAAGAATAAAAAGCTTGCTCTAATAACGAAAACTAAAATAATGCCTTTTCGTTATTTCATTATTTTATTTGGTAATTATTATAACGAATAATGCTTTACTTGAATCTGATTCTCAGCCAATTCTCCATGGAAGTGAGTCATTCGGCGAAACTTTTGGTTCTTCAGAGTATAAAAATTCACTTTTTTATGTACAATCATTGCATATTCATAATAATCAATCAACACCAACTAAAACTAGATTAGAACATGAAATAAACTTGAACAAATGCCAAAAATCTAAGTCTTTATCACCATGTAAAAAGAAATACTCAAGAATAAATCAATTTCTGAGTACGAGACAAAATCAAAGAAAAGTAAAAAGAAAATAATAACAATGAAAAGAAAAAAATCGAAATTGTTTTCAACAACTTCAACGTAAAGTAATGAATGTGATACAAGGATATGTGTGCGTGTGCTATGGCTTTTCGTGCTTACATAGTGATATCCTTCATGATTCGTGAGAAGTAGAATCTAACTTTCTGTTTAGACCACGAGTCATAAAAAGACAAAGAAATTATCAAAACGAGAAAGTCAGTATTGAGAATAAAGAAAAACAGATCTTTAAGACTAGCTCAACACAGTCAAAAACTTAATATGACTAATTATCGAATAAGAATCAAAATTTATCTATTGATGAATTGGTTGATAATTCAAAAAGTAAAAATAATATCGAAAGAAACCAAACGTCACAGAAATGTGCCAACTACTTATCCAGCTTTACAATCGACTAGTCAGCATATGATGAAATGTGAGTTTAAAATTTAACTCTTATCTTTCGCGATTTTTGACAAGGGTGTTGAATATTTTGAATGTTGTCTTAACATTCTAATTTAAGAATTACAATATTTCGAGACAAGAGCAACTTTTTCTTTCTTTCTTTTTTCTATTGCTTTTCTGTGTGAGAAAAGTCTAACAAACTAAGTCAAAACAATACAAAATATAAACTTCTCTGTAGTAACTGACCTGATGATATAAGCGTTCTCAGCAGTTACCATCGCAGTTAGACAAAAAGTTCGTGAATGCGCTATTGCTTTTATAGTAGAAATACGTTAATTATGGTTTCTATGCTACTGCTAATTTAGTCCTTGCTATACATATTACTTAACTTGAATTTTTTTATAATAAAAAATAAGGGTAAAGTTCAAACGACTGTAAATGCTACTTCTTGATGACGTATGTCATCAACATCTTCTTCAAAAGCACGCTTAAATAACAAATATGAAGAAAACTTGTCGATAAATACACTTGCTCGCTCTAGACCTTATAGAAGAAAATTTACAACCCAAAACCTTGAGTAAGATTTACAAGATCCAATGTAACATATTACATATAGTAAATGAATCAGACTCGAAATATCCTTTTTGCAAGAAAACACTACCAATGTGGATAGAGAATATGTTGAGAGAGCTTTGCAACAGCATCATGTACAATTATGCTATGTACAAGAAGTAGTCGAATATGATTGGCAACGTCGTATTAAAGATTTTGAAAAATACATCTACTCTGATGATGCTGAAGGTGTCGATGCAGCCATCGAGAAAATGATTAGTGAACATAAGGTGTTTTCGCAACAAAAATTTTCAACATTTGGTGTCACATGGAAACCATTTATCAATAGTGAAACAACGAGAAGTGAATTAAAGCAAGTTAATATTCAACTCTCACAAAAAACTTCGCTCGATCGTAAAAATCAATGCATTTCGGAGTTCAATAAACAAATAGGAATGCTTATGGCTTCGAATAGGACCGTTCCAGAAAAATATGGAAAACTTAAAATGGAGTTGGAAATTTGTCTTCGTCAATACTACGATAAACTTCCATGGCCATTGAACGATCAAACTATTGGCGCAGTAGATGATGAGCTACAACAAATTTTCTATCGAGTAATGCAAAATCTTTTTACGCCAGAAGTTAAAGAACAATTAAAACGTGATCGAATGGCACAAATGGAAATGATGTCGAAATTAAATTTAGGGAACAATGAATCATTCCTATGGGTTTACTGTGTTGGTTGCCGACGGATTTTTGCTGGAAGAACTCGTGGCTGTGTGAACGTAACTTGTTCCCAGTTTAATAATAAAGTAGGCGTTAGAATTGTTGACCATGGATGTGGTATAACATTTGAATGGGCTAAAGCTCAACCAGTTCCAATCAATACTTTGTCTTCGGACATATGGTTTTCCAGTATTGAAACCGATCAACGAGCTGATTTCGTAAAAAATTTGATATCTGATGTGACGGATGATGCTCGAAATATTTCCAGTGCCGGTGCAAATGGATCGGGTTGGTCTTTTCCGATGAAGTAGACAAGGACAACAACTTTTTGCTTATCAATTTTTTTCTGTACTTTTTAACAGTTTGCCACTAAACACTCCCGTTTTTAAATGGAATTCAGCTTAATCAATTTCTTTTTTAGTTTCAAATTGGAAAAAGCTTATAATTCAATAAACCATCGTAAAAAAATGACTGTCATAAATTCTGATCATGTTCATTTAAACTAGATTCAACGAGAGAATCGATCCAGTTCTGCATAGAGCATTTTTAAAGTTTCGATTTACGTTGCATCATTCCAAAGGATGTGAGAAGTCAGATAAGACTATGACACTATACCACAGCAATCGTTGTTTCTCTTTTTCTATAACCTCATCGAGTAGATAATCTCAGCTATTATTACTAATCCGATAATTTTTCGAATAGTTCTAAATTAGACGCTAGAAGAATAAAACTTTGAAACTACTTTGTAACACTAACCTGAAGGTGTGGATGTGAGTGTAAAGATTAAGAGAAGACACACCCACACCCACACCCTTGCTTCACAACTCTTTAGGTGTATACTAGCGACATCTATTAAAATCTGAAATTATCCGTTGAAGTTTGAAATATTAAAAAATAAAATAGTTGATTAATTTTAAATGCTCAAAATCTTCATAGAATACGCATTTTCAACGAAGAAATATATGGACTTAATCGGAACCAATGGAAAACGTTGACTAAAAAGAAATAAATAATAATACTGAATCAAAACGCAAGAGATTGGACGTCTTGTCGATTCTCATTTATTTATTTTTTTGTTCGATCTATGAATATTGTCTTTGATGAGTCTTTTTTAGATCCTTTTTAGTCTTTATACATCAAATTCCAACATGACTGACAAAAAGACATCAGCTACAAAAAAGGCTTCAACTGCTACCAAAAAAGCAACTCCAGCTGCACCAAAAGCAACTCCAGCTGCACCAAAAGCTGAAGTAAATTTCGTTCTTTTTTTCTTAAACGATTTATGCAATCGATTCTATTTTGAAAAAATTACATAGAAAGCTGAAGTAGCCAAAACACCAGTAGCAACTACACCAGCCCCAGCTCCAGCACAACCAAAAGCAAAGGCTGCTACACCAAGTGCTAAATCAACATCATCGTTGGCTAAAACGTCGACAAAAGTTACTAAGAAATCGACATCAACAAAAGGTGGTGCTAAGAAGAAAGAAAAATTCATTAAATATTACATCGACTGTACACACCCAGTTGAAGATGGTATTTTTGATCTTAATGCATTTGTATGTTATCGTGTTTTTCATGTTTTTTTTTCTTCTTTTTACTTTTGAAAACTTTCATTCAGGAACGATTCTTATTGGAAAAAATGAAGATCAATGGTAAAACATCAAATTTAGGTGAAACTGTTGGTATCGAAAAGGCTAAATCGAAAATATCCGTCACATCGAAAGTTCCTCTTTCAAAACGGTATAATTTTATTTTTCATTTGTCGCTTTTTAAAGAAAGTTATTTTGTTTAGATACATGAAATATTTAACAAAGAAATTCTTAAAGAAACACGAACTTCGCGATTGGTTACGTGTTATTGCTAATTCAAAAGATGCTTATGAATTACGCTACTTCAATATCAATCAAGAAGAAAACGAAGCCGAAGAAGCTTAAACTCAAAGATTTATAACATCGTTTTTGTTTTCTTTTCTTGAATATCATCGTTGATCATAGAAGAAGAAAAAAAGAATACCAAGAAGAAAGTTCATATTGTGATTGTTTTTTGTTGTTTGAAAAAGAAAAGAAAAAGTAACAACACAGAACTTAAAGTATACTTGTAAATTTTACTCAACGATCGCAAATTTTCTTTGTAGTCGGAAAGTTAACGGATTGATTGAGAGAAAATTCTATAATTTGAGATAGCTGAAAGATAACTTATGAAATATTCTCATAGTTTGTTGAGGAGAAAAGATTTTACTCAGAACGAAAAACATGGATCTTTTTTTATCAAAAGTTTAATTTATCTAAATTCACGCTATTCTAGCTACGTATGGAAATATGTTAAGAAAACTAGAAAGTCTTGAATCCTCGACGTGATACTGTGGACTTTTTCCTAAATTCACTATAAATATCTTTATAATTGAACGATAAATCTAAAATGTCATTTCTATACTAAATTTTATTTCAATAAATTATCCATATTACTTTGAATCTTACAAATACATACATAGAATATATTCACTGTTACATATAAAACAAATGTAGATCTAAGTCACAAACACAAAACAAAAGATTCAAGCGTATATGACTAGAACATGACGGTTGAATGTGTTCAATAGAGAATTTCTCACATTTCAACGGTTGTTATCGTACTTATTGTTGTTGTTTTGATTGTTTTTGATTTTCTCTCTTCGTTTTTGCTATCAGACGTTTTAGTATAAGCATACCAGGATATTCCACAAAGCATCGCCGATAAACTGCGAAAGCCAAATCCGAGCAATGCCAATGATATTGCCATACGTTTATTATTATAATGTTTGCATTGGTATTTATATCCACATGTTTCCCGTATCCACGTTTTGCATGTTCGATCAATGATTGCACCAAATAGAATTGTTCCTGGAAGATAACCGAACAGTTTCGTTATTGTAGATTTAAAGCCAAGTGAAAATGCTCGATGAGTTGGCTCAACACTCTCCAATATGCATTTAAGTGCTGGAATAATAACGCAACAAGACATAAAAATAACAATAAATGCACCAAATAATGTAAGCACTAAATTAATTGTGCATTTACGTTCTTTGCAGCGACCTAAAAATAAAATTCAATGAGTTCATAGGCTGTAAGCAGCGGCCCATTTCTAATAGGTGAATAAACTAGTCTTACCAACAATGACCGTACTATTTTCCGGTAAACATAAACAATCCGCATATTTTCCTTTGAGTATTTTTCTACAACCTAACAAACATGGATTTTGATAGGTTTCTTGTTTAGTTAAATCGCACACTGGCTGATAAATATTCATATCGCATTCTTGAAAAAAAACACAATTTGTTTTTGTTTAATAATAAAAATACTTTTCTTACTGCATTTTCGTTTGCATGGACTTTCATTTTTATCCGATTCAATTAACGGTTCATCAAAAAAGTCTGGATCGAATGCTGTCGATATAACAGGCATGGAATGTGTTGTTCCTATGGAAATAAACTTTAGATTCTATTTAGAAAGAAAAAAACGAAATTAATTAATACCGATTGTTGGCTCCCGACAATGAAGCATCAATCCAAGAAATATCACAGATGATAGTGCAAGAATAATACAGCAAAATTTTGCACACTGTCGACCATTCATTTTATATCGTTTGACAAAAAAAGCACCTAATGGCGTACCAAAAATAACAGAAAATAACGAAATAATACCCATATAGACACTTGAATGCGATGATGTTGTACGAAATTGATATTCAATATGTTTACTTAGAAAGGCTAAATAGCCTTTGATTAATAGAGCTTCAATGACAGCACAACACGTAACACCCATGTAACGTAGATTAAATAGTAAATGTTTTATTAATATTAATATATCAAAACAGCAACCTTTAGTTGTTAATGATTCATCGTCGATTATAATTGGAACGGATCGATTTATGATTATTAAAGATTCATTTGTAATTCCACTTGTACTTACACTAAGATTTGTTATTGATGAATTCGTACGTGATGTACGTGTTTCATCGATTATTGATGTTCTATTTATAATAAATGTTGGATTTATTAGAGATTTTCTAGGTTTTTTTGATGAGAAATAATTATGACGTCGTCCGATGTCGAATAAGCACAGAAGAAAACAAACAATCAAACTTAGACATGTGCCCAAAGCATAGACAAGCCACCAAGCTCCAACCCATTCGGAATAGTTTGGTGTTAGCCAAACGGGCTTTTTAATATATGTATAAACTTTAAGAAATTGCGAAGTAGCAAGAAAACCAAGGCCAATACCTATTCCACCAACGGCATAATAGATACCTAAACAAAAAAGCAAACGTAAATTTTATGTAAAACAAAAACTTTGATATACCTTGAGCTAACGGTGCTTTTTCTTGTGGAAATAAATCTTCGATTAATGTTACAGCTAGTGTAGGCAATGCGGCGGATCCGCATGCATTGATAATATTCGATAGATAGAAAACATATTTTAAATGACTTAAAAATCTAAGATTATTCGAAAATGAACAAACATTTATGGTTCGATTTCGATTGCATAATGTTAAATGGTCCATAACGAGTGGATCTAACGGTGGTCTACCACGTTTTGATTCAAGTAAATGTGGAAATGACATAACAAGAAATCCGCTTGCGAGAATAGCCATGGATATGGCGATCCAACGTACTTTGCGGCCACTACGATCACCGAAATAGCCAATAAATGGATAAGTAAATATAGCAACGAGCTCATAAACTGATTGAAATAAACCTGTTTCTGTTGATGTCATATAAAAGCCGGATTCCAATGTTGTCATTATCGCATTATTAGCACCGCCAACAATGGCATTCTGAATCAAATTGCATGAACATATAAGAAGAAACACGATTTTTTCGGATAAACATATTGATTTAGTAGATTTCGTTGTTGAAGAATCGGTGATGGTACCATCATCGTCATCGTTGTTGTTGTTGCTGTTTCGACTCATTGTATATCAATCAACCGTTAAGAATTTTCATCTAAAATATAAGAAATACGCAAAATGTCGTATCGAACGCGTGCCTATGGTCGAAGTTCCTTGAGAAGAAAATGAGGTACGGTAGCATCGACAAGAAAGCCTAGGAGAATAAGAAATTTATTGCGTTGCCTACTCTATCTTGTATATATTCGTATATATGTTATGACTCATAGAATAGGACAAACTTGAGGGTCTCATCATCAGCTGTTTATTTTCTATTCTTCGTAAGATTTGCTCTTTACTATCTTATACATGGCATGATAATATGATGCATAAGTCTACGCAATCTCATTGGATATGTAATCAGCCGCAATTCGATATTGATCGCACTTTTTATATTCAGTCTTGCTGAAAATGTTACGACATATTTTCATGGCTGGAGTGCTCTTCTATATTCACCTATGGAGAAATGTTATGACGTCAATGTGTTGATAGATTTCTAAGAAAAAAGAATCGATTGATTCCCGAAGACAAAAAAAACGCCTTCTACTATCTTGAATATAAATATTCATTTCTCCAATAGGCAAAACAAACAAAATTATTAATTCGTGACTCGATATGTATAATAATCTATAGAAACTTGTTCTTCAAAATTGATAATAGAGAGAGAGAGAGTCTAGAAAGTGATTTTTGTTTACTTACTAGAAAATGCTATCGAACTAATCATGATAAGATTGCCGACACCTTTTATAATTGAAATCAAGAGAAAAACAAAAGCAAATGCCAATTGACATTATGTCAATCTGTGAAAGTGAATCGAAGCATGTAAACAAATATCTTTTTCTTTACATCTTCTTCTATGATTCCTTTTATTTTCTATCATCGCTTACGCACACACACCAGAAATATTCGCCACTAGATTATGTTTTATTATTATTATTATTATTATTATTATTATTATATATAACATCGAACAATCTATGGCAAAATTAATCAAAAGAAAAAAATAGAAAAACTTATTGCAACAATTGAATAATATTGAGGAAATAATGAAATTGCATTATTAGCACGAAGTCCGCCTAGAAAACACAAAAACATAGGAACTTCAAACAAAAGAAAAAAATCGTTTACATGGTGCCGGAATAGTTTTTGGATCATCACATCGGAGTTTTTGTGAATGCCATTTCGAACCCATGGGACATTCACCCATCTTACTCTTTCGTTGGTCTGTACATAGATAATAGGATCGGCATTGATTTTCATTATCAGCATACCAGCCATTTTGTTGAGTCAAACCTATATGAGAATTTGAAAAAAAGAACTACACGCTCCGGAAAAGAAATTTTACATGGATCGATGTCACGTTCGTTGACCGGTCGATTTGCACAAAAAACTTTTCTATAATCATTACATAGTCGAGTATCTTCATCGAATAGTTGTTTCTCTGGGCAGTGCATACGTTTTACAACATCGTCTCGACATGAATAATAGGCTTCAAAAGGACAACAAAAAATAGATAAATTTCAAAAACAAAAATTCAAATAATTACATTGGCAATTATCAGGATCAGGCATATTGCCTTGAAATATACAATCACTATTTTCCATTAGTTCCGGCATGGACACAGTCACTCGATTTCGTGCTAATTTCGTTGAAGCCTTCTTCATCGTCGTCATCGTCGTCGTTTTACGGTTGCTTGACGTTCGCGTCTTTTTCTTTACTTCAAACTCCTCCTCCTCATTGTCATCATGCGAAGACACTGTCGTTGTTTTTGTTACAACATAATTTGTGACACTTTCACTTTGTAACCCTACATATTTCGAAAAAAGAAAAAGAAATATTTATATTAACAATCAATAAAACTTGGTCTATACATCCTTCCGGTGGTGTCCAAGTTGGTCGTTCACCATTTTTACATTCGATATTTTTCGACAAATCGCATCGTTGATGATTGGGATCATAGGTCATACCAGTGCCGCACCTGTGAATTCGAAACAATGTAAACAAAGATTTTTCATCAGCGAAATATATTTTCCCGTGATGACTGCTTTTAAAATTTTTAGGGACGCTTTGAAGTATGCACTTGCATTTGAGATTATGTTTACTATCCCATTAGACTTGATAAACAAATTCCAGTAGGAAAAGAAAAATGTTTGCTAAGGTCAGGAGTTTCGATAGCTCTTCAAGCAAATGGATATATTTTTCGAAATTAATTCTCTTTCATTTCGGATCTCTCTTTGCTACGTTTTACACTTACCATCCTTCAATATTGATACCTGAATTACAAGTATAATATCTAATGAAATCAATAGTATATTATAATTTTTGAATGTTAAAATATTTCATCTCACTTTTCACAATCTGTCGGATTTGGCCATCGGCCATCTTTCGGACAGACAAACTCATCAACTGCTGAAGTAACTGATAAATAGAAATCATTGAATAAATATCATTTCAAAGAGATAAAAGAAACATACTGTGAATAATGAAAATAAAATAGAAGACAAAAACTTGCACCGCCATGCTTTTTCCTTTCAAGTTAAAGATAAAAAAGAATCAATTGTATTTGTTCATTCGTGCTATAAGCTCAGGTAAAGCAAATATTTTTACCGGGAAGATTCATTGTTGATGGGAAGAAGAGAAAATGAAGACGAGATGTGTACACAAAAAACTATTTATACTTACGATTAGCTCATTCTCTTCTTTTTCTTCTTATTTTCTATCCGATTCACGTAGAGAAGCAATACAAAATGAACTAATCTATCGGTGTGCTTGGCCTATTGACGAAATCACATCCGATTGTGTAGTCTACTTGTTTCAATAAAACTCATATTTGATCTCATGTGTCATTCATGGATGTTGAACAATGAAGAGCGAAGTTTTTTTCTCAGCAAATCCTATATTTTATCTCGTTGGAAATCCCAACTGTTACAAATATTGAAAATTGATTCGATTGACTTTTATTCTTGTGAATATTCATTTATGTAACCCATAGTACATCTTTAATTTGGCCGATTTCATTAATTGAAATGTCAAAGTTTATTTCATTCGATTAAAAAATGAAACGTGGGTGATCGAAGGCATGATGAAATTTCAGCCGTTTTCATAAATGGTTGTGATTTACGAAAGAAAAATAAACATGAATTCTGTTTTTGTATTCATTGACAAAAATCATCGAACAGAAGAAGAAGAAAAAAGCGAAATTTTATTCAGAAAGCATTTAAACTTATAATTCTTTGCCTGCTTTTGTTACTTGCTTACAGATTAAACGAGCAGCACTTCATAGTTACGAACAAAATTTTGAAAAGCAGTCAAAAATGCCCACTGTAGGTTTTGGTGATTGTGTAGCAAGTTATTGGTACGTCTGGTAAGTCTTATCGAAAAAACATGTATACAGCACATGAATAAAATTTATTCTCCTATAGGTCGATTAACGGTCTTGGCTCGGTTTTTGGATTATTTATAAATTTGGCTGTATCCTATTTTTTCCTTAAATATTTTCTCAATCCGACAAGCATTGCTCCATCAGCTCCATCAGCACCACCAGCACCTAAAAACCCCACAAGCTAACAGAATTGTACAAATAAACTAATACCAAGTCAATTGGATATGCTTACATATATCGACTATAAAATATTTGTATTTTTTTTCATTAACTTGTCTAAATTATATTGATCTGCTAAAAGAAAAAAAGTTAATAAAGTGTGTTTGAATATTCAGAAAAATTAAAATATATTTTACGTCCGACAGAATCGGTAGAAGATCAGAAAATAAACGTCGCGCGTATCATTGAAGTAAGTATTCACGTGTCACTCTCTTATTTTCATGAAGGAATTTTATCAATTACTTGATAAACGTAATGAAGGTTTAAATTCCAAACTGTAAGAGATGTTCTCTATCAAACGGCCATTATACACGTACGATGATATAATATTGTTTCTATGAGAAGATACTTGGGGAGATTCTTAGCTTCAATTCTGGGTGAGGTCGCTATGGCTGAATGGTTAAGATGTTCGGCACATATCCACAAGATAATGTGTTCAAACCTCGGCGCCATCATCCATAGAATAACCTTGGACAAGTTACTAACGGCTGCTTTGTCTCGGATCACCCATCCGATAGCACGCTGATTACATGTGACATACATAAAAATATCCTCTTGGATAGTATGTGGTTAGTCAGTATGCATGGGAAGCTTAAGTAATTAAGCGGAAGGAACTCTGAGTCAGGCCGGCCTTCTGTCCAGAGCTGCAGCTAGTAATAGTTGTAGGAAAAATATCGGGCTCTTGAAACTGTCTCCGGACAGCACCCTATACTGAAAGGTAGCCGCAAGGCAAGGGTATTCTTTCTTTCTTTCTTTCTTTCTTTCAATTCGGGGTGAAGAAAAATTGTTGATGAGAATGTTTTATATGAAATAAAATATTATCATCTTGTTGTTACATACGAAAATTTGTAAGCAAAACTCAAAAAATGTAAAGAATATCTAGTTTCATCTTTGTGTTTTTGAAATATAAAAATAGTGAAGCTGATATTTTTTGTTCAGGAATATTTCAATTTCTCCCATAAGTAGAAAAAATCTGTTGATTGAAAGTAAATAAATTATTTTAAAAGACTTCTCAATCGAACCGGTCTCATTACTGTTAAAATTAGCTGTCGTGATATCGTACATGTAACTGTTTATGACGAACATTGCATCAAATGTCTCGTGTAATGTGGCGCAATTTTGCTTTGCACTTTTCTATGCTTGTAATTGCATCATACGCATGACACGTCATATAAAAGGATGAAACACGTGTCGTACAATGAAATTTACATTTTTCTATTCATATCATGGCGTCATGTACAATTGTTTCTTCAGAAGATTTTGCTTCGGCTTTGGTCAAATTTCGAGTTCCGTTTCGTGGTGATAAAAAGAATGAAGATTGTCTTTCACGAATTATTCTTGTCATTGATCGATCTGGATCCATGGCTGGAGGTAAACGATAAGATTTATTTAAATATTCAACCCTATGAAAATATAATATAGGTCCATGGAAACAAGTTCAAGCAGCGGTTCAAGCTATTGATGAAATGAATCAAAAATTATCGAGAGATGCCAACCTAGAACCTATTGTTATTACCTATAATAACACAGTGTCGATTACGAACTTAGCTTCCATTGCGAAAACAAAAGCCGACGGATCAACTGATTTCGTCAAAGGTACTTTTTATTCGTTTGATCGTAATACACAATTTCCGAGCTTCTTTTCAAAATAGTTTTTCAACAAGTGCAGAAAACTGTAAAAGAAATCGGTGTTGATAAACGTATTGTAATTATGTTTATGACTGACGGATGTGATTCATGCAACAGTCCAAATGCAATTATTGATGCTCAAACAAAATTACAAATGTTCTTTAAAAAGTCCAATTTAAATTGTGTTGTACATGTCATCGGTTATTCAAAAGATCACGATTTAAATATGATGAATACATTGAAAAGTTTAGGTACAACTGAAGGTGTTTATCGATATGCTGAAGGTTCAAAGGGTTTAGATGAAAAATTTCGAGAACTATTTGAATTTGCTGATTTAACTGTTGAATTTTCAATTAAATTACCGAATGTTCAACAACCAATTAAAATCACTGGCGAAATGGTCGATTCCGATCACATCGAAAGCGAATGTTGGTTATCGTTAAGTGAAAATATAAAGCAACCCATTGAAATAGCCATAGGCAATAATAAATATAGTGTTGTACCCATGTTGACTGAGCCCGATACAATGTTTATTCTTAAATCATTATCAAAACGAACGAGTGACGTAAAAACGCAAAAACAATTAGATCAAATTCAAAGTGAATTACAACAAGTAAAAATGTTCGGAAGCGGTGTTGGTGGAACGAAAGCAGATCGGCAATTAGCAATGGAACTCCGTGGTGAACTTCAAACACGTTTAGATGCTCTACATTCCATTATGGCTGATATTGCACGTGGAACCTTGAATCAAACAGCTGCGCTAGCGAAAATGAATGATTTACGATATGCCGATAAGTAAGTTTCGATAATCCTACATACTTCAAAAAACATTACTGCATCAGTAGTGCCTCATATCAGTAATCCATGTTTGGTACGCAGCTGAACTTTTCTGCTATATAAAAAAACACGTTTTTCAAACTCTCACGTCAGTAACCTTTCTAACGGATAATCGAAAAGTTTTCGGACAAAATGTTTGTTCATTTTTGACCCGCTTGACAGTATTTCCGACCAGTTAAAATTCATTCATAAGAACCAAAATTGTATACTTTTCCCGAGCGTGCTCTAAGAAATGTTGTCTCGATTTTTGTGTAGTGAAAAAATCTTTGAAAGATTCACTAAATAGTTTGGACGAACATTTTTTCCGTGCGCTTGCTGCTGTGATCTGAAACTAAAAGTTGGAATCTTTATTATTATATCAGTTTGTAGAGCAAAGTCTATCCTAAAAATGTACTGATTGAGGTTTTTCTAAATCGTTCTTTCACCAAAAAGCATTATATGTGCAAAGAAGTTCTTGAAAAAATGGGCATACTTTTTATTCGAAAACTTTTCAATCACCCGTTAATTCAGATTTATTTTCCTGCATTATTGTACTTCACTCATTGATGAATAAATTTTATTTAACAAAAAATTAGATTCTCAAAATCTTCACGTCAACGTCGAATGGATCAACGTGCAATACGTAATCAAGCGAATCTCCAATTAATCGATATAAAACTAAAGGAACTCAAGTTCAAAGAAGAAACAGCGTTTACTAATGTTGACCTTACCACATTCACTTGTTGTTTAACACTGAATACTTGTCGAGATATGATGATGGATAGTGAAGATGATGTTATGGGTGTTGGTCTTGTTGTTGAACGACAAGAACATGTTGTCGATGCACCAACCTTAATATCAGTGAAAGATGTCTCGGTAACCATTCTGTCGCGTTCAGCATGTGACGATGCAATTAAAATGAAACTCAATATTGCCGATGCAGCTCGAGTTCATGGAGGTTTCGTTCCATCAAAATCAGCTGCACCGACTACCAGCACGACACGAACTCAAAACAAAGCAAATAATACCCAATCAGAATTTACTCGTGGTGTTGCAGCAGAACCTATCAATACATTTTTACCTTTGTATATATGTGATGCACATTTCGAACGTGTGCAAATCATGTTAGAACCTATACTTGGCTATCTGTTTACACTCGATATAACTGGCTACAAAAGTGATCAATTATTAGGTCTCTTTTCCATCCTAGGGCAAATAATGAATGCTAGCCCTCGAAACGGATCTGAACGTGAAGAAATGATTCTCTATGAATTTACACGTTTATGTCATGCTTTTCTTCCGCGAACTCTTGAATATCTCGGCGAAGAAAATGATGTGTTAAAAAAGTTCATGGCAGGTCCAACCGGCCGTAGCAAAGCGCACATACAAAATTTAATGACACTCTTCGGTTATATTCATGCATTAGGAATTGAAACTATCGATGAATCACTTCGTTATGCTATTGTTGAAGAATTGTATCGACGTCATTTTTCTTACATCTATCATGGTACATCAGAAAATGTTATTAGTGAACATGTGCAAACTTTACTTTACGGCGAAGATGATGATGATGATGATAAAAATAACGAAACAAAAACAGAAGTAGATGAGCTATGTTATGTTAAAAGCAAAAATGATAAAACGAATGATGGTCATTTTGCTCAGCATGCTCGAGCTGTGCTAAAGAAAAACGAAATTAATCATAAAATTCCGACGGAAAAAATCGATATACAATATGAAATACCTGAACGACAAATAAATTCAATGAATAATAAAATACGGTCGAAAATGGTTGAATTACTATCTGGTTTCTCAACAAAACCAGTGCAACATGTTCTTGACCGATTAGGCATTCGTATGATGGATATATCGAATGAACATGAATGTATTTTACTTCGATCGATGTTGGTTCAATGTTTAAGATTCTATTCCAATGAATCTATCAATGGAGCTGTTTTAAATAAAACTTTTTTTAATGTACGAACAGACTATGAACATGTTCTTACAGTTGCACATGAAGAATTTGATGCTAATCGTCAAAATTTAACAACGAATAAAATCGAACAAATCCGTGTACTTGAACTAGCGCGCCGTGCAGTTTTAACAAACGATATCGGCGTATATCTTGGTAGAATGATGGTCTATGCACCAACGCGAGGTGGAAAAATATTCGATACTATATTGAGTTTATTACTTGATCGTAGTCAAAAACAGGTACCTTTATTAGCCGAGAAAATATCGATCATATTTACAGGTCGTTATAAAGAACATCGTGATGCTGAAAAAGAATTCCATGTATTAAGTAACGGTCTTGCTTGGTTTCCGGATCGATCGATTATTAATCGTGTACGAGAAGCACTAGGCGAAGATCAATGGAATGATTTAGATCAACTGATGCGAGGTCGTACTTGCGGTCATGTCTATCGTTTATCGGATATTCCAAATCGTCATGGTTATCACAATTCACATCCGAATCCTAATTTGGTTGTCCAATGGGCTTCATAACAAACAAGAAGAAACTTTATTAATTGTTTTTTTTTATTAAAATTAGAACAAAATAAGAAATCATCAAAATCAATTCAAAAGAAAATTAATACAGACATATAAAACTAAAGCAGCAGAAAACGAATTAAATACAATCCGGAAGTGTTCTTGTGCAGTCGTCGATATATTTCTATCGCGATTTGTACTGATACTTCTAACTTTCTAAATCTAAACAGTATAGACATTTTACATTTTGAGGATAATCTACGATGACCGCTTGTCAAAAGAATTTGCTCGTTTCAGCTAAAATGGTAATCTTTTGTTGTTACAACAGAACATAAGTATTCAACGTTGTTCACACGCTCGGCTGCAACAATTGTTGAACCGTGGTTTCTTCCTATAGATATTTTGAGAATTATATTTAGTACTTTGGTTATTTGTTTGGCTACGTTTTTCTTTTATTTATAATCGTTTTGGATAACGCATTTTATAAGCTCCCATGTCATTAAGTGCTGATTCATGTTTAACTGCACTTGTATTTGCTAGTGATATGCTTGGTACGGGCGTATTCGCATTTCAAAATGATCTTAAGCACATTCAATTTCGAGATTTTCTTTGTATTTTTCGATTTTACGTAGGTATTGCTTCGTGTACTGCATTTAATTGTTCATTTTTATTACAAGGTGTTTACCGATATTTTATTGTCGTTTATCCGCATTTTTTATTTTGGCAATCGATTCGATTTAAAGTTTTGCTCATCTGTTTAACAGGGATCTTTAGTTACTTATGGCCTATTGTTTTGTTGTTGTTCACCGATGACATCATCTACAATACTGACAATCAAATTTGTCAATTATCTCTTAGATTATCTTTCTCAATTATTTATATGTCGTGTTGTGCCTATATGATGCCCATCGTATTTGTTATGTTTATATACTTTATATTAGTTCGATACATGAAAGAAATGAGTAAACATGTATTTTTCTGCAAATGCATTAATTCGCGCACGAAGAGAATTTAAAATGGTTCGCCGTGTATTGATACTGTTAATCATATTAATCACACTGTGTTTACCATATACAATATTTATTTTCATCTCATTTTTTACTAATCCTTCAAAATATCATTTTCGAATTGCTTTTATATTTATTGACATATCATTGGTATGGGTAATCATTATTGTATTTCAATTTACTGAACCATTAAAAATGTCTATAATGAAAAGAATAAAACGAAGATCAAATATGATAATGGCAACAGTGGGGTGGATCAATCAAGTATCATAACTTAATTTATACTGTATTAAATTATTTGCTGTGGAATGTTCTACCGAAAGATTCATATCAAATAACAAAAATAAGTGTCTGTGAACTTGCTTTGAGTGGACACAAACACGGATTAGAGGGTTCGGGGAGGGGTGTGTGTGACGATAAGACATCCGCATACGACACCCAGGCCCAGACCCACACCCCTCATTCTTCACAGTCCTTCTTTCCCAACGATTCATTGAAACCAAATTTCTTATCAGCTCTTTGGCATTCGTCATGCATCACCACCAAACTATGAAAACTTTCGCTTGTATCGTAAATGAATTTCGGCATCCCGTCTTCATGCAAATTTACCCATTATTGTTTTAATCAAAGTCAACCAAAATCTAATCGACTGTAAATTTTCCCAATATCCTCAGTACCGTGCAAATTCCTTTTTCTCTTATCGCGAATACTTGTACGTTCATTTCGATTACATACGAACGCATTTTTCTTCTGTGGGAAAAATGTTTTTTCTTTTTCCTAAACTATTTTTCCCATCGAGTTTTTCATTTTTCCGTTGCAAACTCATTTTTCTGCAGCGAATAGAAATATATTCTTACTAAAGATCATTCACAGAAGCATTTTTCTTCTGTGGGAAAAATGTTTTTTCTTTTTCCCAAACTATTTTTCCCATCGAGTTTTTCATTTTTCCGCTTCAAACTCATTTTTACATTGGTTTGACGTTATTGGAGGAACGGGGTATTTTCGTTACTGCTTTTTTGTTTAGTGTTTGTATCGTAAGGTTACTTTTTAATCATTTTTGACCTGAACGTCATCTTCCGCTTGAAACGAGCATTTATGTCACCGATCAAATATTTATCTAATTCTCTGTTTTGAAAGAACAAAAAGGAAAAAAAAGCAGCATAAACGTTTGCCGATAGTACTCTCTGTTCTTCACAGAATAGAGTGAATTTTTTGTGTGATGATGCTCGTGAAGAAACAGCATCATATATTTCATTGTGACCAATAAAAAGCGTTTCATGTGTTGTTTAGCTTTGCTGCTACGATTCTTCGAAGTAAAAGAAAGAAGTTTGAATCATATTTTTTGTCTCTAGAAATTCCATCTAATTCTGACTCGATGTCGAAAAACAAACAAGATACTGAGAATCTGAACTCAGGTGGCAATACTATTGATGATAGCAAAAAACTCAAATGGATATCATTTATTGGAGAAAACAAAAGAAACGCGTTAATGGAACTTATTCAAAATGCCTCTTCGCCTTTGCTACGTCGAATTGAACAGCCTATTTTATTAAATATCTACGAAAACGAGATACCGTCACATGTCATAAATATTCCCAAAAAATTGTTTCTAATTTATTTTCTTGTTCTCGATCCGGGTTATCTTAAAGTGGAATGCGTTGCAAGAAAAAAATTAGAACTCAATGGTAAAAAATATGATTCGGGTAGCCATATTTCATTGAAAGACAACTATGGTGAACATCAACTTATGCTTGCCAAAGTTGGAAAGACATCTTTGACATTGGCAGTGAGATCTCGAAGTGATACTAAAATAAAAGTATCTGTTAAATATGGCAGTAGTATACCACTCGAACTTCGTATTAATAAGAATATATCGAATCATGAATTAATGCACAAAATCGCTGATGAAGCTATAGAAGAAATGTTTTTGCGCCCCAATGAAATTACAAGAAATATAGTTCGGTACCTTCGCTGTGGAAAAGTAAATAGCTTTAATCAACCCTTTAAGCTTCAGTATTTTATTGTGAAAATGAATAGTTACGATGATTACGAATCAGACGCATCTGACATAGAGGCCAATCTTCGTAAAAATTTATCGTTCTCTGGCTCAAATATAAAAAAAGACTGGATCCGAAATCTGTTTCACGAAACTGCTAAAATCAAAATCATAGACAGTTTGGGTCCAACAGAATGGATTGTAACAAGTACATCTATCNGAGGTCAATCTTCGTAAAAATTTATGAGGCTATTCACAGATGACGAAACCGCATAGTTGGAACTCATCTTTAATTGGCATTGAAAACCGTTTAGATCAACTGCCAACAGGAAGCTAGGCCATGAAGAGGAAGTATTCACATAGAATGTCGGTTCATACACAAAAGCATTTAACAGGAAACATTGAGATTTTATCTCTTTGGAAATGAAAAGAGCAAAGGATTCTATCGAAAACAAAATCATAGAAGCATTTTGACCAATGATAGCAGTAGCATAATGATTAATTTCAATTCGACTCGGTCAATTAACAACTTGTCACATGAGTTTAACGAAATTCAAAGTGACAATGAAGTGAAAAGGATATGTGCGGCAGTAGCAGTTGATTCTTGACAGAAAAGTTGTTCACTTGTCTGGGACACTTTACTTCTCTAGTTCAGTCGAACTATTTTTGAATGGTTTGAGTAATTGTTGACCGTTCCCCAGATCGCTACATTGATTATTTTTCATTCTAAAATTTTCCTTGCATTTCACGGTCAACAAGAATCGTTATGCATCTCAAACAAGCTCTTTGAAAGTCAATAGTTTTTTTTCTAATTCTTGCATTTTGAATGAAGAAATTTAAATGTATATTAGGAAATTTCTCTGCATTTATATCATAACATCTTTTATGAATGTTTCCTAGAGGGAGCTAGTGAATAAAAAAGAGAGACATCCTAACAATAACATTTGCGTAACGTCTATTAATTCTATAATTAAATGAGCAAAAAAGATACTTGTATTCTCAATTACGTGTTGGGGCCCTAACTTTGTGAGAAATATGTAAACAAGGTTTTCAAATCGTTCTTATCGTTCTCTGGCTCAAATATAAAAAAAGACTGGATCCGAAATCTGTTTCACGAAACTGCTAAAATCAAAATCATAGACAGTTTGGGTCCAACAGAATGGATTGTAACAAGTACATCTATCATCAAAAGCCTAGACCCATCTGGAATCGAAAGAGATTTGTACCAATTGTCAACTGTACCTGATTTTAAAGACAGTGTTCTTTGCTTTCGTCGGAAATTCCAGTCGGATTATCACGACAAAAAACTAATTATTTTACGCCTACACTATAAGCAATGGATGTATCCAGACGCGACAACGAAAATCACGGAAAACACGAAACATGAACCATCATCCTGGAAGAAGGTTGAGATTAGTTTTATTGAGAAATAATGGATTGAATACCGATTTCAAGATGGGTGTAGTTGTGAGGTCTTCTCTTTACTAGTCCAACCCGCACCCACACCCTACACAGGACTGTTCGATTTTATAACTTGAAAAAAATATTTACTTTGTTTGATTACAGAGAAAATTAATGAATGTAAAAAGTATCACGTAACAATAATTTATAAATTTGAAGTTAAAGTTACAATGAATCTATGTAACCTAATTTAAATCTTCAGCACGGTTAATCAGAATGCAAATTCAATATGAAATAGAATTATGACAAAAATTATTTCTCAAATTTCTGAATGAATGTTTACTTTTTCTGCATTTCTTCTAACTTCTACAGCCATTTTAGACGATTCTTGACTCACAATCAATATATGTTCTACTATTCAAGTAACTTGTTTTTTGATCACTATTTAATTATTTAATAAGCTGCCGCGTCTATCGACTAGTTCGATCGTTAGGACATTGACAAGCATATAAAGAAACCCGTCAAATATTCAACTTTGCCAGTTCACATGTTTAAATTCACCTTACAACTGCATCGTTCTATTCATTTCCTGTTCGTCACGCTAGCCAGGGTAGCTATTCATTACAGTTATGGATGTTTGCCCGACTAGATCTGGATGATATTTAAAATGTTGCAGACTAGTCATCCCGGTCGGCTTCCCGTATGTTTTACTTGCTTGAGGTAACAGTTGCAAAATAATATTACAGAATGCCAGCAAATTCAATTCCATTGGATGCGAATAATGCTGGCATACATGGTGATGAAGGAGAATATGGCGCTATTGATTGATTTTTGATTGTTTTAAATTTTACAAAATAGTAAATAGTAGATTTTCCTGTATGTGGATTTATCTTCAATAGTGAACGTGATACAAACTATTTTTCTACTTAGTTTATCTGATGCTACTTGCTTATTTGATAATAATACATTATTTGCGTAGTGAATAAGATAAGAGTAGTGTTTTATTTTTTATTTGTTTCTATTACGTAAAATTCTGTCTTATTACACTTTGGTGTATTAAGTTTATGAAAGAAAGATGAACATATGCACTTTAACTCTAGGAATAAAGTGTATAAAAATATTTTGTTTTAGATTAAGATTAAAAATACTGGTGTAGATCTTCTTGTTGTAATAATTTCTCGTCGATGTCAAAATCCAATAGAATTGGTATGGCAAGGAAAACCCCAGCTCCTCAGCAGTGCCCGACCAATTTCAAAAACATCGAGCCATTGTTTAATCAAGAACTTGGCACAATCAATCCGATTTTCCTTGAATGGACCTTAGGGCGAATGCCAAAAAACGTTAACACCAAGCGAATCAAATTAGATAAGAATGAAATACTCGGTGAATGACTCTATGCAAGTTACAAGAAAAAGGGAAAGGAAATTGCCTGATTGAATAAATTAAAAGAATATTTTTATTTATTGCAAAAATTTCATTGCTTAAAATGTCGTAAGAGTGGTATCGCAGATAATGATGCTACCTGGTCTTCAGCTTACACTACTGTTCTGTGTAGAGCCTACTATGGACCATATACAGACGAATATGGACAAGAGTGGTTTGGCGGATGGATTCAAATGAAAATCTTTGCTCAACAATGTTTGAACTGTGATGAATACGCCACGGGTGAGCTTGATGATCAAAAATGTTGAAATTTTCTAAACTGGTTACATCGCTGGATTGCTCACAAGTTTTATGGTTGTCCTTTTCTTAATTTTGGCTACCAAGGAAGACAAAGTGACAGACGTCATCTTGCCAACGGATGTGAAGCATGCGAAGCAGGATGGCGCCATTATCGTGGAAATTAGAGCCAATAAAAAAACGTTTTATTATTATAGAACAAGCGTTAAATCAATGTACATAGATAAATTATATATATTGTCCTTTTTCTTATAATTAATCTTTAAATGTACTAACTGAAGCAGATTAGGTTTTTATTTTCTTCAACAAGACATCGTGATAATAACTATGAGTGCTTACCTTAAGTTAAATCTTTTTTATATTGGATTCTAACAATAGTTGACCTGAAAACCTGTTCTACACTTAGGATGGATCTACCTAATAGCAGAGTGTAAGTGACATTTTATGTTAAGTGAATAGATCCACCGAAGCCAGTCCACCACCCACAGTCACACCCGCAATCGAAAGCATGTGCATTACTTCATTACTGTAGTTATAAGTGCTTTGAGTATTGTACAAAACGCGCAAAACTTTGTGAAAGCCCTTCTGTAGTTAAAAATAAATTTTTTGAATATGTGAAATACAAGACTATCTCGTTCGTTAAACATTCGCTGAAAAATATTGCGTTTGTTTCATTTGACTATCTGACATGAGACGTCAGCTTGTATTTTTGCCTTGTTGTTGCTATTGCTGATAGTAAAACAATAAAAAAAAGCATAGGGATATGATACTGATAATTTCATATTTTACATAAAAAAACGCTATGTGAGTTCTTTTTATTACTGAATGTTACATTACTCAAATTTTCACGATATATATTAACAAAAAGATTTGTCTTATTTTGGTGGCATATAGTAAGTTTCTATTTCTAGGAAATTCAAATGAGCCCATTAGCAAACTAACATAGTTAATAAATTTTGATATAAATCATATATATATGGATAAAATCATGAGATGCCTAGTTCGAATTCGAATATAAATGGATACCCAACTGCATGATATCAATTCGAAAATAAGTGATTGAAATAGATTTAGTTTTAGTTTTAGTCTTATATTTAGTTTAAGATGGAGTGGGTGTGGGTTGAGGGGACTAAGGGGTAACTGTGGATGTGGGTGAAGGGTATCCGGAAGGGGCTGCAGGGGAGGGGTATCCGGGATACTCCAAATGCGGTTGTGGGTGATGGGTACCATGGAGGAGTGCTCAGATGTGGGTGATGGGTACCATGGAGGAGTGCTCAGATGTGTGTGAGGGTGAAAGGTATATATGTATTCATATGTCGCATATATCGGAAAGTTAAACTGAAACTAAATCTAGGAATAGATTTAGTTTGAGTTTAACTTTTTCTTTTCTTCATTTATATTCGAGCTCGAATTAGACAGCTACTCCTCAAGTTCCAACATAGTGTCAAGACAATGTTATATTGATCAGCCACAAAGAAACAGACAGGCTCATTCTATTTTTTTCATATGACCATCCATTCAGTCAAGATTATAAAAATATTTCCTTCGTGAAGTTCGAATTATACGATATCCATTATTCCATCACACATCCTAAACCAATTAGATTTAACATGTGAATACGTAAGCGAATTAAAGGAAAAGTGTAAAGCAGAGACCGAATCGAACCGGCTTTTTATGGTTCGAGTTCGGTTCGGTTCGCTCAAATTTGTATGAAATCTGGTTGGTTCGGTTCAATTCCGATAAGAAAAGACAAAAAGGAATCAACGAGGTGCACTATGTATAATTGTCATGAAGATCGTTATTCTGATTGTTATAAACAGAACATGATGTTATACAAATTTATATCAAGCTTATGTAAAGCAAGAGATCAAACGTGTTTTGATCATTTTCTAGAGAATGGCATTTTTCAAAACATATTGCCCGCACAAAAAGTACACTTTTGTAAGCGTTTAAAAGGGAATTTTTTTCAGAGAAAGCCTAATTGTTAACATTAAATGCTCTCGAAACTGTTTTTTTTTCAAAACAAAACATTTAAAATGTGTAAAAATATGCCTCTTTTATGTGTAAAAATGTCATCGTTCTCGTTAGTTCTCTAATTAAATAGTTCGAGTTCGATTCAGTTCGGCATTACTTTTAAATAAGTGGTTCGCCTTCGGCTCGGTTCGGATACATTTTTTCCAGACTTTAGTTTCGGCTCGGTTCGGATACATTCTTTCCAGACTTTAGTTTCGGCTCGGTTCGAATTGAATGAAATTTTAATATGTTGGCTCGAGTTCGGATCGGTTTCGGTTTCGGTCTCTGATGTACACCAATGCTGATGTTAGAAGATAAACGGCATGGATTTGTAGTACTTTGAGATAATCTTTACATTTCCAAGGTTTGCAAGCATTATTCTTCTACCTGTCTAACTATTGTACAGATGCTAGCGAATGATCGGGTTGACTCCACAAATTCCTTACATTATAATATCTCGGATTTGACATGCTTTGGTACAGCCCCCAGGTCGTGCAAGTACGACTGAAAACGGCCAGAAAGCACGGGAAATCGTTAGAGCACGGAAGCAGTATTCTGGCCGGAAGTTGCGAGATTTTTTTCCTTTGGATCCCTGTCACTTTCCTGTGATTTCCGGCTGGAAGTTGACCGGAATACACTGGAAAAAATCCGGTAACTTCCAATTGGAATACTGCTTCCGATTTCCAGCACTTTCCCGTGCTTTCCAGCAAGATACGGTGATTTTTCCGCATGTTTCAGACCAGTTCCTACGGTATCAGTCCTCCGAAATCATTGGTCTGGGTCGTTGAGAGAAATCTTATCGGAGTGGACATTCTTTCTTACTTTCATATTTTTACAGGCAGCGACAACATGTAATGGCAGAAGCATCAATTGAACAACACAGTTATTCCGCTTGTCGTGTCACTGAGTACCCTGCAGACTCATTAAATCTCAAAATTGAAGATAATCTAAATGAATACATTATTCTAATCGTGGGCAATCACGATCAAGGCGATCTATTCAAGAGTCTGTTGAGAATTATCAGTGAAGACCGTTTGAAAGCTTTCAATGACATTGAAAACACTCTTCGATTTATTGATTCTACGCATAATGCGAATATTTTTTTAATTATTTCTGGCACATTGGGAGAGACAAATGCACGTAAATTTGATACGATACCGCAGATTATCTGTCTTTATGTGTATTGTATGAATACAGATATACATGCAAAATGGGCCAAAGAAATACGAAAGATACGTTGTATTGTTTCGAATACAACACATTTATTCATTCGACTACACGCTGATATTAAACAGCTAAGTGTACGATGGCCATTTGGTCAAAAGTCGTTTCAAAAAGCTGAAATGTTTACTTCAGAATGGTATCATTTATTTCTTCTAGCAGTGAGTCATCAGCCTCAATGTATTCAAGAATCTTATCGTGAAATGCTTGATGAATGTCGAATTTATTATAGGGACCATCATTCTATGCTCAAAAGAATTGATGATTTTGCACAATATTGCAATTCTTATAATGCAATTCTTGAATATACAAGAAGCAGTTTTGTTTATAGCATTACCAATCATGCTTTACGCACGCAAAATATGGAACTTATCAAGAAATTCAGTCCATTTATCACGCGTCTAAATTTTCAATTACATGAAAATTATAGAAATTATTGTACTTCCAAAATATGTCCCATACGTGTCGTATATCGAGGGCAAGCTCTGAGCGTCGATGAGCTAGAATACCTTCGTTCGGTTTGGAAATCGAAACATCCCGTTATTACGTTAACGACATTTGGTTCTGCATCACTCAATTTTGATGTTGCAATGAAGTTTCTACCCAGTTCAGACGATCTTATACCTTGTTTATTTGAGATTATTATAACTGACGAATACACGATAGAAGAAAAGGATCCATGGCATGCTATACATGCGTTTGCAGATGTTTCCTCGCTATCGTTCTTCCCAGAAGAACAAGAAGTACTATTTTCTTTGTTAACACATTTTCGTGTCAAAGATATCGGTGCTCTAATAGTACAAACTGACAATCGATGGGTGCCAATTACGCTCGAACTCATCAGTGCTGAAAGGGAAAATTACGGTTATAGCCATTTGAATTTTCTGAAACGCATAAAAACGGAAAACAATCCACAAAATTATGCCTATATTTTAAATGTTTTAAAGGAGGTGACCGAAGATGAAGTAAGATTCAATAATATGGATTGGAAAAAATGGTGGTCGATTTTCGAGCGGCAATGGGGAGCAGGTGCAGCACGTGATCAACCACTGGTTCTAACTTTATATCAATGCTTCACGGAGCATAAATATTATTCGAGAAAAGCAGTTGAAATGCACAAAGACATTCTACGTTCTGATCCAAGTATCGAATCAAATCGATCATCTTTTTCCAATCTACGTAAAACCTTCGAGAGTTACTCCAGCATATCTACAAAACAGATTGCCTTATACGAACAATATTTAAAACAATTTTGTACTACAAATACGAAAGAATCCATTGAATGTCTCTATTATGCTGGACTAACTTACGAAAAAATTTCTGATAGCGACCGCGCATTAGAATGTTATGAAACCATTCTTACACGGGAGGAGTCTAGCAAGTTCCATCAGAACTACAAAATACAACAGCGGATAAAAAATTTGAAAAAGCCTTCTAAAGCAGATCGAATGGTGAACAATGGAGGTAAAGCAGTGGTCAAAGGTACTGACAAAGAATCTTCAAGGATGCATGAAGTACAGCAAATGCAAGGGTCAATTTACAGGAATATTAAGAGTAACACTGTTAACAAGCCTTCTATAGCAAGCCGCCTACAACGACTTCTGCAATATCTTAGCGATCGTGAAACGTGGTATGATGCAGCTGACTCAAAGATAATTCTTCGTGTATCAAATGAAAATACTCCGGATCTCTCAGTTAACGATTATCGTTCCCATTTTTTACCTGCTGTTGCCAGACATATATCATCGAGTTTTACAACAATAGACGCAACTAACAATATGTGTCTCTCTCTTTGGCGTTATGAAAAATATATGCATGAATGGACTTTATTCAAATCATTAGAGAATTTTTTACAACCATTTAAAAAGAGATCGGAATATATTAACAAGTGCATTCTTCCTAAACTTGAGCGATTTATAAAAAAACTTAGCGTGCTTATCACCGTATGTACTATTTATATATGTGTTAAAGAGAGAACTGGCAAAATTAACGTAAACAAAGTTCAATTTACCAGTTTCACAAATACAGCAACGAGACAACTCAGTTTCTTCGATCTTCGTGACGGTGACTTATTACATGACCTAGAAGAACTTGAAGAAAAAAGTTCAGCTACTGAAGAAACCTCTATCACTATTCTAGATCACGAAAGGTTCGTTTTAATGACACCCGCCGATTTTATAGAAACGGTGTGCTGGGTGTAATTTAGAATTGAGCAAGTCAGGACCGGTTTTTTCGTTACTCGAGGGATTCTTCAGCTGTTTTAAAAAACCTTAATTCAATTATAATAAAGAATCAAATGAAAGCAAACTGATGTATATCTCTTGTGGGCGTGGGAGTAAGCGTCAGAACAAAGCTTGTATGATGAAAAAGGCCACAACCACATCGGCTCTTACTCAAGCTCACTCATTCACACCCACCACAAAATCAGTCCACGATAAGAAGTGTTATTAGACACTGAAAAGTTTTGATTTTTTTCGAATAACTTCTGTTGCGAGTAGAGCTCAGATGATCGCAGTAAAATATCTTTTCCGATAAATGTTGACCTAAATGAAGAGTCTAATTCAAAATTGTCATATAAATCTTGTGGACTCAATTCAATCGTTTATTTACTGAAAATAAAACTCATTGAGTAGTAAAAGCATTCGTTTGATTAGGAGTCATAGTAGTTCGAACTTGTTGTATCTAATGTCTTGTTATGCACTCGAGAATATAAGTAGATAGTTCCCGATTGTAGTAGTGGAGTGCAATCATATTTACTAGCAAATTAGTAACTGATAAAAGAATGAAACCAAAATATAACGCGAAGAATAGCTGTGCTATATACGAGCTGCGGCATCGAAATAGTGTAAAATAGAATCCAGCCAAGAGTGAAGAGTAAGAACATCAGTAACATATTCTGTTCGAACCATACATCACAGCGGTTGCCAGGATTCCAGCGAAAAAATTATTTGCAAAGGACGTCCCCCTCGGGATTTATCAGGACACTGCGATGTATGGTTTGAACGCCTTGTGGCGACTTTCGAGCGAAGTTAGAAATGATGATGTTCGCAATGCCGAACGGTACTGTTGGTAAGAAGTTCATAGAAATTCAGCCAGTATGGTTTGTCTAAGTGTTCACATTGCTATAAGAATATTTATGTTCTAGTAAAGGTTTTTAAATTTTCCTTTTTTCTGTTAAACTTACCATCTGAGTGCGAGATAAATATGTTGATGGTACAATCACCGCTAGTATCTATTGGAAACTCACACAGATAATTACCCATTGACGTTTTTTGAATATTCTCTTCGTATGAAATACGATTATGCAAAGACGATTAACTGACATGGCTCGCAATGAATAGATGACACAACAGTTGCAGAAATGTGATAAATAACTGATCAGAATGCATCCTCGAACCAGAACGACTGAAATAGTCATCACCGAAAAGCAGAACAAAGCAGAACAAAAGTAGCATAAATAGAAGATACTAACTATAACTACTGCAACACTGGAATTAGCAGTGGTAGCATGGGCACTGGAATAGAAATGACATTTGGTACAAATGAGTAAAACATAAAGGAGTGTGCTAATTCCTGTGATAGCCATGATAACCATTGACGATATGGAAAAATCGTATACAATTGGATTGATGCTGAAATAGTCCATTATGGTGGTTACTTACGCGATGAAAAGTTAATGAAATGAAATCTTTTTGTGGGCTATCAAGCGCTTTTATAATGACAGGAAATGCGAGAATTCAGAGAAAAAGCATGAGCTTCTATTATGTGCAACCTAACTATCTATTGAATGAATAGTTCATTTTGTCGACGTTGTCTTATCAAAATTCTATTGTTTTTTAAGACAAGTTCTCAATTCAGCATGGCAATAAGGTTCTTAACAAAAATCTATGGGACATTTCCCACACCATTCTTTTCTATAGCGCACCCCACGACGCTTGATCCGACAGTTGGATCCTATCGGAAAACTATCGGACTATATCGGATACGATAGGAATTCGTTTGAAGTTGTCAGAATCCTTGGTATCGGATTCCGATAGGAAGTTTTCGGATGTCGGAGTACCAGAATTCCGACAGGAATCACGGTTACTCCGACATTTTCCGTCATCCGACAACTTCCTGTCGGAACCCGATACCAAAGATTCTGTCGAAATTCATGGGATCCGATAGGATCCTATTAATCAGTTTTGCCCTGGGACAGCTATGCGACTTCGTCTACATTTCCACGGCGTGTGTGTTGTTTTATCTCATAATTTAATGATTCCTTGACGAACACTGAAGGAACGAATTATCATTTGCGAAATATTTTTACATATTATATCGCCTATATTCTAAGAATATCATATATCTATATTGTCCCGAACTCATTGGTTCAACGAGACATATATTGAAAAATCTATCAACAGTATCTGAGAATAATATTTAGTGACGTCACAATTTTTCATATTCTAGAATTTCCATGACAATAATTGTTTAGGGTATGGCTGCTCTTGTCGCTTATCTTCACACCCGAATCATTCTATCTTATGCAATATCCGCAAAAAATTAACTGAAATGATATTTTTATTCCTCATTTACCAGCGATTAACGAGCAATTGACAATAGTAATCTTGAATTCACAATCGAGTATACTATATATTTCACATGATGGTGAGCTTTGTCTAATACGTAGGGTATACCGAAATATTTTGACATTTACTGTTATGTAAACATGTGCTATAACGGATGTGCTCGTTGTAGTATACAAAAATGGGATGATTTTAGAGAAAATAATGAAGTGGTATGCAAATAAATTACGATTACGACAAGAAACAGAAATATCTTTTGTCCACGATTTCCAAGGCCGAAGAAAACAATTGAAAGAATATTTAAAAAGAAACTCGCGTACATCACATTCAACAACAATAAGAATTTCTTTTTCTTTATAAATTTCTAGACGTTTACGAATACAACAAGTGTTTGCATAATTTATGCCGAACTTAAATATGAAGTACGATGGAACCTGAATCCACCCTAGTAAAAATACTCTTCGTGTAATTTGATGAGTACTCATGCTCGTTCCTTTTTTTGCACCAGTATATAGAAAAATGACTTAGAAATAATATAATAAAGGAGAATGACGAAGTAAAATGATTGACTTATGTAAAGAAAAACAATTGTTCATTTTCATTTGTTAATCAATTTTAGAACAAGACGATGTGTGAATATACTACTGGGAAATAATTTTATTTTGTACTTTTATTTTTTTTTTGTAAATTACTAGATGAGTTAAAAAATGTTTGCTTCATTCTATTTTGTTGCTCCTCAATTCTGGAATGTTGCTGTTGGAAGTTGTTTCACGGCGTGTTGTAGAATAAACTATAGTTTTGTGACCTTTAACTTAAATTGTTCTATATCATCGTTTGTTATAAGCGACTCAGTAAATGGAATTATAAAATAATTTTGTTGAAGAATGTCGTAGATCGTATTCAATCGAATTATAATTTGTTCAATTTGAAAAAGCTGCTGAATGACGTAATCGGAGGTATTAGAAGATTCAGTCATGTTTTGCAGATGGTCGAAAATTTGTTGAAAATTTTCGAGAACATTAACAAAAATCAATTGTTGTTCTTCGTACGATGACTATCTTGCTTTCATGAAATCGAGTTCTTTGCGGTGATAATCGAGAGCTTGTGTAAGTGTTGAAACTTTGTCGGTTAATTTATCGACTTCTACGACAATCTGAATTTTCATAGCTATAAGAAATTGTAAATATTCTTGTCGAGCAGTCATTTCAACTTTCAGCTTTTTACAGAAAAACCAACAAACTGAATATTTCTGTTTGGTCTCGTTATACGAGTTCAAATGTTGTAAACGAACTGCTTCCATTAAATCGTTTATGTACGTTTCATGTGAACGAATGATTGATTTTAAATTGTTACGAGGAAGCATTCGCGTCTGCATCGTGTTGACTAAAATTAGATTGGAGATTATGATGCTTTCAATGAGCGTTGTATTCAATGCGGATACGGATGATCGAAGTTCATGTATCAATTCATCTGTTTTCATTTCATCTTTGATGTCGATGTTCACTAGCACAGTATGTATTTCGTCGTGTGTTATACGATAAGCTTTTAAATAATACGGAAGAACAAAACTACGTACGACCAACGGATAGCTAAAGGAAGGATCAATCGAAGACATATCGAACTGTTCTTCTAAACAATATTTGTTTTCTCGTTGTTGAAGTTTGTTGAACCGGGACCTGGTAATAATGGTGAGCATTTTGTTGGTCTCCAATGAACTAGGCTTGTGATTGCTGTTTTGGGTAAAGCTTCTCGTTTGAAATCCCGATAAATAAAAACAAAAAAAAACTACATTGGATTTTTAATAGTGCGTTTTCATTGATGAGAATCTTCGAATTTCAATTGATAAATATACTTCTTTTGTTCAGAAAATGTCAGTAATAATAGATGTAATCTTACTTGTTCGCGATGCGTTTCTTTCTGTTGTAATTTGTAAGTGTCTCCAAGAACTTTACTCATTTGCATTAACTCCAACTTTGAATCAGACTTCACAGCAACTGATTGAAACTGAAGGTTATCGTATTGTTCATCTCCTTGTATACTTTTCTTTGTTCTGATTAATTCAGAAGTTTCTTCATTTGATAGCCAAATCGCATGTTCAAATGAATAAAACAGCATCGATATGAGCAGTATTAAACCAAATAATGACATCATTGTGCTCAAAAACTATATTAATCTGAAAATCATATTTTACTTTTTTTCTCTAATGCATCCGATAATCAGAATGTCAGGAAATGTTAACAAATGAAATGATTATTTTAATTGCTACACTTCAATTTGAGCGTTTGAAAGTTTCTTTTTTTTCCAAAGCTTATAGATTTTTACACATATACGTGTTTTGTAGACAATACAAAAAGTTACCCTATAGTGTTATCATTGATTTATACGATATGAGATGCTAATGACGTCAGTAGAGTCGAATGATGTACGAAGAAAATAAATTTTCTTATTGCAAATATTTTGCGTAATATATACAATAGAAGAGATTTAAGTAGAAAAAAAATACTATACTGATAACATGGCTCAGTGATGATTAGACTAACACTGAAAGAATTTTTATTAATTATAAATCTTATCTTTTTCTGACTGCTCCAATTTTTCCGTCTACGTGTATCAATACGATCGGTCAAACAAAAATGATGAGGCGTTCTTTTTCTTTAAATCGAATCGATTTGCGTTTTTTGCTCGTGTATTTATTTTTAGACGCATTATAATGATTTTCAATTTCACTGTACTAAGATTCTACAAGAATTATCCGTATATCACTTGGAAAATACGCAACCAATAATTTGATATATCTATGAGATCTCGATGTCTACGTCTTTGGCAATGTCTGTTTCACAGGAGAAGAGTGCAGGCGTGCACTCGCATGCTAAATTCGTTTAAACAGATATTTTTCAGTCAGTGATGACGCTTTATTGTTTTTGTTTATGCTAAATAAATCATTTAATAGGAAATTCTTCAATTCCTTTGCATTCTCGTCGCTTAGTCATGTTATTTTATAAATATTTGGAAAATTTTAATAAAGTTTTTCTGATTGATCAAGTGGCTTTAGAATGCACATGAAGCTAAAATAGAAGTTTTATTTATGCCCTTGCCAAATGGTTTCGCGACATGTCTTTTATTTCTCAAATAAAAATATCGATGGTATAGTATAGTAATATTGAAGAATATGTCTATGGTGATCAGAATAATTAATTGACTTGATGACATTGCAAATTGACTAAACAATCATCTGAAGTTTTGTAGATCTGAGATGATTTTTATTTTCTTGATCGATTCTAAATGGAAATCGGCACAAGACTAAAAAAATGAGAAACTATTATTAAATTGTTTTATCTCGAATGTTTGATTCTTAATTTTCTTATGCAATATAATTTAGAAAATGGTTTCTACTTATTAAGGGTTTAGTTGAATTATGTATAAATACAAATGAATGAATTCAACAAATTGTACCTCCAAGTTTTATAGTCTTTGTCCTTTGAATCTATTCGCCTGATAAAGATGTTGAATGATATACAAATAGTTCATTTGTGTATTGTCTTGCCAATTAGCCACTTCGTAGGAAACATATCGTTCAATGGTATCGCTTTCCTAATTGGCGGAAAAGGCAGAAAAGAAAAAACCCGACAAAGAAAATGTCGAAAAAAAGAAGGAAAATGCCCTAACTGGTAATTGCAGAAGGTGAAAACGTCGAATGGAAAATGTCGAAAAAAAGAAGGAAAATGCCCTAACTGGTAATTGCAGAAGGTGAAAACGTCGAATGGAAAATGCCGAAATGAAAAAGTATAATTAATAAAAGCGTCGAAGAAAAATTGGTGGAGGAAAAGTAGAAAAATTTTGAAAAGGAAAACATAGAATGAAAAAGATGTCTATAGATAACGAAATTTGTTTTTTGAATTGCCATTGGTTGCTAGTGGGATAAGCTAGTTCGCTGTCGTTCTCGTCTATAATCTATACTTGTTTTGTTCATTGTTAGCGTATACCATATATATAAATCAGTCTGTCGAAAACAACTAACAAATAATTTTCTCGTCGGTCGTTGGCAATGGACAGTGAAATATCATTCCTAACAACTAATAAAGGTAAACCATTACTAGTGTTTAACCAATATATGTTCAAATGCAATAAAACGTCCTCATCAAAAAAGTATTGGGCTTATACTGAACATGGATGCGACGTATATATGCACACCAATTTAGAAAATAAATTTTTCTGTTTCTTTAAAATTATCCAAAAACTCAATTTTCGACATTTTCCTTTTCGACGTTTTCCCTTTCTGCTTTTTCCACCAAACCCTTGCTTTCACTTCTACGGCGTTGGTTGATATAAACAAATTGAATATGTTCATAAAGAAAATATGAAAAAATATTTAAAATTTTCTGTGGACAAGCGCATATCTCGAGGATGTGCGCTGTCAACTGTTTACACATCCGACAGGCCTTCTGACATACGCACACGACAACTTGCACACTCACACCGTCAACTTACGTTCAATTTGCTTAGACGAAGTCTTAAATCAGAAGAAATTATTTAATATCTGACAATAGCTAAAACTTGTCGAAAGATATGTAAGATTTATTTTTTGATCATACTGATATAGTATGAATGTAGAGAACACTCTAATATACATAGACCGTCGGCAATTTTGCAGCCCTTGAACTTTGCGAGTGTGGATGGATGTTAGTCTACTCTTCGTTGGTTCGTTTTAAAATTCGAAATTAATAAGAAAATCACATTTGGTTCTGAATATACTTTTATTACGATCTGATTGTATATTCAGACTGAAGTGATACTTTGTTTTTTATAACAAATTCGCTCGGTATTGGATCATTGTCTAACAAGTTGAGTGTGGGCGTGAGGAGAAGACTCGTAGCCCACACCCTCAAGGTGTTGATACAATTTTGATATAGAACTTTAGACTGAAGGTTAAGTAAGAAGATTTAAATATAAAAAACATCTATTTATCTATCAACGTTTATTATCGAGCATAACAGTAGATTTGTAATCTATGTAGTATTTTTCTTTTTCTCCTCCTTCCACACTTGTCCACCATCGAATCAATAAATTTATAATTACATTAAGCCTTTTCGTTTTCCTTTATCTATTACTTTCATAGGGATATGCTTTTATCATTTATTTTTGCAGTCTTACTAGACAATTAAGTCTCTACTTATATCCGAACTCGATGTTGACAAATCATAGGGGCAAACGAACATTTTTGTCTAGCCAAAATTCAATTGTATTTTAAATAGCAATCGATGATAGGATGTGTGACCTAAGAGAATAGACAAGAAAGACGCAACGAACCTTTGCAGTAATCAGGTGCACGATGTCGACATCGTCCACCATGTACCAAAGAGCGATATTGTCTTCGAACATACCTTATATATGAAATTCTAAAAAGTAGAGCCAGCTAATTGATGTTAGAGTCCTGCAGGTCAACCTTGCCCTACTCTACCCTAAAGGACAGGGTAAGGTTACAAAAAAAATATTTAGGGTATAAGTAGGGTGTAGCTCATACAAATAAAAATTTTATACTGTAGAACTTAATATATATTTCTGACATCTTTTGATCAAAAACAGGGTAAAGAGTGATATCATAATCTAAATCGAATGGGTAGAATAACAAAGCACGGAAAACAAAGGTCTATTGTTTAGTACTATTTCTACATAAGCTGACGAGTTCAGTCACTTTTGATTATTTGTCTAGTAAGTGTGCATGTAAATGTAATAAAAAAAGTCTTCGAAATCATCTCGGCATGAACGTATTGTTAGTACAAACGGGCGAGTTTTGGAAGAGAGAAGGCAAAGTTTAAGTGGCGATGTTGTAAATGACATTTTATTTTAAGAAACTTTCGAAATATTTATTAATTTTGTATTTGATTCTCGTTGAAAATCAGTAAAATATATTGAAACAAAGCGAAAAAAACTTCATGCTGACTTTTACTTGGACCTGAAACTCTAAGGATATGATAGGATGTAAAATGAAAAATCTCTGTGATAGGGTAGGGTAAGGGTACAAAGCCCCTAGGGCATGGCAGGGCAAGGTTACGAAGCCTATAGAGCAGGGTAGGGCTAGGGTAAGAACGTCGTAGGGCAGGGTATGACAAGGGTACGAAGTTTTACGATAGGGCAGGATGCGGGTACAAACAAGTCTTAACCTGCAGGACTCTAATTGATGTGAATATGTTGAAATAAGTAGCCGCTTCAACTCTGTCTTGTCGTGAGTTTGATATTTTTCTTTCTTAATAGAAACCAAGCGAGTAACAAACTTAAAAAGAAGCCATGATTGCAAGAGTAAAAAGAAGCATTAAATCGAATCCAATGTCAATATTTATGCTGTATTTTTATTTTCTTTTATTTCTGAAGGAAGTACGAATAAATAAATATCTGCTAGCAGCAATACTATGTGCCAACATTCATACAAAATAAGACGGCTGCAGTTGACATAAGGTAAACACAAATGCAATATTCTCTTCCTTTCGAACTTCAGCTATGCGTCGATTTCTCCTTAGTTAAATTTTTAAGATTGGCAATTGCAAGTTTCAAAGTCAACTCTTGTAGAAATATCGGGTGTCGATTACTGTGGAGCTAAATAGAGAAGTTTCTCTTCTTCAGTCAGTTGCTTTGAAAAGTAAACACACCGCCATAGACGGCAAGATATAATTTTTTCCCTATTTGAAATGCAATTATTTGCGCCATTGTTGGTCGCTAGAGAGGAACTGTAGAGAAATGTGATCACTAACATAATTTTGCTGTCAATCGGTTGATATTCACTAGAATTCTCAGTTCAAATAATATTCTGTGAGATTTTCAAAGTGTGTAAGCATAAAAGTTGAACGAGACAAAACTAATTTGTTTGTTGGTCCTCCGAAAAGCAGTTTATTCTTCAGGATTGATATTTCATAGATTGATTTCCGTTTCACACATATCTAAGCGCATTACTTAAAGAAAAATAAGTTTTTACGTCGTGAAAAATGTCATGTTATAATGAGGACAGAATTTTCCAACGTCTACAAGATTTATCCAAGCACACTAACTTAATTATTTAGCTCTTCTTTCCATATCGAGAGAGCCTAGAATTTTGAGAAATAGCCGACTAGTCTTATCTATTTTTACATGATGGTCAATTAGTTTCATTTTTATATGTGAATAAATATACACTAAGAAGTTCTAACACTTCGGGTGTTCAATAATGCTTCTGACAAGCTGATTGTTTGGATTGAATTTGTAGCGAGTTCAAAAATGTTCGTATCTCAATTTTACACATCTTCCATCCAGCATTGTACTGCCTCTCTACGATCTGCATTCGATTTTCTTCGTGCGATAAGCTTCAGATGCATTTCGTTCTTTTGGTCGCATGTAGTTGCATCGTCAAGTCGGTATATACTTCGTTCGTCAGTTTCACGTCGAGAACGAAAGCAAAACATAAGGACATCTAGCGATAAGAATGATTATTTTGATTCATGTCGTTCTTCAATATATTTTTTCTCTACGTCAAACATTGTCAGTTTTCAGAATTCTTGGTCGAACTTCATTTTCTTTTTATTAGATATGGGGACTGACGATCATGAGATTAATAACACGTGCGATAGAAATACAGACGAAATGACACACGACAACAATCTGCAAAAACCCTGTATTTACAATAAATATTTACCATTTTATGATTCTATCAAACGGCAAGGTGTTAACAAATTTGATGAAATTCGAGAAAATTTATCTCGCACCATCCAATTGAATGAATTACAACCAGGCTTTTCATTTTGGTCGAATGCATTGAAAGAATTCATTACTCTCTATGGATTTTATTTTACCAAAGACAATCATCTGAAACTCGTCAATTTTTATCTGTCAGTTCTTTCTATTACTGATCTGCAATACACAAGTGTGAAAATATGTTGTGAACTACTTTCAACGCTTTTACGGTTTGTATTTGAAATTGTTCCAGATGTCATTGAGAAAATATTCAATGATGCTATTTTGTAGGAAGACGCGTTTAATCACAAGAGATGATTTGGTCATTGATTGGCATACGCTCTATCGATGGGCTAAACTGGTTCATAATAATCACGATAAAGCTCACGCACTAGTCACTTTACCAGAGTTTGTACTTCATCTAGTTGAGTATGATATATATATACTGTTTTTTGCTTTGCAGAGGCCTTGAATTTTCGATTCTGTGGTGTACACATTACTGTTCTCCATACTTTTCAAAAACGGCCACTCAAGAAATTCTTGAAATATTTCGTCCACAATTTTATCCAAACGATTCAAACTTTTTCAATATAATGTATATCCTCAGTTCCTTTCTGCCATTTAATCTACCTCCGGATTTGCATAGTCAAGGATTTCAGTTTGCATCTTTTGTTTCTTTTGCACAATGCACACTGTTTTGTTTTTGCTTAGATTATGGCTATCGGAATTTTTCGATATTTGGGAAAGTATCTACAACCGAACAGTGTGGGAATTGGTTGGTATTTTTATTAATCATATTTCTTAGTATGAAGGATTCTATTTAGCACATGATTGGGATTTTTTCATCAGCAGCATGGAACAATATTGGTTATATAGATTGGGAGCCGTGGTTAGCACAAGTATAATCATACTTTTTGAAAATGTCTTATTGTCAGCATGTTCCTTTTTGTCTGATAGATCTTTACGCGTATACTAAGAGGCTTTTCTCTGCCGGTTGGTAAAATGCAAACGTCTCCGCAGAGATATCGTTATATCACACGTAAAATTGCAAGATGGATCGTTGCCATGATGGGCAACGGAAGTGCATGTCTTACATATCTGGACGATCTACTGATGGCAATGAAAAATTTCTACCATCCATCAAACACAGGAAAGTTTCAGAAAAATCTGGTAGAATTCCTTTTGGACCTTTCTGACAATTTTGTTGATCGAGTTCGTTTGTGAGTACGATTCTCGCACGTATGTTGAACATTTGATTCAGCCAGACTTTTTCAGGGAACGCAAAGCTCATCCTGTTTGGTGGTTTCAACCGCATGAATCGTGTCGCTTAACAGAACAAAACATCACGGATTTTGTCAATTGTATCAAAGATTATGTTTTCACGTCTATCTTTAATAAAGAACATGGACAAAAGGCTATAGAAGCCTGCCAATATCTCTCCATGCTTCGGCCAGAATTGATTGTGTCACCGATGGCTGAAACGTAAGAAGTCTTTGTGATTGGTTTTATATCTCACTTATGGATGTTTTATTCATTTCTAGATTGTTTTCATCGATTGAAAATATCACTGAACCTCACCGTTTCACAACCAGTGTGGTTTGTTTAACGCATCTTGCGCGCCAACTAGTTCGACAAACATCTTCTTACTCTGCGGGACAAGTATATGTGCTACCATTGCTTATGTCTGTTTTACCTGGAATAGATTTAAATGATCCGAAAAAGATTTCTACAACATTGAAATTTCTGAATACTGTTTTATCACTTATCACCTGTGTTGATTGTTCATCGGCAGTACACATTCGAAATGATCTAACAGAGGTGAAAGTTCACATTGATTCCAACAAAAAAAAAGAACATCTATTGTTGTAGATCGAAAAGCAAGTGTGTTTATCAACGAAATTATTCGAAAATTTTATCAGTACATTTCTCGATCGAGTATTTCAAATGATCGAACACTTATCGAGCGATATGTTCGATGCTACGATGATTACTGACGAAGTTAACATTGACTATAGAGACATCGAGTTATTGCTCGAATCAATTCTACGTAATATCACTGGGCAGTGTAGTAGCACAATCTATCGGGTATGTATATGTAATAATATTGAGCATCATCTGCAACCTATTTACAAATATATGTAATATTTGATTTTGCACCATATTAAGTTCGTTCAAGAGAAGTTAACGAACTTTCTTTCTGGTGCTTACTTTTCACCTAAAGTCAAAGGTTTTGTATCCGCTGTTGTTCGAGCCTTGCTCCATGGTAACCCTGTCGAAGCACTCAAATGCGTCTTACCGAAAACATGTGAATCTATTGAAAAGATCATGAATCATGCTGACACAACTGAATTATTCATTAATGGCAAAGAGGATCTCGAACTTATTTGGTATTTAACTCTTTTCTCAGAACTTGTTCGTGCTCGTGGCGACACTCTACTCATCTACAAACCAATGATTATGTCAATATTTCATCGATCTACTCATATCGTTCACAAATATTCATATGAAATCGTAGCTAATGCAGCCAGAGATTTACTCGAATCGCTCTCTTATGTATATCCAATCGAATATAAGCTAACAATTGAAAATCTCGACGAACCATTCATCGACTTTTTACCGATTCGAGTAAGAAGAATTTTTTTCAATAGGATAAATTATTGATTTGACTATTGAGGTATGGGGACAACCTGTCGACTTCGATCGATTCCAAATGCAATACCACATTCCAAATGTGGATGAAATCGATTTTGCTTGCGAGTTTGTCAAAACATTTCTCTATTCTGAATTGACACTTTTAAATGAGAAAATGTTGAAATTATCAAATCATGAACGATCAAGATCGCTTACGTTTGTTTATAATATCGCTCTTGGATATTTTCATATGATACCACGCATCGAAAGTGAACAATTAGCTGATCTGTAAGTGACGCATTGATCATAAGAAGGTTTGAAAATGAAGAAATCCAATTTTTTTTTACAGTGTATTATCGGTTGTTCCCTACAATTCAAAATATCAATTCCAAACTTCAACATATATGAGAGAATCAAGTAAGACAATTAGTTTGTGTGTTGAGGACAAGTGCTTGGAGAGACACGATGCGTGAGAAGATTTTACGAATCTTATTTTGAATCTAAATGGAGTATTCCAAAAAATATTGAGGCAAATTGTATCCTTTCAATAAGAGAATAGAGATAGAGGATTCTTGAATCCACATCCCCGCTTTATAGAACCTTTCCATTATTGTCCAAAACGTTTCGAGCGTTCTGTATATCAGAATAATTTCGTCGTCTATGGTCATAATAATGGTTGCTTTCGTTTGTAGAATTTAACGAAAATTTGCGCATGCGTCTTGTTAATGATATTGGAAAATTACTCGGTAAGTCATCTATGGATAAACAGATACAATAATATTTGATGTTTGTTCTAGATTTACTTGTAGAAAATCATTCAGATGATGTTTCATCCATGAAAAAAGCACTTAAGGCAAATATGAATTTCGACTGATTTCTATTAATATAGCATTCGATATTCGTTAAAATGTAGATCTTATCATTGCCGTCTATTTACTATGGCGTATCCAGAGAAGATAATGTTGTACGGTGCCGATATTTTAACTCTAACAAAAAATCATTTAAGAATAAAATGTGTGATGAACGGCGAGCTCTTCGATTCTTAACAATCGAAACTATGGCACTTCGAATCGAGGTAATGAAAAGAAATACTTTAAAACATGATCAGTAGTTTTCCCGCCGGAGTTCAGGATTTTATGAAAGGAAATGGGTCGTATTTCTCGTTGAATTGAATATTTACAACTAATTTGTGTGACAGATTTTCATCCGTAAAATTTTTATTAAAAATGCATCTAATGAATTCATGGGGGACTATCTGCGTGTGAATAGACGGGAACAAAGAAAATGTTCCGCTCGAGGGTGTGCGAGTGTGCTATTTCCAAGCATTGTAGTACCGATAGGAGAAAATTCCGTCGTTAACCGCTCGAACAGCTCTCTTCACCAGGCTTTGTAGAGAATTACAAGGACTATCTTCTGACGAAGCCGCAAGTATCTACACGCCAATTTGAGCGAGTTATTAAAGAAATACGGAGAGGGGGATTCATGGTGGGTTGTCCGTTACTTTTAACAAGCTTGCTAGCGCAGCCTCTTTTAGGGCTAAAATATGGAACGTAATATATACCCTAGACTTACTAAACGAATGCAAAATAGCTCTTTAAAACTAGCCTATTTAATAGAGATTTCAATGTGGTCTCGGTAATGATGGGGAAAGATGACAGAAACACCCAATAATATTAATTAATAAAGAAATTTCTGTTTTACTCTGAACACTCCTCCTTTTTATACATTGACAGTTCGCACAATGCAGCGGATACATCTTTGATAATCATTGTAATGTTTGAATTAGAAAAAAAAACTGTTTGCATACTAGAAAACAGTAAATTGGCGTAGTTTTCTTTACTGCAATTTGCTTGAGGAATCAGAAAACCTACTTTTGGTGTTGATTAATCCGACAATTTCTATCGCATTAGATATGTACTGAATATTTTGTTTGGCTCTTGCTCAATGTTTGAACTTTTAAGATTTTCAAAAGACGGTCGTAAAAATAATTGTTATGTACTTAGGATTTTATTCTCAGTAATTCTGAACCGATTACACACATCGATGAGCAAGTCGTATTTCGACTATTCGAACTATCGCTTCATCAGTATATTGAAGTAAGTTGTATATTCCTAAATAAGATTTTTAGAATTGAATATTTCTATTTAATCTTTCAGATACGTCGTACTGCACAAAGTGAATTATTCTCTGTTCTTGATCATTATGCTTTCTCGTCTAATGTGCTTGTCGATCGCATTGTTGAGGTGTTGAAAACAGCGAACGAAACTGATCATGATCAAGTCAAAGTTCGTTGAGTCTCTTGTTTGTCCTAAATTTATTCATTTAACTATCGTTTCTCTCTACTAGGGTTGTCTATATATTCTTCTTGGTAATGATTCATTTTTCTTGCCAACTCAAATCTCTTGGTCAAAAATGGAAAAACTGTGGTCATCCATAGCAAGTATCAGCCATTCTGAAAAAAGAAGCATACCAGGTTTAATTCAACGGATCAGTCATAAAATTGGAAAGCTGTTCGTTACGAAAGAGATCAATCAGAATGCGAACGAAGAATCGACACGTACGGCAATTACTCTTTGGCGTTCATTAGAACCAAAAGAACTAAAAACTGGCAATCAAGTACATGAGCAACAAAATCAAGTCAATATTCAATCGTACAATAATCTCATGGAACAACTTAACTCGCTGATCACCAGCAATAAACTGCAAGTGTTCTATTTTTTAGTCGTACAAGGTTTGCGCTCATGCTTTAATTTTCAGAACATGGAAACAACAACAAGTGGCAATGTCGATGATGTTCCATCTTTTTCAAAAATATATACCAATGTCGTACTCCTGTATTCGCACATGTGTCGATCTTCTCGTTCATGATAATGTAGAATTGCGAGAGGTTTGTTGATTCAATATTATACATATATATATATTTCTTCATTTGGATTTACTCAGTATGCCATCAAAAGCATTGCAGCGATTTGTCGATTGCAAAAACCGCCTCGTATCTATGTAGAAAAATCCCTGCACGAAATTCTGCAGCATAATGGCCAATCATCGGTAACTATTATCAACGATGCATATCATCCTGGTGATAGAATGGATAATGCGTGGTTAACAATCGATGGTTATATCCCACCAACCACACAGAGCGAATGGGAACAAACATGTTTCTTGGATAAATCATTTCATGGCTATTATACATGGCCTAAGATGATCAAATATTCAATCAATAAACGAGAACGTTACTCACAAAACAATATGCCGGAACAAGCGGCTATCTTATATAATCGATTTATAGACAAAAATTTCGTCAAACGAATGGCACAGTTCATGATATTGGACCATGATAGTGCAGATAATCAAACCGAGTTCGATAAAATTCGTTTTGCCGCGTTCAAAGTAAGTCTAGAGAATATCCACCCTAAAAAAAAAGGTAACTTTACCGAACCTTTCAAAAGGTTTCGTAGTTGTTTAAAAGCGTCCAAATACGTTCAAAGACTTGAAAAAACGATTGTTAAAATCTGCGAAACCTTTATAGTTTTGCACTATGGTTTTAAACGAAATCTTTTTTCGCTGTATGGAACTTAAAAAAGGTTTCGTGGATTTTAGCAATCGTTTTTTCAAGCCTTTGAACGCATTTGGAAGCTTTTAGATTCCTACGAAACCTTTTTTTTAAAGAGTGTGAATGATAAAAAAAACGAATTCTGTCTCATTGTAACAGTATTTTTCTCGCCTGTACAATTGAATTCATAACAAATTCACCATCATTTAGGGTCTCTTTCGTAATTTTGGTCTCGCATTTATCGACAACTTCATGGAACAATTGTACATGCTTATTCATGAAAAGACAAAAGAGAAACAGAATGGAAGTCATCGAGTTGCAGCAGAAATTGTCGCCGGTATGATTCGTGGTTCAAAATATTGGACAATAGAAATGGTAGAAAAAGTTTCTTGCGCAGTTCAATTTAAAAAACGCATTTTTTTGAAAATATTGAATTTAGCTTGACGAACTCTGGAAAAATCTGACAGTATTTCTCAATGAAGTTTGTAGCAATCTCAGTTCGAATACATACTCATGCTGGGGCTCATGCTTTAAGTACGCTATGGTAAGTTTTTTTTCTGTAACTTTTCTCACACTAAGTAACTGATGAATTCTTAAGGAAAACGAAGATCCTCGTCGTATGTATCGGCCAATACAGTTTCTTCAATCATTGATCAATAATCCAGCAGCCATCAATATATCGAGTGTTACATCACTTTGGTATATTATTCAACAATTGGACGTTTTCAAATGGCGTGTTCCATCGATTTGGCGCTATATTAATGATCATGTGAAGAAACTATTGCATCATTCGTTCACAGCAATACGAGATCGCATGGCCATGTAAGAAACATGTCTTCCTTCATTTCTTAATGTTCAATAAAAAAAAAGAAATTTATCACGCTTTAGTGTTTTATCTATATCCCTCATTTTCGACTTAACATTGTTTCATGGGGAAGCGATACGTCAACCCAATATTGATCAAACTGTTGATGAAATACACGAACAATTGCATCGAGCTATCCAAATTTATGAGGAAAAGCCACTAAGTAGAAAATCGTTCTCTTACTGACATTTTTGTTGATCTTTTGCAAAAAATGGTTTTCTGTTCAAATATTTCTTCTAGCTAGTGTATCTGATCAAATTGTTGAAATTGATCCTGAAGTGCGTGAAGCGTTGAATTTTATTGGCACAGGTACAGACTTTTAATTTATTATTAGTTCATGTAAATTATACTCGCTTTTTCTTTTGGTCATTTAATGTAGTGATTCTTATACATACAAAAATTTTCGCCTTTTGTTCACAACCGATAAAAAATTCCATTATTCGTATTTTCCCCACTGTAAGTGTACTACTCACTTGTCTATTATCAATTTATCGCTTTTATTATTCACTAAGCTGTGCAATATTGAAAGTATTGTGGCCCATGATGATGTTCTTAAGACGAACTTGGCAATGAGTCGATTGAATGTCGGTATGGCTTATTTGAATGTGCACTTCTTGGAAGCACTTATCAAACAATTAGAACACGTATTTCTATAATAAAAAAAAGATTGATTCTAATAAAATCATTTGTCTGGATAAACAGGTATATGCGAGTTCAGCATGGCATGCACGTCAAGTAGCCATTGACTTTGTTCAAACGATGATCTTTAGTAATCTATTCAATGCTCGTTCTTATGCTAACCGCATACATGATTTTGTATTAAAATCTCTATCTGATGAACAATATGAAGTGCGAATAATTGCATCGACAACTCTATCAGGTCTCTATCAATGTGGTTACATTCAAGTGACTGATGAAGATCTAGTAGGATAATGATTTTTTCTGTTCTCTTCGACGGATAAATTTTGATTTCTTTATTTTAAAAGGAATATTTTCGCACCATGAGCAGGACCAATTATTTTACGAAAATCAATACCAAGAAAGTGATATCGACGAATGATATTATCAAAAGACATGCCGGTCAGTATATATTGGGTGTCGATACAGGGAATATTTGCCCCAAGGAGGAAACAATGAACTTGAAGTAAAACAAAGTAGCTTCAAGTATCTAAACTTAATTTAAGTCCAAACTTCCCCGTGCACCCCTTGACATGTTCAGTCGAAGTTTACGATCAAATATGTAATCTACCACTATTTTAGGTGTATTGGGTCTCTGCGCCATCGTTCTATCGAATCCATATGATATTCCGATGTATGTACCAGATATATTAATGCTTCTCTGTGAACATCCACATGACCCGCATCTAATACAAGTGAGTCTACTTTTCTGTATATAGTCATCACAATATGCTAAACAAAAATTCTTTGTTATAAGAAATCGATTAAACAATGTTTATCCGATTTTCGTCACACTCATCACGATTCATGGCACGAACATCGAGAAAAGTTCACTGACGATCAACTTGTCGTTTTGGCTGATGTACTCATTTCTCACACTTATTATGTTTGAAAATCTTGCTTAGATGCACTTCTATTTTAAACACGAACAAATTCGTTATATTCTTAATGTTTTAACAGCAGCATATAAGGTGTGAGTGTGGGTGGGGATCTGAGGGCGGGTACGGGTGAGATTCTCCTCTTTATCTACATCCTCAACTATGGACTCTTCTCTCGCGTCAATGTTGCTAATTGTTATGCGTTTTCTTTGATGAGCAAGATATTATTAGGCAAATTAGTAATAGTGGTGTTTTATACTTGCGTTATATTGATGATATATTTATTGCAATTAATTGACCGACTCGACACTGATTTTAACAAATATAATCGATGGTCTTATAATACGATGAAAATACTAGACTATCAGAAAATATCGATTTAACGGTTAATTTTCTCGGTTTTCACGTAGAAAATGAGAACGTCAAGCTTTTTACTACCGTTTATCAAAAACTTTCGTACGAACTACATCATATATTTGCCATTCAATAGGGTCCATCCGTTGTATATGAAAAAGAAACACACCATTTGCCATATGATTACATGCGATTAGATATTGTTTAACAGTCCAATCATATATTAGTATACTTGAAAAATTAAGGATTGCATTTCTATTGAATTAATATTCAAATAATATTAAACGTACACAAATTTGATATTCGCAATCTCTAATCTCTACAAATTATAGTGAGCTACGTCGAAAAATAATCGATAGCTCTTTAAAAGAAAAAGTACCATTCGAAGATGGTAGAAAATCAACTTGATATACATACGTACGTATATAGCTTATGTTGATCTCTCGCATACAGCATATATTTTTAACTGACACTGAATATTACTATAAACAAGTTAGCTATAACATTATATCCTCTTACAGATTATTATTCTTGTAGCTGATTATCAACACTGGAAATCAAAATATTGTTTGGCCCCACCTTAATTGCAATTATCATCGGTACGATCTCAGGAAATAAAAAAATGACATTCTAGACGATGATGCAGACATTATTTTTGATGTATTTCAATTGCATGCATGAAAAGCAACATTTTAATTCAGCAAGCTACAATAATTTGGGTTTTTATCAAATTCATCAAATTCTTGCGATGAAAATTATTTATTTTCATGTACGAAATTGAAATAAATAAAAAACAATGTCCGTTTCATCACTTTAATGACATTTTTTTGTATTCTCTGGGGAGTCCGTTAAAACGTTATTTTGACCTCGAGTATATGATATAGTGTACTGCAGCCGGGTCGGGTAACCGGCACCCGACCCGACCCGGTACCTGGGTCCGGGTGAAAAGCTCCGGGTCGGGCCGGGTGCCGGTTCTGGAAAAAAAAGTCGGGTCGGGCTGAGGAATTTTCAAAAAACCGACACCCGACCGGCCAACTAGTGATATCTAGAAGAAACATGAAATTTTCAGATATCATTGTCGATTTCAGTCATTTCAGTCATAGGAATGTGAATCTGATTGGGTTATTATTCACTAATATATTCAATAGTCACGACGGGTCACCTAACCTAACCCACAAACACGATTGTTCTACTTATATGTTAAAGAAACTTCGCTAAGTGTGCTAGCTGCTTTATATAACTGATCTATTACCGCCTCACATTTACATGAATCATCGTAAGTATCCATTCTCACATACTTCTACATGTTCATTAATTTTTACTTTTTATCCTAGCTCAGCTCTTCATCATCTCTTCTACCACAAAAACGTAGTTTTTAATGTTATATATTATTGATTGTAAGTATTCATTTCTCTATAATTTCTCATTTGAATTCACTTCTATTTTATCTTCTAGACCTTAGTTGAACAACAAAAACATTGTTTTTGATGTTATTTATTATTTTTATTGATCTTTTATTATCAATTATTTATTATCTATTATTTATTATCGATTATTTATCTCATTGAGATCATCTCACTAATAAACTATTAGCAAAATTTTGACCACAATCCGGTCGGGTGCCGGTCGGTTACCGGGTATAGTTGTCCGGGTCCGGTTCGGGTCCGGGCGTAAGGCCACAGGGTCCGGGCGGTTCCGGGTGTGGGAAAAATCAGTCGGGTCGGCTCCGGGTATGAAAAGTTGCACCCGTGCAGGACACTAATATGATATTTCTACAAATTCAAGTATTGACCGATCCAACACTATTTGAAATGAGACACAGGTTGATTGATCTCATTCCAAAAGGTATTGATAACTGGTAATTATCATATTGCGAAAGAGTGCAGCGTCATCACAAAACATCAACAACATGCAATTTAACAGTAGCGGTTACATATGCACTAGAATTTAAATATCAACTTCGGATTTAACCGTTTTGGCAAAAAATATACTCGCTACAGTTCTATCAAACTTACTGGGATATTATAAATTATACGTGTATTTATCATGCCTTGCAACTTTCTTTTACAGATATTGCCGAATTTATTAATCATAATTCATATCTTCGTTTCAAAAACAAAACTGAATTTATTTAATTACCCCGTTTATTAAGCATATAATCTATAATTCGAAACTATTCTGACTTTGATCGATTGCTGAAAAGCAAAAAGTTGAGAGTAGCAGATTAATTTATCTTTTCGTTCAGTGATAGGTTGATCTGTTTTTGATGGAAAAAACATTGGAAGTAACAGTAGGTTTTCTTTATCCATTTCTGTAAAATGATACCTCAACAATAAAGTTCAAAGATTCGCTAGATGCTAGATTTCTCGCATCTGATATCTTCTCGAATGTAAAATATCAATATTTGCAATAAGAAAAAGTCATTTATCCACTTGAAAAATGAATTGTTCTCGCTGTGATACAATATGCAACCAAAACGTTCCTCATTTCGATAAACGATTGCTTTCAAAGTCAGACCGAAAGAAGAGAAAAGAATTACTAATAACTGCTTTAAATGATTAATTTGCTTGTTAGATATCATGCACTATTCATCAATACCAGCAACGATCAACAGTGTAGATGCATATTTAGTCATGGAAAATGTTTTAATTTTTCGGACTGTTTCATAGACAGAATGAAATAAACTATGGCACATCACTGATCACTTTAAATATACATTCATGTTTATCAATATTATTCGGATGGGTTTCGCGAATGAAGCATTAGCCTATCTGAGCTATCAGTATTATTTTATTACTCAAGGCAATGTACGTCTTTATGGGCTCATCAAATCTAATTGTTATCGAAGTCTGACGTGACTGCTGTAAAAAAATTCAATTGACATACTCAGTTTAGTGTGCTTCTTGAAAATCTCATCCGACAAACAATATTCAAAATCGCTTGACATTTGTTATTGGTCTGGCACGATTGTCGCTGCCTGTTTGAAAACGAGTTGCTAAATTGAAACACTCAGCCAGACTTTGTCGAAGATTTGGCGTAATCCAACAGAGAATGAGAAGCATAAAACCCAGCGCTAAATTCACAATCATGAAAAAGATTCGCATACAATTGTGAGGTAAAATATCTGGACGAATTATGTCAACTATTACAAAAATAGCCACTGGAATATCGACCAAAATTAGTTGAATGTTGAGAAACACGACACGATGTACCACGGTCAAATCTCGGCGCATCTTTAATTGTTGATGGCTATCGATTCTTGATGAAATTTGACGTGCATAACTCACTAATAGACGACAAACACCGGCAGAAGCGATATTCGATACAACCAAGATAAACACACTCATACATAATGTAAGATCAAGTCTTGGTGGAGGAATACAACACAAATTTTCCTTCGTTAGTTTCACCATGTTACCTGTCAGAAAAATGGGCACAACAAAAGTAAAATCAAATATCTTTTGAGCAAGTGTAATGATCACTTGTCTAATTTGAGTGCCAAGAAGTTTAATTCTTCTAATCTTAAAATATTTTTCTACTGCTTGTACAACCAATGGATGATGAATACAAGCTAATGTACAATAATGAAAATAGGCACGTAACGCTCATAGAGAATCAATGTTTGGTACTACTTGTTGATCCTAGATTAACACGTAGACAGCAATCGATATATGGTCAGCAGGAAATAGAAATATGGCTAGAATAGTAGTACAAACTAATAAAGTAGAAAAATTAAAGCATAGTCGTCTATAAATAGTAACAATAGTCAGACAACTAAAAGTTAGTAGACAAGTGAAACAACATATCACTATATATATACGATTGATGATCGAAGAAAATTCCATTTGGATACCATTGCAAATCTCACCAGTTTATTAAGTTTCTGTCAAGGAGATGCATCCATGTTTAGTTGTAGACGTTTATTTTGAGCTAAATATTCACTCCGGATGGATATAACAAAGACAAATAAAGATCAATATTGACTATAATCTTGGAATTTGCTTTTTAATCAACAGTGAAAACGAGTAGTAGTATAGTTGCTGAAAGAAAAAAGTTTAATAGAAAGACGTCATTCTTCTCACAAGATAATAATTTGTTCTCTAGGAAAAAATGACGGTATACATCATTTTTTTCTTTCAAAAATGAATGCTTCAGTTATTTCAGTCTAAATCAAATTAAGCGATATAACAAAAATATGATGTGAAAACTTGCTAAATCAGCTTCTTTTCAGTTGTCTTACTCCTTAAAAATTTTCTATTTCGATGGTTGCTAGCATTCATTAATAGACGTTTTCCTATTGCCGGCCACATACGCATCCAATTACACGGCACGCATAGCCTCTTTCTGTTCTTTCATGTATTTCTCTTTGATGGATCATTTTTGTCCCTAAATAGCGTCATTTATTTGTCGTAGCCAATGGAATATAAAAAAAACGTTTATATACGATTGCCGCATTACTAAATTTGTATGAATTCGAAAGCGATGATCACAGGATGCGTTGTAGTTTTTTCTAATCTAACAGTAGTTTGGAAATTGAATATCAATTCAAAGAACTCAACCAATAAACCGAATTGATATGACATACTTAATGCAATCTATAAGAGAATATTACGAACAAACTAACCAGCTCACCGACCTACATCGACATTTTTCAAGAAAAATGGATTCGAAAAGTTAGGATAGAATATAATATTGAAATGATTGTTATGCATCATACGATAAAGAAGCTCAGGCATAGGTGCTGCTCAAAATAATAATAAAAATAGATTGTTTTTATTATGAGTTTTGTTTATGTATCCAATGTATTTATTTACAATAATTGTGGTATAGTGAACGAAAAAATATCACATATGCTATCTTAAGAAAGCGTTCAAAACTTATTCACTTTGCAATCGATACTTAAGCTCAGTTTGTCTTCTTTGTAGGTTTAATCAGTTTCTGTTTTCTACAATAAGCTTTAAAATTTCGGAAATTACGGTTGGTATATTTGTCAGGATGAGAAAACATTTAAATGTGAATCGCTTGTTGCAATTTATCATTTCGACCAATAGAAAATCGTCGTATATCAGAGTTTTTCTGTCCAGAAATAAAAATTCATTGACTCTGATTAGTCGTCTGAAAGAGAAGATCGCGTATGATGGGCGTGGGTGTGGCCATTTATCAACTCTTTACTCACACGTACACACGCACGCAAAATGAAAGTAACGCAGAACACTTACTTGATATCTCTAAAGAAAAAATATTAATGGAGCAGTTTATTATCAATCATCAACTTGTTTTTCATGTGAATAAAATATTAACGTGATGTTTATCATAATTCATTCTTTAATGAGATTTATTTCTGCTCTTTTTCTAACAACAATAATTAAGAAGAAGACGTTTCCTCTAATAGATTAAATCCGTCAGTCGTCATTGATTACTAATGCCATCGGGCAACGGTTCTATCATGCATTGCTGAAATGATTACCACTTTCGCAGCATTAATATTTACTATTGTAAATTTTACGTCTTTCACACAAATCAGTTATGTCTTGATTTAATCGATATGAGATTCCAAAGCTAGTTGCATATTATTATTTTCTATAGTAATCAATTGAGTAAGAGCCATGCAAAATCTGACTACTCGCATCAACAGTCTGAGAACTTAATTTTGGATCAAGACTTGATAGATAGAAACTTTGTTTTACTGTACAATTGTATATTGCTTCGCTATATTGTCTCGTGTTTTTACTTATAAAAATGGTAAACATTAAGAATGCTGTGGTAATTACTACAATTTGGATTTTAATAATAAATAGCTATTTTTATTTTACATGCGATCGTATTGTCTAAAAATATGGGCATTGATTGTTGATTTTTAGGTTATGCTAATATACGCAAACTTTTCTTGTTATCTTCTATATTTAAGATATCTTTCAGATAAAAAAATGATGTATAGAAAAACTATTTGTTTTAAATGTGGAAAGCCTACATGGGCACGTGGTGTGAAGATCACCTTCGATCTACTGAAAAAATTACTCAATATATGTCTTTTGAGTTTTTAGGTTGTGATCTACACATTGAACAAGCATTATAAGATGTACCAATCAGAGAACGATGTAAATGCTCAAAAGATTCAATAGTTGGAGGATGTATTATTTTATGTAAAATTTGACAACTGATGATATGATGTTAGGGTTCATTGGGTGTGTGTGTCTGACTGTGAGTCTTATAAGTGCAGATCAAGACACCCACACTCCACACTCACACCCCATATCCACACCCCACACCCTTTTCGGACATGAATGAATTAAAAATTTGATTATAATCATGATCGATAATAATGCAACAGCGGGAAATGTCATTAAAAAAAAGTACACTGTGATCATTTCTGATTTGTGGATGGATTCTTTGTGGCCGGACCGAATTTGGACAATGATTTCTTAATTTCTTCGGTCGACCATCTCAAACTTGGTGCATCAAAGTATGGCACTGGTGTGTGACTGTGATGACCTGAAGGACGCCATGGATTCTCGACTTTTTTACCTTGTTTGGATCGTAGAATAGAAGTTGCTTTTGATTGAGAGTCATCTGTAGCGTCTTCAGATTGTTTTTCTTTTGTCTCCTCATTTGGTGATCCAGGCCTTTTCCATCTGCCGATGCCTGGTGGACGCCAAGAAGGTCTTGACTCCTTATGTGGCTTTTCAGAAATTTCAGGTAAGGAATCTGGTGCTTTAGGAGGTGGATCTTCGTGAACAAGTCGTACATAGCAAATACCAGCCGGTTTCCATTGTTTACCATCAGGGATATTGGTGATGGTCGAGCGAATAAATTGGCGAAGTGAAAGTGGTGGAGTGTGTTGAACACGAAACTTGCGTCTTTCGCTATCTAATAACGGGTCCCAACGCTTTTTACGAAACGTCGTAGGCGGAGGTGCAGTGCCGTTTCTAATACTCATTTGAAGCGTTTCTAAAATAATATTAAGATTTTACCTGTTAGTTCAATATTGGACAGGAATATCACACCAGAAATTAGTGCTCAGGAAAAAAAATATAGATAATGTTCGCATAATTCCACTTCTTTTCTTTTTTAGAACTCAAAATATATGTGGAAAAAATAACGTGACTAGGGCATTAACTAAATATGGTTTTTTGTCAATCTCTTAATTCTTATTCAACGCTTACAAAATATGCATCTAAATGTATAAAGGCACTCTTAAAAACAAAGACTGATAAGAGAAAGCAAGAAAAAGCGATGCATACTACTGTCGCGTGATATCAAGTCATGTAGCATAGTCGAATTGCATTATGAATGATACGTTTTTTTTTACACATTATCAGATCGAGTAACAGTGATCAATGCGTACAAATTAATATGGTTTAAAAATCTAAGTTTTCATCGTTTTAGAACGTTTTGCTTCTTTCAATGGATCTCATTATCATTCACGAAGGGGATATACTCGCATTTTAAAGTTGATTTATGAATTAAGAGAGAACGTAAACAGTTATAAGCGATTTTACTGAGTTACATCGGATCTTACAACTAGTTAAAATACAAATCAATCTAAACAGAAAATCTACGCTGTATGTTCCGAAGTTGCTCGAAAATTTGACCTAATATTCAGAGCTCTATAGCAAAGATATTAATAATGTTTTGATGCAGTTTTACTTACATTGTACTTCTTGGTAACTTATTCTCTAATACCAACGCAGTCAGATTTCTTTCTAGTTTACATGACCTTGGACTCACTTGATTAAGTTGAAGTAGCGAACTTTTTGAGAATCTAAGCCATAACCAATGTAAAAACATTTAGAGAAATAAACGGATTATAATCGATTAATATCTCATAAACAGAACTGATTATAATCGATGAAAATTAGGTTTTTTGGATTATTTTTGATTGTAATCGATTAAAAATCGATCAAAGGTGTTTGATATTAATCGGTTTTAATCTGAGATTATTCCTCTAAATTTTTTACATGGAATACATGATACTTAATTGTAAGATAATGGCGAGAATACCATACATCGATCGAAAAACATCTTCCCGACATGTGTATCATGATGCAGCAAATTTTCTATCGCAAAACTTAAGAGAAAAAGTATGCTAGTAAAAACGAATATCGCACTACAATGTAAAAATAACAACGGTTTCTTTTTCTTTCGGCTTTTTATTATTTGTTGGCTAGCCAACGGTTTTGAAGCTGATAATTAGTGTACTGTTATCAGCGCGTCATTTTTGTTGCTTGCATTCATCAGAACAAAATTTATAAATATTCTTATGATGAAAAAAAGGTTGAAAGACCTTGGTTTTATAAAGTCTCTTTGACTAAACGCTGTATACCCTTTCACAATTGTTACAGTCTTTGTATCTAAATAGTGAGAAAAATTCGATGCTACCGTTCAACTCTATTTAGTCGCTCGACGCACAAATTTCTATATAACAAAATCATTTTTCTAATACTGCTATTCCTAACGCTACGAGGAAGTCGATGAATTTAATTTAAATAATAACATGGCTTTCATTAAAATATCAAATTTGAGTTCATCATATGAACGCAGGTGTTTTGTCGAAATAATGCTTTAATTTTTTCTTCATCCATATCACCATGCAAACCAAATGAGATCAAAGTAGTTAGATCTTAGGATTGAAATGAATTGAAAATTATGCCACTAACGATGATTAAACTGAGAAATAATTATCATTTCCATCGTTAAAACAATATGAACTGCATACTGCATTATCACGACTTTTCGAAAATGTATCACATAATTCATGAAAAGATGTATCTAAATGCGCAACTAGCATTGTGCTTCGCTGTATGTCAGCCTTATGAAGGTAATAGTGATTTATTACCAGCTTCTGGTATTAATGAACTCATTTATGGTATTATGGAGTCACTTGTCGACGAACAAGTACATACAACGGTAGTTTTCAAATTTAAATGCGACTTTGAAACATCGCCCTAACGAGTTTCTTTCAACACATTTATATACTTTAATTTTCTCTGATTCTCATTCTCAGTGAGTTTTTTCTTGTAGACGCTCTACTCTGAAAGAAAAAAAGAAGTTTTACAGAACCATTTTAGGGGTTCTGATATCGAGTAAAACGCAGAACCCTCGAAAAAGGTTCTGACTGAAAAAAGGTTCAGTAAAGAAATAACGAAACCATATGTGATTTTTCTTCAAAAAAGCTTCTGTTCTACGTATAAGGTGTTCCATGATTTAAATGGTTTACCATTGGGATTTCCCGTATCTCTGTATCCATATTTCGATATTCTTATATCCTTAGCCTTATGTATACCTTATATCTATACGTTTACAGCTTTACCCTTAAATTATACCCTTATTACTGAATCTTATATTTATACCCTTAAACTATACCCTTATTATTATATTCTTATATCTATACCCTTACAACTATACCCTTATGACTATAACCTTATATCTATACTCTTACAACTATACCCTTACAACTACACCCTTATTACTATATTCTTATATCTATACCCTTAAACTATACCTTTATTACCATATTCTTATATTTATACCCTTAAGCTATACCCTTACAACTATACCCTTATTTGTACATTTCCTGAAAAAAGTGTAGTTCCGGGAAAACTTTAGAGCCTTTCCGATTTTGGCGCTGTCTGAAAACCTTTGAGAGTTTCCGAATATTGGTGTTCAAAGTCTTCTAAACTGAAACAAATAGTTACAGTACTTTCTCACAAAGCAATATCAGAAACTGGAAAAAGGCTTCAAAGCTCACCAACCTTGGAATGCAATGAAAGATCTGAAAAATATCGGCAATCACACAGATGTCGAACCCATGTTATCATAAAAACATCAAAATGACACATCGTTATTTCTCGAATACTGATATATAACTTAGCCATTCGCTGAGATCCATTTGAGGAATCTAAAAGAAAGGAAAAATTAATATTAGGTTTTTGATTCTTTAATGTAACTCACCCTTTGAATAAAATTCATTCCAAGAACCTAAAAGAGAAAAAAGATCGATATTTCTATATTACGTTTTTATTCTTAAATGAAGCTTATTATTTGAATAAAACCTATTTGAAGAATCTAAAACAAACAATAAAAACTTAATATAATTTTCTAATTCTTGCATATAAATTACTGATTGGACAAAATGTGTTGAATGAATCTAAAAGAAAAAGAAATCTTGATATTAGCTGTTGATTCGTCAATGTGAATTATCCTTGGAATGATACAATTGTAAAAAGCTACACGAAAAAAAAAGAAATTTTGATATTAGGTTTGTATTCTGAAATGAAACTTACCGTTTGGATGCAATCTATTTGAAGAATTTCGAAAAAAGAGAAATTGCTATAGGTTTTTATTGTTCGATCCTGTGATTTTAAGAAAAAATCAGTGATAATGATCATCTGAAACCANGATAATATTTTCTGTCGCCACTTTGATAAAAGACTTCATCATAAATATATCTTGCATCATACTTTGTCTCTCAAAGCCTTTTATGGCAGCACGTTTGAACTGTGAAACCCTAAAGAATTGAACAGAAATGATAAAATATTTTACACTTCAGTATTTTTGGGTAGAGAATTTGTTTTTAGAATAGATCGTTTTTTGACAGAACCTTTCAAAGTTCAGTCTTATTGTGCAAAACTTCTTCGGTGTAGCATTGCAGAAACAGAACCTTTTATGGTTCAACAATTTTTTGCTGAACCTTAAACGGTTCCGCATCTTTATCCAGAACTATATCTGGTTCAGTATTATTGCATACTGAACTTTTTATGGTTCAGGATTCTTTGGCCGAACCTTACAAAGTTCAGCATCATGGGACAGAATCTGTCGGGTTCCGTACTTTTGACTAGAGAACATTTTATGGTTCGGTACTTTTTCACAGAATCTTAGTAGGTTCAGTGTCATTGTGCAGAACCCTTTCGGTTCAGTATTCTTCAACACAGAACTTTTTATGGTTTTGGATCTGTTCCCGAAGCCTTCAAAAGTTCAGTACTGTTGGACAGAACTATTGATAGTTTCGTATTGTCATACAGAACTTAAAATGGTTCCGCATGAGCTACGGAACCATAAAATGGTTCTGCAGAACTCCTTTTTTCTTTCAGAGTGGAATATGGATTCTAATGTAGTTTGTTTAAGTACAAAATGTTTACGTAAAAGTCTAGTGCTCTTTATTTTCCCCTTGATAGCTGACTAGATCTCGCATTACCTATTATATCTTGAGGGTGTGGGTGGGTACAGGTTACATGAATATCCACACCCACACCCTCAAATTACTAAATTAACTACATCTTGCATGTGCCGATTGCATAAAGCTACCATGATATTGATATTTCACGTACATAAACAGAATCATCATAGTGCACTGGTTTGAGATGAGTGACAATTTAAAAACGAAATTTTCAATCTGCACTATTATTACAAGAGTAATGATGGATATTCCCTCGTTACTTGTATCAAATGCTACTAGAGGGTATGGATGAATGTTTATATGATCGACACTTCAGTCACCAACTATCCTACCACTAAAATATGATTGCTATTAAATTTTAATAGAAAGTATCAATCTAGGTATTCATTCAAAGAAATATGATTTTGAAAACAAAGAAAATGAATGCAAAGAGAAATAATGTGTTTTGACAGGCAACCGAATCATTGGATTCGTGACACAATTGATCGTTACTGTGCTGAATCTCTTTTCGATTGCATGGTTCAACTTGAAGATCTTCATATTTCGGAATGGTAGGTAAAACGTTGAAGTCCATATAACTTCCTCTATCGTACATAATAAAACGTTGAGCTTCATTGTAGAATTCTTGCCATTGAGCAACTGACTTCGGTGTCCATGTCAGATTACGAAGCCATTGTTCTAATTTAATGTTGTCTATGGGTCTATCGAAATGAAAGCAAAAACATTGAAATTTCATATTTTATAAAGTAAAACTGACAAGGATGTTTTCATAATAGTTTGCCACGCTGTTTGATCAATTGCTGTCACACATGCTCTCAAACTTTCAACCATAGGATAATAAGAGAATGTATGGGAACACATTTCGTCTATTGTCCTCTTTCCACCCTATACAAATAATTAGAATATGATTTCAAAACCTACACAATCTTATTTCATTATTCTACCAATGTCATGTCGTCCTTGTTTCTTGTACTGTATATACAACGAGTAGCAAATGCGTCTCCCTATGTAAATATTGATCAAGAGTTAGACAAATTTGTCGTTGTATTTCTTACTGGATATATTTTGATTGGAGTTGGCAGTCGATTCGCGAATTGATGATTGAAATCGAACGCTTCGGCATTGAATAAATATTGCACAGCTGTATTGTTGCGAATCAATTTAGTCCATACACTGATACCTTAACAGAGAAAACAATGGCGTTCTAATCATCTTCGAAATCATCTACCTTGTAAATGAGTATGTGGTAAAGCGGACACAACATTAATACCAGAAGCGGGAAAATTCTATTTAAAAAACAAAAAAACAAGCCAATAATTTCAAGTTTCATGTGAATGAAACAATGTGCGTACGCGAGTGGCTTCAGGAGGACAATATGAGTCCACAATAAATTGGTCGGTATTTGGCGGAATAGCAAGACTTGTTGAACTAGAGAAAGTTCCAAATATCAGATAACTAAGATCATATTGTCGAAGTTCGTTGCCAAGATAAAATCGAATACCTGAACTATCTCGAAGGTCTAGAGAAAAATAAAACCCTTGACATCATTATAAACTGTGTAGCAGACACGCATGATAATTTTACTCGGAGTTAGTCGCGGATTATCATAGTGTATTTTAACCATGAAATATTTATTGTTGTTAGCACTGGTGACAGCATAACCTGCTTCTTCTGGATATACAGTAGTCTATATGAAGTTCAAATCATTCTAATTATTTGTTATTATCGTTTTTCTCTTACCACATCAGCACCAATGGCCCACGCAGTAGCTACATTTGACGAACACATTCTCGTGTCAGTAAGAATGTCATCACATACTCCATCGGGTAGATTGGCATCATCAAGTACATCGTTCGAACTGCATTCGAATAGATCAAGATGATGTATCAGATTTGTATGTCTCGAATCAATCAATACTTCATGCTATAAAGAATGAGACGAAGTAATAAAGTTTAATTTGAAACAATGATACAATAAATAGTAGAACATACAGCTATTGCATGTCTTTTCGTAAGAAATCGACTTGGACTTTTGAATACTTTGCAATAATATGTAGTGTCAGCTGATGGAACGGCATGCTAAATGAAGAGATGCGGCATGAGAGGGAAAAAAGAAGAAATTACAATCCAGTTACACACATTGTCAAAGCGGAAATCGACGAAATCGAGTCCAGCAAGCATTTCATCTGCCGGTTGATCGGCATATGATCGAAGCGGTAAGATTCGTGAACCTCGTCTATCATCATGATACGTGATATCGACTTTTGATTGACATGGATCAATATCATCAAGGCCATAGGCAAATATTAGAATATTTGTGCCAAGCTAGTTGATAAAAATATGATATTTCCATTAGTTTAACAATAGAATTACAGTTCATACCTTTATCGGAACATCCATTGGGTCACAAGAATCAAAGGAACGCTTGAACTGAATGGCTGTCCATCCATTTTGTTCTTGACCTTTAAGAAGAAACCAATCTTGAGTTGTATTATCCATGACTGGCTTTTGTTTATCGAATGCAAATCGATCCTAATAAAAAAAACGTCGATTGATCAATTTGTGTATAAGTCAGTAACAGCAAAATCTATCTTTCATACTTGAATATGAGCTTTGCCAGAAGAGTCGACCCATCCAACTGCTATATCAGCACCTTTCATGCCTCCAGCTGATCATCGTTTAAAAATATCAAAATAAAAATTGCAATGAGCTGTTTGATTTCCTACCTGGACTAATACCCAAAGCAATCCATCCGATAGTCTTCATATGTAATTCAAACGTAATCTCTTGTGCAGCATTATTCACTGTCCACCAAAGTTCAGCTATATTTGCCTCAAGTTGTATTGAATGGTCATAGGTAGTAAATGGCTGCAGAGGACTTGCAATTCCTGTACATATTTCAATCGCAGTCGACGATATATACAGGCATAAAATAATCCAAGTTTGCATGAAATACGCTTGAAATCAAAACAGAAGATATTCTTAATCGAGATACTAATGAATATTTTTCTTCTCAACATTTTCTTCTCATATCATAAGCCATACGCAAACATATTCAAGATAGGACCATCATAACATTTACTTTGAGCTTTTGCACAATGAATAGATTGCAGCTAATCTTTCTATTACATACTTGTTTTTCGCAAAACATTATTCTTCTCGATAAAGTAACTACTATAAAGGTGAAGTATTTTCAAAGATCTACGATTCACTAATCGACTGTTAAATTTGAAGTTCTTTAAGTAGTGGAAAAGATCGTGCAATGCGAATGAAGAATTTGTATTTGAAATTAATCGAAATCAAAAAAGTAACATTATTGAAATTAATATCTGGAAAAGTGGGCGTGGGTGTCTCTTCACATGGCGCCGACACCGACACCCACACCCATCAAGATAAATATACTTTTATTCGAAAGTAAATTGATCACGAATGAAGTTGAACACGCGAAGTGAAGTTTTTACTGTGGTAATTAGGGATATCGACTATACTATATGTATGTTGATCATAATACGTTTGATTCCCGTTCCTCAGAACTGGAACTAGATCTGCAACATAATTCAGTATAATCGCTTTGAAAAATTCTCCACATCTACTTCACATCAATTGAATGTCTGAATGATGATTATGATCTACTGTTTGAAGCTACAAATCAGATTCTAGCCGTTATTACGAGCTAATTTATGGTATATAACACTCAAAATATTAACACCCGTTTTCTTTCAATCAAATATATTAAAAAAAACATTATTTTATCTGTCTTTTTATTCAATATAATTACATCGACATTGATATCCAATGCAATAGTACGATCGATGATATAAAATATATACGTTCTGCATATAGTCGCTCAGATCGGTTCATAGTCAGTTTTACTGTTCGTTCAGTGAATCCTTCCGCCGTTGTATTTACTCCCCAATGATTTGTAGTTGAATTACCAAATAGTGTATACAATCTTTGATTAACAAGTGGATTCGAATACAACCAATCTATAGCAATTAAATTTTCTTTCGAACTGCATGTGTAATCTATCGTGTCTAAGCTTAAATCCAACTCGTTCTGATATAAGAGTTGAACAATAATCTGATTTGTACATGTTGTTGATTCAAATCCACCTTGCTTAGTGTACGACTGTACACTATTAACATGAGTTAAACCTTGCATTTCGATTAATTTTGTGGGTATATGCTCAGATTGAAACCATATTTGACTTTGTATTGCAGAATACAGTGGTGAATTTTAATCTAAATCTCCATTTAGTAACAATGCACCGTGTTTTTTCGATCGTAATATTTGTGAATTGACTTGAAATTGTCCCCAATAACATGGATTTTTCGTGTATAAAATATCAGTGAATTCGGAGTGAATCAAGGGGGAACAAACTGATTTCCAGTCATAGAAATCAGTGGAAATCAAGAAATCAGTTTGTTCCCTCTTGATATAGCACTCTGTAAACAAGTAGTGACTTTTTTACAATAGTAATAGAGTTTGAACATTCTGAAAAAAAGATTTTCCGACAATTTGATGTTGAAAGGATTCTAAATATTTTTAATATATGGAATTCGATGCTAGCTGGTTTCCAAGAAGGACTTTTACTGGAATATTTTAGATCTTCGAACAAGTGTATGAGAGGATTTCTTGAGAAACAGTGTTCCTGTAAACATATTATGGGCCTTCAGACGAGTTTCTTAGAATACTTAATCTCGATGGGGTATACTGAAGAATTGAAATTCTATTTCTAATTGTCGCCTTCAGTCTTGGTATTTGCTCAGCTGTAGAAATTCTCAGTATAAACTTCTATATCATCAACCATTTGTTTAGAATAAAATTATATGAAATAAAAGTTTCTAGTACACAGAATCATATTAGGAAAAGTCGTTAGATCGAGAGTATGGAATTTCGGCCGGGAGTCAAGTTTACTTGCATAATTCACATGCAAGATTGTACCGCTACAAGCAGTTGATAAACTACTATCACGGTTTGGCTCTTTAGGGAAACAGTGAAGAAAATTGCAAAAAATCTAAATTAAGCTCTAGCGCAGACTAAAAGCAACATGTAATGCATCAGATTTTTACCCAAATACGTTTTCGTTTCATTCCATTACATATTTTGAAAGAATAATATTCTACCTATAGAAAAAAACCTGGGAAGAGAATTCTGGTCGGAAACGAAAGTCGCGCATTAGTTTTCTCGTACACAAAAGTCAAGGTGAAGCATTTTCTTGAGTAGCTTTCGTACTCACACATTGCTATTCACAAGTTTTTTTGATCAGATCAAATATGAGAGTAAAAAGCGTGAATATTGTGTTTTTTTTTAATTATAGCACAAAGGAAGCAGTAGATGCATTAAGGAAAATTTTTCTTATTTCTAAGTCATTAGACAATTCTCACTTAAAAAGAGAAATAAGATAAAATATTTATTTTGACCTATCATTTGGGACTTTTTCTAAAATTTAGATCTGATCAAAGTCACGTGTGAATAGTTTTAAAAAATTACAAAGCACAGTATCTATTTATGAATCATTCATAAGCCATTGATTTTTCTATCCTCCAGTGAGAATGAAAATACCATGGAGGTTAGAAGCATCTCGTCAGCTATGTAACAAGCTCTGATGTGATATTACTATATAATTTGACGAGCGCAGATTAAACACAAATAGCTTCTAGTAATTAACGTTCGGAAAGAATGGATAAATCCACTGACCGTGAATCTAAATGAAAGCAAAACTAAAATAAACAGATATCTAAAGAATTCATCTTTTTATTTCTCCTTTACTACAACGCTGAATAATGCATTAATTACCTTCATTTCATTATAAGAAAGAAAAAGCAATCAACTGAATAGAAGAGTGAACAGGTGAAAATTGCTTACGTGTAGATTGAATTTTTATTATTTTAAAACAAAAGGCACTCACCTAGGTAGGAGGCATGACAAGTAGTGCATTGAAAAACCGTTTTTGTGGTTAGCGTAAGGAGCGAGATAAAAGCAGATAGTTAGCGAATTCTCACATGCAAAAGCGTAAAGTAGAACAATTCTTTTTTCTTTTATCTACGACGAATTTTTCTTAATATTCTCTCTACCCAACAGAATCCATAAGTTGATTGTATGTATGTTCATTCGTTTTAAGTACACATTTTTTTCATCAACAACCACAATTTCGTCAATATATTTGCGAAAATCCTGTAAACTCAATGAATTAAAGGCATTTGTATCAATAACATGCATAAGATTGAGGTAGTATTTGACGTAATTGTATACTTTATTTATTGATAGATTTCAAATATGAATTGTATTTCATTTTTCTAATGGTGTTTTCTTCGAATATGGATGCGGCGTGTCTTACGTTATATCTACAAATTGACGTCTTATTCGCAAATAACCAACACAAAACGTGTGAATCAGTGAGGGTGTGGATCTTCAATACCCAACAGCAACAACCACACATTGCCGAATGAAAAAAAAATGGTAAATATAGACAAATTAATAAACTTCTTGTTCAATAAACAAGATTTTGTTGTTCGATTTTTAATAATACTTGTGTAGACACAACAAGATTTGTAAATTAGAGATTTTTATTCTATTTGTTGATAATTTTCTGTGTAATGTTTAGTGTTCGTTTGTGAAATGAATAAGAACATGATACAACTTTTTCTTTTGAATTCATAATATAGACAGAACGATGGAATATTTAATGTAATGTAAGTGTTTTGCTCAAATTACATACAGTATACTGCTAATGTATGAGTAGATTCAACTGATAAAAACAAAGAGAAAGTAAATAAAAATTGATGCACTTGAAGTTTCTGAACGAATGTTTTCGTATTACCAAATAATATACAAAGTTGAAACAAACTCATAACCTAACTAAAATTTGATTGACAAGTAGTTTCCGAGCGAAAGCCTTTGGTGAATCCTCCGTTCGGTCCTAATAAGTTATTATGCTCTCTCTCTCAGTTGGGCCCTGTCTCAATTTGTCGAATAATATTAATTACTATAATTCATAATTATATTTAATAAAGATTAATATGGCAAGTACAAAATCTATCAACATATATAAGTTCGAGACATCGATATTAATTAGAAAAATGTGTGCTTTGTTACTTTTTGACTAATTTTGTTTTAACAGCTTTACCACTAGGAATTGCTAATATTCACTCGTTTGGGTGCATGGATTTTAGATTGTTCAGCTTAGTGATGTTGATATACATGTTTAACAAGTTAAAATCTCAATAAATCTAAACATATATGGGTGGGCAGGAAATAATCTATCAAGTCTGCTGTTATAGCTTTCTGCATTGTTATTTTTTTTTTTGGTAAATTATTCACCAAAGCATCAGTAAAGTCATCAAAGTCGATTTTTTGCCATCTAGGACAAAAAACAATACTTTAAATGACCCAGGTCGAACATTTCGGCCTCCGTCTCCCGTAAGATACTCCAGGGAATATGCGGGAAAGTCACCATATTCTGCAGGAATTGACCGGAACTACCCGGAACCGGCCGTTTCCAGGCCGGACTGTTCGATCTGGGCATAAAAAAAAGAATTTTTACAAGTCTCATCTACGAAAAAGAAATATTCTCCATGTAAAACGCCACTTTCCATCCGTCTGGAATGATATCAACACGAATATTTATGATTTCTTGAGAATATATCTGAGGAATAGGCAAAATCTCTTTCATAGCTCTTTGTTTTCATATGTACAACAGCTTCTTCAACAACAACCTGTTTTGGTCAACTAGGTCTACAAATATGAACGCCAAGTTCCAGAATAATTGACTTGGTGCTACGACGATGCCGTTCCGTACTGTTTTTGTATTCTCGCTTAATAATACACTGAAAGTCTTGGTAACTGAGAGCAAATACATTTCGATTTGTATCTTATATTTAATAAATGAACGTTAACAGTGAACACCCATATCATGCGACACTGAAGACTTTCAAGCTCATATAATTGATTCATAAAATTAGGCTAACTTCAATACCCAAGAAATTAATGAGAAAATAGATAAGCTCGGTTAGGATTGAATACTCGTGCACATATTTATTTTTATATTAATAATCATTGATTGTAGCGCTTCAATGATTCACCGATGACTTTTGTTACATATGACTCAGTTGTGTAATAAATTATCATTTATCTATGTAGAAATAGCTGAGTCATGATTTATTAAACATTCACTAAATACAAACATAAACACATCTGTAACAGAGTTTCTTAGATTATTTATTTAATATTATTTATTAATTAATAAAATATTCTAGAATGGATAATCATCAACAAAATACAACAACACTACAGTCTCAATCAGTATTGAATAATAATGCTGTTGATCTTGATGATGAAAATAATATGAAGGTGAAATAACGTTTTCTATCATCGTTGACTGCTCTCCTTATGAAATCATCTGATATTCCTACAGTACATCAATTACAGTAGTTAAAATCATACTTTTGAAATTTATTTATTCATTTATAAAATATAAAAGCATGCCACAAGAAGTAACTATCTTTGAGGGTTCGATTTCAAATAGACTAAATTTTATTGTATAGTTTAATTCTCACCATATTTATATTTTAAATGTCTAAAATTCGACATGAAGTCAATTGAAAATGTAGTCTCATGCTTATGTTTTTTAGACTACCAACGAAATACCTACAATTGATAGCAATAGAAATAGTATTGACGATCAAGTAATAACATCTGTATGTGATAGTACGAATGAATCAGCTGCATCCATTAATGATCGAAACACAATAAAAACGACTCGTAAATCTCATCAACAAGCTGCTCAAGATCAATTTCCAAACGAAGACGAAAATAAAAAGCATAGACAACGATCCGTATCCGTATCATCATCATCATCTTCTACATCAACTGATAATGAAACATCTAATATTCCTTATGAAACATTACACAATGAAGATGAAGATGATCAATCTGATCACATTACACCATAATCTACATTTTAATTCGTATTCTTTTGAATAAAAAATTTTAGCACAACTGAAAACCAAAGGAAGACTGTTCTGGGCTTATAAACAAGTTGTGAATATCATTTTTCTTTTGTTTTCTTTTGTCTGTTACTGTTCATTTAAAACAACAAAACGAGGCATTCACACATAGAAACCATAAAATTCCAAACAGAAAAAAAACCGACAAACAAACAAAAGAAAAGAAAGAAAGCACTGTTCAACTAAAGAAAGCTATTGCTCGCAAGTAGAATGAACAACAGATATATATATATATATATCCATACAATACAAAAGAAAATATAACACTTTACAAATAATGACAATCCTTGATTGGCAACTAAAATAAAACCAAACGAGGATGACATATATTTGAGAGATACATATGAAAAGAAGGCAAACATAGACATACGTATATATATATATATGTGTGTGTGTGCGTGTGTGTGTGTATGTGTGTGTAACTAGCTCGTTTACAAATCACAGTTGATCAAAAGTAAAAATAAAAATAAACTATACAATAATAATAATAATAATAATAATACATTCAATAAGGATAGGTAGTATTGTGATGATGATGATGTTGATGATTGAAAGAAGAAGGTGCCATAGTTGCTTGATTATTTGCAGTACCTTGAAAGGATACATTCATATATGAATGTACTGATAATGATTGATTGTTCACGGGTATATATGATGGTGTGGATGGTGGTAGTAAAAATTCATCAAACACAGGAGTTTTAACTCTTGTATGCAAATCATGAAATGGTGCTGAGGTTTGTCCAAGATCATATTGTGATGCTGTTGGCCGATATATTGGTGGAGAATTTCGTTGATGTTGATAGCCGGGTGAATAAAATGGTGTTATTGGTGAATTATATGAAGGCGGCATAGGTGACGAAATAGGTGTTTGGCCATTATTTTCAATTGGTATGTATCCCATCGATTTTGGTGATGGTATTGGTGTAAATGAACTACTAAGTAAATCTTTTTGTTCCATGTTATTGACAGGTACGGCTGTTGTTATTTGTTGGCTCTGTCGTCTTAATTCAAGTGTACGGGCTAAATGTTTATTTTTTATATTTTCTAATTGAGATAATTTATTAAGTATAGTATTCTAAAATGAATAGAAAAAAAGAAATTATTAATTTGCTATCATTTATATGTAGACTTCTACTCGTTTCATCACGTCACTTGTTTGTCCACCGTTCGCTATTTCCTGTTTTCTTGCTTGTTCTAATTGAGATTCTAATTTTTCTTTTGCTAAAACAAAAAAAAACACCATTTTATAGTTGATCGACGAAAAATAAGCCTGTGTATGTAGACAAGATATCAGGTGGATGCGTCAATTGCAAAACAGAAGGTTTCTTCTTTAGATTTCGCTGCGAATGACTTTTATAATTAGTTTTTAACTCGAAAAACTCAATAAGATAATAGTAGAGTGAAATGATCAGTGTTTCAAGTATCAGTTATTTTTCTTCTTCAAAATTCAAGATTTTTCTTTGTTGAAATAATAAATTCTTTCTTAAGCTTCATAGCGGAGGAGTTCGACAGAGAACTCTATTGATACAATGTTTTACTTAATCTCGAAAGGATTACCGCATAAATTTCAACTCATTTGAAAATAAAGAATACTGCTCATAATCTTCTTCTATAAAATCTGCTCTGTATAGTATTAAATGTGAGGACTATTGCTTGTCAAACAGTGATTTTGATAATGCTAAGTTCATATTAATGAAATCTCTTTAATTCAGTCTTTATCAATTATTTGAATATCTGATTAGTCGTAAAATGCAATCAACCAATGCTCGCTTTTTTTAATGTACCTGCTGTATATTTTTTAATAAAATCAATATGTTGCTGTTGAATGGTTTCAGGATTTAATGGAACATTATTTTGCTAAAGATTCAAAAGAAAAATAAAAAGAATTATTTCGATTTTATGAAATAACCTTAGTTTGATTGATTTGAGGTTGCTGTTGAGATGTTGGCATTTTTGTGCTATCATTCTGTACACTACTGCCATTTAACATTCGAACTAATGTTGGTAGTGAATCAGCTGAAAACAAAAAAAAGAGAGCTTTTTTTTCTGTTTTAGAGAATCAGAATTCAAACCTGATGCTTTTTCATGATTATACTTCATTGAATTATTGAGGATACCACGAACGATCGAATCAGAATTTTCTTTTTTAACAGAAGAGAAGCCATTGAATGATGACGAAAAATCTGATGATGACGAAAAATCTGATGATGACTTTTCATCCATCGTTATTTCTAAGAACAAAACAAAAATGAAATAAAATAAAATAAAACCTCAATGTTTGTTTTTTAACCTGAAATATCGGGTTCGCTTGCAAATTGATTATCATTATTATTTACACGTCTATAACGTGATACTAATGTTGGTAAACTGTTAATTATAGTTGCTAATTCTCTATCAATATATTTGTCGTTATCAATTAATATTGATATATAATCTTGAATGGTTAATGGACGTGTTAATTTTGATATATCAAATATATTTCCTACGAGTTTTAATGATTGTAATTTATTCGTTGAAAAACACATATTTAATGATGGAACACATATACGACAATCACCAGATGAAATAGAAGAAGAAGAATCCATGTCTGCTGATGATACTGAAAAAAAACAGAGAAGACTTTTTAGCATTGCGAATTTCAGAATATTGATTTCGGCAATTCGATATGCTTTATGTGTAATCAAAAGTGATTATATGATAATGTCTATTAGTTCTGCAGGATACTACAAGTCTGTCGTTGATAGAAAATTTGGAGTAAAGTGATCATTCGTTTTCCATCTTAAAAGTTATGGATATTATTATTTTATATTTATCACTATGATAGAAATTCAGAATCTTGAAACCTTCTAAAATTGACTCTCCAATTAGTTTAGTACTCTGCCGTTGAATTATGAAAGTTTCATGTTTCAGGAAAGGCACGTTATCATGCTCTAAATCTTGGCTTGCACACTCAAGTCAAAAGAGCATCACTGATTACAATAAACTTCTTCCGAGAACGCAAAAATCAACAGTTTAAAATAAGTTTCTCAGATCTAAGTATTATTCATGTTCGGTCTATTTGCAACAAGAGTAACATACTTAGTTTAAATGATGAACTATTTCCTTTAATATCTGCTGCACACTGATGTCTCCAAGCTGCTTGTAATTCATCGAATTGTGATCGTTGTATTGAACTAGAGTAAAAAAGAATTATTTGCAGAAAACATTTTGTTCTTTCAACAATTCTACTCACTCAAGAACTTCATTGCGAGCAACAATTGTATCGTGATTTTGATGATTTGCTATTAGTTTATATTCAGTATGAAGAAAAACTAACGAACCATCACGTGCATTTAAACGCCATTGCAATTTACTTGCACCAGTAGTAACGCCTAGAAAATAGATTCGTTTCTTATTAGAAATTTCAAGAAAACTAGGACATCGCAAATTACATTTCCATAATGCATGTAATTTAACTAAACGATCTTCATGATAGACAAAATTGAATATGGATTGAGATATTATTTCATGTGGTAGATAGCCAGTTATGACAGCACCTCTATAGAGTAAAACAAAAATTTAGACAAACTTTTCATCTGATTTTTGAATAGAATAATTTTCGAAAGGTAAAAGTCTCAAAAGATCAAGTTCGAGGTCTTGTTGAAACTGTAAACCATGGTTGCGCTGAAACTTAAGAACGTTTCTTCATGATATTAATCAGCTGCCTAGAAATAAGATAGTGTTTCGAAATGTGAGCTAATCGGGCGAGATTTAGTCTGAATGGAAACTCAAGTCGCACCGTTGCCATAGATCACAACAACGGTCCACGACTTTTCCGATTTCTGTTAAAACAAATAAGCAAAATTAGTTTCTGAAAGTTATTCCATTTTTCATTTAAAACTTTCAACGATTGAATAACTCAAAAACTTTTGTGGCATATAAAATGTCAAATAAAATATTTCTAATCTTTGTTTGAAGTCAACTTGTATTCGAAAACAGATATTGTTTTATCAACCACAGCAAAACATTTTCTGGCCGTGACTAATTAATTATTAAAAACTCAGTGGAACTGTTGACGTGACTTGTTGTCAATGGCGAAGAGAACTACTTTTGAACTTGTAATAAACTCCTATCCTAAAGTTACGAGGAGTGAAAAAGATGAATAATAATAAAAAACGTTTATTGTATTTAGCGAAGCATTGCTTTATAAATTATGGGGAGAAGAAATTGCTAAAGATGCTCTTTAGAAATTTTATTCTAAGATTGTAATTATATTGAAAAAGTAGTTTTTATTATATTAACATGTTTTACATACTTTCGAACCTGGTTTTTTTTCTCGTTTCTAATAAAAAACGATAAAACCTGTATGATATTGAATTGTAAAGCTATATCAAAAATAAAATGAATGAACAGCTTTAGTCTCATTCATTACTCGTTTCATCGATAGCTCATGTCATCTTTCTTCTTTTGTAAGTCGGTAAAATAACTCTAAATCCGGCTCAGCTTCACATCACAAGAAATGTCATTAAAATCTTTCATTTTTCAAGATTAAATTAGATTTACGCCGCAGTCTCATATCGTCAGAAACAAAAAAAAACGGCAATATCATATAGACATTAGTTTAATGTTTTCTGCAAAGAACGGGACCGTATAAGCCACCGGTTTTGTGCCATCGCCAGTTTCGGGTTGTTTATAGCTCACTGGACGCCGCATTTTACGAAGAATCGTTTGAAACCAAAATTAAGTTATTTTGAACAGAACTGCCCATAGACTCTGTCAAAATAACTTAATTTTGATATCAAACGATTCCTCGTAAAGTGCAGCGTCCAGTGAGCCATAAACAACCCGAAACTGGCGATGGCTCAAAACTGGTGCCTCATATGCCCCCGTCCTTTAAAAAATTACATTATCCTTTTTTTGTTTGTAAAACTATTGAAACAAAAAGTCTCCTATTACGATTATCGATGATATTACTCAAATAATCAAAATGCTCAGTTGACTTTTAAAGTACAATATGAACCAATCAATGGTCACGGAGTCTATTTGAAAAACAAAAATATCTTCGTGTAAATAAAATAGGACATATTTAACAAGCTTTATTTATCCGTATTACCCTAGATGCAGTTAAAGCATATTGAAGATAGTAGGAGTGTTTCTTTCAAGACTTTTCTGTCCTGCAATGAGGATCTTTCATATTAAAACATGTTTCCTTCAGTAACAATGCAATTAAATGCGAAAATCTTCTAGCTATGTTATTATAAAAGAATGATAGGAGTATATATTTTATGCATGGCAAATATTTCCTCGCACTATTTCAATGCTAATAAATATTCTTTTGCGCCAATGAACCATACCTATGATCTTCGAATGTAATTTCACCTATTAAATTCATTTTTGTATAAAATTCTTCTTTATGTACATCAAAAAGTGTTAAATCAATATAGGATGAATCGTCCAATGTAACAACAAGTATTGTTCCTACTGCACCACTATAGCGATGTGTGGTAGAATGAACATCTATAATTTATCAGTAGGACAAAAAGATTAATTAGACTAAAAAATATATATATACTCTTCTCACCAGCATTATCTTGATTAATTTTTCTTTTTCGATGTATTTTAACTTGTCTATATTCATTTGTAACAGCCACAATCATTCGAACACAACAAATATCGAATACTAAAAAGAGAAAAAAGAAATTATCATTAGACTTCTCTCAAATACGCGGAAGCAAAGGATTTCAATTTTTTATAAAAAGAAGTTAGTTTTTATTATTGATTCTAATTGCTAATTAGTTTAGATTTTTATTTTCTTCAAGTTAACCTATTTTATTAAGCGAATGAATCTTATCATGTTGTAAAATTTTTCTCTAGTGCCACTTAATTTACTTTTTGCATTCGAATAAATTTCTACAATAGCATCGATAAAATATTATTGATAGAATTTTATAAATGAAATTAACTTTTTTCATCGATTACACGATCGACCGTTTGGGGTATTATTCTCACCACAATATTGAGATTAATTTTACTATAATTCTCATGTGATTATTTGCTTTGTAAGATTCGATTGATAGCATTTCTCTTTGTTTTGCAAGCATAGAAAAGACCAATTTGATCGTTTATGAAATTTTTTTTTTAAATAGGCTAAAAGAAAATTTTATAAGAAAAGAAACATTAAAATAATTAATGGCAAAATATTGTCAAACTTTTGATCATCTATTCTATTTAAGCTTCTAAAATATTTCGACAGACAATCTATGTCGGATTGTAAATTATTTTAACTACAAATTTATAAGCAAATAATAACAGAGAAAGAACAGTATTGAACAAAATTATGATTATTATATGAACTTATGCAGAATGTCTTGTCAGCGAGTATTTAACTATAATTAACTGTCATCCTGCTAAATCTTCTTGACGAATCGGCACACAGAAAGAATTTACAGATTACTGTAAATGTTTTTCGTCGTTCTTTTTCCTTGTGTCAGAATATTTTATTTATGCATGTATGCGGCCAAAAACAGAAATTATATATAATTCGAACGAGCAAAAAACGTTTTATCAGTCGATAAACAAAAAGAAAAAAACAGCAGTTGTAATTTCACGGCGTGTTTATGGAAAAGATAAGGAAGTTAACATATCGCTGTAATCCAGCTGTTTTTTCATCTTCTAGAATAATTTTATTCATGAACCTGTGTCTATAACCTGATAAAAAGTAATTTCCTTTCAACACATTTCTATTTACAAAGATAAAGGGATCAACATTTGTGCTATTAATATTAATGGAGTTTCTGTTTTTCTATATTTATTTATATGCAATGCTACATATTTTCTCGAAGTCGTTTCACTTACGTTGTGATGTACTGGAAAGGAATTTTGAAAATAGATCTCTTTCACTATCTTCAATTAACAAAAATATTGAGAGACCAATGATTTCAGCCTAAAATAGCACAGTAAAAATAGAATTAATATTTTTTTTAAGACTAAAATCAATATTAAGAACGAACTTGTTCAAAACCAAAATAGTGTTTTATTGTTTGTGATGCGTCAACAATAATATGATTATTGTCAAGACAAATAAGAGTACCTTGCATCGCGTCAAGCAATACATTGCCCATTTCTTCTAATGGTAATCGATTTTGCTGACGTTGTTTTGCGTATGCAGTTACGTCAACTAGATTAAAAACGGAAAACCAATTAGCGATCCATTTCAGATTGAAATTCATGCTTAACATAATAAAATTTCCTTTTCTAATTAAGTTTGAAAACATGTTTTCTTTGATAAAATTTTACTCTAGTTGGTTGAGTTTACTTACATTTGTTTCCATCGGACATTACGCCAACGGCTTCAACATTGCCTTATTGTCTATATGGTTTGACTAGCACACGTTCTAATACTTGCAAACAATAATAATAAAGAAACGAGGAAAAAATGCGATAAATACAACTCAATAGTAGTTCAATAGATAAATTAGTTAAATGTCAATTTCAATTTCAATGCTCGCCTTAATATCGTCTTTGTCTGTGTTTTCTTTTTGTTGTTAATCTAATTAATTGTTGAAAAAAAGAAAAGAATTATTTCTAGAAAAATCAGTTATTCTACTTACAATAGATTCTTCTGTTATTTAACATAATGAATCATGAGCACATTTCTTTTTTTGGCAAATAATTGAATCTGAAAAAGAAATACTATTAGAGTTGTTTTATTTTTTTCTTTAAAATATGATGGATATAATTTGCAACAAACACAAGAAGGAAAGAAATTTGGCTACACGTTTATGGCCACAGAAAATAAGTGTTTGAATCCATGTTTATGTATTTTTCTTTCTACTTATGTCTATCTAGAGACATTGAATGGTAGCGAAAACGAAAGAAAAAGTGCAAAAGAATCAGATCTTTTGGCCAGCTAATATTCAATATACACAATAGGAAGAAAAAGACGCGGGAAAGAGAAGAACACGAGTGACAATGAGCGAAAAGAATACTAAAAATAAAGAAATGTCATACCATAAAAATTGTATGAAGAAAACCTTTAATGTTTCATAAGAATCAAAAAATACATTTACCTGTCTTTATTTGTAGCATAGACAAAGAACAAGATTTTCAATTTTATCTAAAATACAAAGAAAACAACATGAGAAAAATAGAAAAACAAGTTATCATGTTATATTGTAGTTACTCTCTATGAATTATGATTATATGCACGTTTGAACTTTTTTTCATTGTGTTTGTCTAATATACCTTTTTCTTTCCTTTTCTCTTTAACCTACAAGAAACTCCGAGTATCACGACCACCAGCTGAAGAAAAATACGCGAAACGGACGAGACACACACACAAACGCACACGTGCACTATGCTTGCAGGAGTCTTTGCTCGTCCTTCGTTTTTCTTTTGTCGGTTTTCCCTCTTGTCGTCTCGTAAAGAAAAACAGATCTGCAGTGAACATGATGTAAGCCATGCGTTTTTAAAGTAGACATTCTAGAAAATTTGTTTGTATCCCTGCAAATACTAATGAAGAAAAATCTATTAAAGATCAGGTGTAAGCAGTAGAGTCTCTTTATGAGGATATAATTAAGCGAAAGAATAGAATCAAAGTGTTATTTCTAGTCTAGAATTGGAAGATGAATAAAAAGAAATATTTATATTTATATTATGCTGAGTGTATGACTACTATAGCTCTCGTTGTATGAGTTAAGAGATGCTTAAGAGATTTCATCCGTTTCTCTTTGATCTCAGTTCATCATGGAGGAACAAAATCACGCTCGTCATGTGCACGTAGTTTCTCATTCTGTCATAAACGCAGAGTAAATTAGCGGCATGAAAAAAACGTAAGAAACTAAGATTAAAAGACCATTTAACATTCAACAGATATTTTTGATAAAGAAAGAAAAAAGCCAAAAGCAAAGAAAATACAAATGAAAACCATCACGTTGATTGCTTGTGTTGTTGACGGCGATTAAATAGAAAAATAGTCTTTTTCTCGAGAGCATCTTCTTCCAGTTTATTAAATATTGGTTTTAATGTTGATTTTTTCGTTAATAATAAATCATTATTAATTTCAATAAATTTTAATGTTTTCTCACTTAATTCAATGCGACATTCGCCTAAATCAGTTTCTTCATTTCCCTTTTTTTTATCTAATTTTTCATGATTAATTAACATATGTAGAGAAATTATATTTGGATTTGGATAAAATCGAATATGTTGAACATTAAACGATTCTTTCGGATATTTTACTTTATCATAATTGAAACGTTCAAATCTATTACTTAAATCGATTTCGAAACTACGATCATCATTCGTTAATTTGGCCCATAATTGTACTGGTTCTTTATCTAAATTCATACAGTATTCAATACCACAATTCGGATTTTCTACTGGTTCTGTTAGTTCGGGCACAACTGGTTTTGGATTTGTACGATTCGATCGATAGATACGCGAGAAAAAAGTTGATTTCGGTTTTTCTTGAGACAAACGATATTGATCCATTAGTGAAGGTTGACATCGTAAACAACCAGAACACGGATTAGAATATACAAGAGACGGCTGTTCACTTGACAATATTGATTTTACAGAATTTGCTATATAAAGGTATATGGATGATACGGGATATTTTAAATAACTGAAATACCATAAACGTTTTTGAAGTTGTTCAAGACGAGTATAATGTCCTAATTCAAACGTAGCTGCATAACTGAAAATTAAAAGAAAATTGAATTTTTTCTTCATTGATAATTATTTCAAAGAACAGATGTAATATTTTTTATTTATTTATTTATTAGAAGCCTACAGAAATTTGAAAATTTCGATTTTTTTTTTTATTGTTTTCGAATCTAGATAAAAAGCTTTCCTAAGATTCCTATTTTAATCCTTACGATTTGAACTTTTACAGGTGCAAATATCAAGCATCTTTACTCAGTCTGCCTTGTTACAGAAATTGAAAAAAATGAATCATCGATATTCTGCTCTTCAATTTCTAATTATCTCTTCATAAATACTCCTAAACAGTTACTGCTAGGCATTTAGATTTAGAAGATTGAAACAATTAATGAGCAGCATCCATGTATCTCTCAAGTATTCTATTCTAACTGAGTAGTGTTGTATGCATAAATTTCTTTTTTGCTCTAAACTGGCAAATTTGATTGACAATCGGTAAAGCCACAAAATTAGAATGTCGTCTTTTTTATTGTGTTGCATTTTTCTGAAGCTCGTCCATAATTAACTTATACTCGTCTAAAAGGCCATTTAATAAATAATCGGGAAAAAAAGAATAGAAAATTTTCATACTGTTTCAAGGTTGTATTTTATCAAAACTATTTTTCGCTTATCTATTAGTCATATAATGCGTACATGTTTTATATCTACGTAATACTAATTTACTCGATCATTATGTATAAATATTACTGAGATCAGTACAAATGTTAGATATTCTGTCATATATAATTAACATGAGCATTGTATTCAAACAGTATTTAGCAAAAACCATGAAATAGATTAAGTGTTTGAACTTCATAGTGTAATTTGCAAGAAAAAAAATAATACATACGGATGAGTATTCATTCATGCCATATGAAGGACTGGAGAAAACGCTGCAGTATTTTAAAAGAGTCTTCAAACATCGCTTTTCAAACCTAATGACTTACATTAGGTTTGAAGTTCTTTTTGTGTACTCAAAAAGTGAGTACACTAGAATCGGTGAGTGTGTCCGGCCGTTAACACGATAACTTTTGAAAGCCTCATCCAATTGTCATGAGGCTTTGTACACAGAATGATCTCATCAATATCTCAGTCAAGTTCGAAGATGAGAAGGATCCTTCAATTAATGGCTGAGTTATCGAAAAAATTGTCACTTTTGACCAGACCATCCGTGAGGCGGGGGGGAGGTACAGGGATTTTTTTCAAAAAAAACGTTTTTCTTAGAATTATTCACAACATATATAAATCGACTCAGTTTTTGCAGTACACGTAACAATCGGATGCGAATCCGCATGTTTCCTCACTTATTAATTGGAATTATAAGATTCAAAGAAACATTTTTTCATTCTGGTTGAAATAAATAAGTAATCACCTCGATTGCGTGAGAATGCTTATTATGTTGAGAAATATTTCAATTAATAATAACATTGTAGATACGCAGTCGGAATATAGTTGTACAATGAGGAGCCATTCTTCCGACAAGAACTATCTGTAGACGGAGTAAACAATCATTTAATTTTGTCTCAAGAGAAGGCTCAAGGCTTTTGTCTTTACAAGCGAAACTCCAAGCTCTACATAAAAGATTCAACTCCCAGTAGCATCACGTAATATCTCACTAGGACATGCTCAAAAAATTTTCCATTATTTACTAATAAAGGCAATGCTTCAGTGGTCCTTTTTTCGAATTACAAAAGAAATGACCTACTGGTTGATACTCAGAGGATTTTTTTATTGTTCAAGAAACGAACTGGAAAATAAAAGAAATGAATCATTTCATCTTTGCAGATATTATTTGTGATACGCAATACGTCATCGAGTTGATTTATCTTTCTCACTAAATATCAAATTACATTTTCAAATATTTTTTTTCTTAATAGTTGTGTCTAAAACGGATGATTAGAATTCATGCATAGTTTCTTAAATAATACAACTGTGACATATCCGAATGATAGTATCTCGGCAATATAAGATTTAACATTGCTCAGTGCTACATTATACTTATTGACCTGGATATGTCCACTTTGACTAGGGTACAGAGAAAGGGTGTTCTCATGAGAGCATACAGCATGTTTTTTTTTCGTTTCGAATAAAGTTGACTTATCTAGGTCAACAAAAGTCATGAGAGGCTGACACATGTTTCATGTTGTAAAAATTTGCTTGCTTTACAATATCAAATTATTTTTTTAGAAAATACTAGATGGTCAAAGAGTTCTCTATTTATGTTATTATGTACAACTAAATAACCCTTGACAATTGTTATCTAATATTTCGTCAATAGATACGAAATTCTCATGAAGGATTCAAAGGAAATATCTAAATAGTATTCTCTTTAAAACTTACGTTGGTTTTTCACTAGTATTTGACATTGTAATTTTTAATAAAGGTTTTCGAACAACTTTCCCGTTAAATAAACCAAGAACTGATTCGCATAGTAAAGTGATATCATCGTGAAGTTTCTTTTTATTTGTCGTTGGAAACAAACTACGCGCGAATGACAAATGTTCACCGATTGGTATAATGCAAATAGGTAAATTTTGTAAAACACTCGATTGAAGAAGATGAGGCGTTAATTCACTTAATGTTCCATCGCCGCCAACAATCATCAATGCACTTAATTTTTCTGGTTCGATTTTAGTTGTTAACAATTCATTCAGACCGTTGGGATCTGTTACTGTATCGATACGATAAACACGCACATCAAGACCAATTAAATGTAATAATGGAAATATTGTTTTGTCATAAATCGATTTAGCTTTACCATTATTTGCTTGGCCATTAAGTAAAACAGCTACACGATTTGCATGAGTCATAGGTGATAATGTTTGAGAGCCCATTATAGATGCTTGCTGACAATAAAATTGACGAATTTGATTTGCTTGATAACGATCGTAAGACCAATTAGCACCATAGGATAAAGCGCAAAAGGCAAATACAGATTTTTTCCAATTATTACGTATAGTTCGAAACATTCTTTTTGTGTATAGTTGGTAAGAAAATAGAGTATAATTCAATTAATAACGTTTAGTACAATAGAAACGAATATTACTACTCTAACGGCTCTACCGGTACTTGTGCTGTCTAAATCGCACCTCTTTGGTTTAGAATATAGACGAATGAGCGAATAATTCAGTGATGGGATTAGTAAAAATAAATCGAATTCCTCCAATATCTCTATATTATAGATATGTTTTATATTCGAATATTAAATTGTTTCGTTTTATTATCTAACTGTTCTAGAAAAGAGAATAGCGCCATCTGTTAATCGAAAATCGCACATCTAAGTTTCACTTTTTTTTCAACGTTGACTTCCTGATACTAGCTTATTCAACATATTTTGAAGTGATTATAATTATGAAAAGCATCATATACAGTCACTGATTATTGTACAAATACAAGAGTATAGAATGTGAAAGAGTTATAGACGATATATTTGCCTTGAATAACATAAAAGCTTACTCTATGGCTAATTTGATGCTTTTCACGATTTTTCACTCTATTAAATACATATCGGTAGCGAAGTTAGAGATTAAAAAAGTAACAACGATTATTATACTCGAGTCGAGTAGAATAGTGATCAATAATTAGCCGACCGTTCCAGGCGGAAATCAGGTGTTTCATTGTTACGATTGATTTCTATGCGTTGTTGTATACGTATTACTACTATTAACAAGAAGAAAAATGTATTCAAAAATAAGACTTGTAAAATCCGCTTTTTTAGTTATTATATGTTCTTGAGAAAGAAAAGCTCTTTAGAGTAGACATCATTTTATTCATGATTTTATATTAAAAATGAAATAATTTAACATAGAATCACTAATATTTTAATTAGAATGCGCACGTTTTTCAATACTTATTCAAGCAATAACGAGAAAGAGTTGATCGCTGATTAAAGGCTCTAAGACATGTTTAATCATGATCTTGATTCGCTTAAATAAATTCAAATTCTATTGAAAACATTACACGATGGATTCGTGTTTATAAAAAAAAAATGTAAATCAATCACAAATTATCTTTATAAAATTACATAATAAAAAACAAAAGCATAATAATAGAATTAGTCTATTTCTTGAAGAAATTGTTTTCACAGGCACATGTATATATATATATATATATATATATACTTTGTTAATTTTATTTTTCAAATCGATTTAATAATTCTGTTTTTGCATTAAGCAATAATTTAAATGCATCTTCACTTCCAGGTGCATCGCTTTTATCTGGATGTAATAATTTCGCTAAACGCTTGTACGCTGTTAGAACATCTTCTTTTGTACAATTATGTCTTAAACCTAATCGTTCAAAATTGTCTTTATTATTTCGCAGTCGATTAATTGCTTCGACTTGTTCAATAGTAAAATTTACATTGGGTTGATTACTAGCCGGTGGTACACCACCATTTTCATTCGTATCGATCAGTGCAGAAAATAGATTATCGAATAATTCTTGTACACCGGCACCGGTTGCAGCTAAAAAGTAAAATAAAATAATGAGCTAAGGAGGCTATTGCGCTGTAGAGCGAGCGAAGGGTAAGTAGCGATAGTCAACAAGGAATGTTGAATATTTTGGCGAACGATAGGTTCTTGGTTTCCATAAAAACGAAGTTCAAAGAGTTTGTTCGATTGCCTACCCTCAGCGCGGGATCTCATTAGATGATAATGATGTTCGCTGCTCGCAGTTAGTTTTTTTTTCGACCATTTTTCTAATTTCTCTAATAGAATTTCATTATCATCAATTTAAATGATTCTTTATTAAATGTAATATGCTTTGATGTACTATCATTAAATCATTCATTAAAAATTACTCGTGCTCAAAACTAGAAATTTCTTTCCTATTTTGTATTCAATTAGTAAAAATGCCATATGCACATCTACTACTGTTAAACGTGACTATGCGCGAAAAACGATTTTTTTCTAATTTCATTTAATTATTATAATAATAAACAACGTGCGGGAGCCACTCATAAGAGTAGATCGAAGAAGTTCTCTGCCTGTGTTGTCAAAACTAAGCTATAATTGTTTGGATGCATTGCTAATTGCTTCTAAAGAAATAAATGTCTGCCTATTTATATCATTATTTATTGAAGCTGTCAGACGACAGTGTCAACTCTGCAATTATAAAACTACAGAAGATTTTTTCTTCATGATAGAAAGAAATACGACTTTTAAATTTATTTCATTTGGATTAACAAACAAACATTCTAATTATTTACTCAAAAAATAGTTACAGTGATTCAGAAGAGATTGCTTTCGAGTTACAATTCAAAGTACAGATTTTCTTCTTTAAGACATTAAAATTCTAATAAAAACGGGATTAGACATTGTAGTTTCGACTTATGAAAAATTAATCTCTATGCTGTCGGAAAGCTTCAAATCATTCTTAGAGACTTACTGCAAGTAACGTTCAGAAAAATATCGTTGAAAAAAACCTAAATGAACAAATATTGACAAACCTGATGTTTCAAAATATTGATAACCACGAACATTAGCCCATAGCTTAGCTTCATTTTCGTCTACAACTCTTTTTAAATCATTTTTATTTCCAACCACAAAAATAATAACAGGGGATTTTTGTCCATTGTTTAAATTTAATTCTTTTTTCATTTCACAAAGCCAATAATCCAATGTATCGAATGATCGGCGATTTGATAAATCAAAAACAAGTAGAATACCTTGAACGTCACGGTAGAATTCATTGCGTACTTCATAAAAAAGTGGATGACCAGAAAAATCAAATATATTCATGCGTATATCATAATTACGTACACGTAAACGTGTGACACCATAATCAATGCCTATGGTTGCCATATATTTTGATACGAAACGTTTCTCACAGTAACGTTTTATTAAACAACTTTTTCCAACGCTAACATTACCAAGGCTTATAACTTTTAACCGCATCAAATAATCTGATTTCGTTGTCATCGTTATCTAGAAAAATAACAACTTTCTAGAATGACATTTGACAATAGGAAAATTTTCTTTTCCGATATGTTAGATAATTGTAGTTTATTATTCATGATCAAAAAAAAATGTTACCAAGGAAATTTTCAATTTTTCTATGAATTGAACGGAGAAATAGAAAAAAGACGCGTTTTGTTCAAACTATGAATCTAGCAAGACGTTACGCTAAGTGATATGATCGATCGAAGATAAAACAAAAGAAGATAATAGACTAACGAGGGAAGGCCACCAACGGTTCAATCGCTTTTGCGTTGAAACTATTTGCATTATGTAGCTCCCAAGGAGTTATAGATACGCTGAAAATATTTTGGGCGGATAGCTTGTTGTTACGAAAATAGTCCATTTGCAAGGTACGGTTTTTATTGCAGTGTCTGAACTCCCCTCAGGAACCTTGAAAAATATTGCTTTTCAAATTTCAACTTGAAAATTTACATAGAAATATACCTTAACGAGAATAGTGTTTCGTGACTGTTTCAGACCATTCTACTATTCCTATCATTACATACAGCTATTATAAAATTTTTATTTTTACATCTTTTAAGTAAGGTAGCAGATTTGATGAAACAAATAAATTCAATGGCCAAAAACATTCACAAAAAACTATTCTTGTTGAAGTGTATTTCTATGCAAAGTTTCAAGTCGAAATTCGAAAATCAATGTTTTTCACGGTTCTTGACGGGGAGTTCAGGTACTCACTAAAAACCACACTTTTAAGATGGGCTATTTTGCATAACAACAAGCTATTCGCCCAAAATATTTTCAGCGTATCCATAACTCCTTGGGGGCTACATAATGTAAATAGTTTCAACGCAAAAGGGATTGAACAATTGGTGACTCTTCCTCGTAAGTCTCATAAATAATGTAAGTTATTTAACATTGAATCATTTATATATGTAATAGGAAATCAAACAATACTTATTTTCATCTTCACACTTACTTGACAGTAATCATAAAGCTTAAGAATGTGATCGTTCGAATAGTATATAAAACGAAAAACTTACAACCAAAGCAATAAATAGAAGTAGCTATTCTTTTTTTCCACTTGTCATTATTTCAAAATCTCTTCGAACGTGTGCTTCGTCACCTTCATCGTCCACCAACTCTAGTGAAAGTATAGTTCAATTAACTATCCCCCTTGTATACAGCAATGGTATACAATATAAACAATGACAAGCTGAAAGAACGAGTAGAAATCACATTTATTTTTTCTTCGTTTCTTAAAGTAACTAAGGTAACAATATAAGCGTGAGCAACGCGCAGCAGGAATATGATTGCATCCATCACGATAGATGGAGATAGATATTTCTCAAATCAAAATGAGTAAGAAAAAGAATTGGAGTGTTTCATTTCATCGATAATTTAATTTTTATCCGCGTTTGCGTTTGTGTCGTTGATATCGGGTTATTTTTCTTTCTCTCTTGGACAAAGGAATGACGTACTTGAGAAGTTGAATGCGATGTAAAATTGAAGTCAGACTTGTTAAAATCAAAGAAGCATAATGGAATTTTGATATGAGATTAATATGAGAAAAAGTTACAATGCCGAAGGTCTTAAGCTCAGTGATTTTTCAAAGAGGAGAAAGAATATTTAATTAAGTTTTTATGATCCCTTTAGAATAATCATACTTCACTTGATTCACATAATAGAAATGTTCCTGAAATTAATTAATAAAATGTCAAAGAACTAAATAAAAATAGGAACTGCTTCTAAGTCAAAAAGAATTCAAAAGTTTTGTTGATGAAGACAAATTTAACTAAAATGTTGTCTTTAGAATTCGTCTTTTGAAATCTCACTTCTAATGTCTGTATTTATAGAAGAAATCTAATTTTAAAGATCTCCTTTTGAAAACGAGATGTACATTTCAGTTTGAATACGTTTAAGATTGACACATCAGAGGAAGGACTATACACATTTTAAACAAATTCTCCGCATATCATACTAGAAATGTCAAGCTTAGACGAAATTTTCTTTTTTTTTGTATTATGTTCAATCAATAACCTATTCGTACAACCATAACAACACATTCACATCTGTGACACATCCGTTCGTATCACAGCTGATACATCGATGAGGCCGAATGATGATCAGAACAGAACTAATCGTTGCAGTGGTACGAGAAACATGTCAGATATGACTTTCTCTCTCTGATATAGCGTACATGATTTCGATTCCTGTTCCAATCAAGCTTGAAAAAAGTCATAAAACAGATCATAATCTTTAATAGATTTCATTTAATTTCAGTTTAATCGAAGTGAAACACTTCTTAAATTTTTTTCATTCTTGCTAACGAGCGTCCTCTGTAGTTTTTATAAATTCCTATTGGTTAAAGTGTTCCATATTGTTTAAACGGGCAATCATACATTGTTTGTCATTCATTTCAAAAGACGATAATCAAAAATTGTTTCATTAGAAATGGCAAACGACGAACCAGGTTTCTATTCATACACGTTGCGCAATATTTTCATGTCGTATAAAAAAACCTTTATTCCGTTTAGAAAAAACTGCTCGACGTGCATCTCGATCACGTTCTCGAGAGCGTAAATCTCGTCGTCATCGTGATCGTTCACGAGAAAAAGAGCCTAAACGTCGACGATCACGCTCGCCACATGAAAACTATCGTGCTAAACATAGTCGTTCGCGTTCACCTAAAGATCGATCGAAGAAAGAAAACAAGCCCGAAAAAAAACCTGTAAAAAAATATAAATATTGGGATGTACCACCTGTTGGTTTTGAACATATTACACCTGTTCAATACAAAGCTATGCAATGTATGTTTTAAAACTTATAAAGAAATCTTTTTATTTTGTTCTTAAATTTAGCGGCTGGACAAATTTCTCAAATTTTCACTGGAAAAGACTGGAGTGCGAATACAGCAGCTGCGACGCCGGTACTTGGTAGTCATGTTGTTCATCAGTCTCGTCGTTTATATGTTGGAAACATTCCATTTGGTGTTTCAGAAGTAAGAAAAATATGAAGAATTTTGCATTGAAATTAAGATTTCGTTTTTCTTCTCTCTCCATAGAATGCCATGATGGAATTTTTCAACCAGCAAATGCATTTAACTGGTCTATCACAAACAGAAGGAAATCCGGTCATTGCTGTTCAAATAAATCTCGATAAAAATTTTGCTTTTCTTGAAGTAACTTTTAAAATAATATAAAATTTTGTTTTACAAATGCGAAAAAAATTTAGTTTCGCTCAATTGATGAAACAACAGCTGCTATGGCATTTGATGGTATTGTTTTTCAGGGACAATCACTGAAAATTCGTCGTCCAAGAGATTATCAGCCAATGCCAGGTGGCGGTGATTTACCTAATACTGTACCCGGTAAGATTTACATTATTATCAAGAAATTATTTGAATTATTTTTCTTCCTATAGGAGTTGTTTCTACTGTTGTGGCTGATTCACCATTTAAAATTTTTCTTGGTGGTTTACCAAATTATTTGAATGATGACCAGGTTAGTTTGTTTATTCAAAACATATGGAAATGAGAGACTCGGACCGTCGCGAAAATGATATATGTTAATTGCTTTCATTCAACAGTTAGAAGCAATGAAATTCTTTTCCGATCAATGAATATCATAGTAGAAGAGAATAAGGACCTCTGATTTTTAGTATGAGAGAGATTCTCAAAAGTGAATTTATTTTCTCTACTCGTTCGAATAGTTAAAATTACGATTGTCACTATATCTACCTGTCTTCTGTTTTATAATAGATTATGTCAAGTGAAAAATATTTGAGATTTCATCTAAAATGAAAAATATTATCTGTTTCTGTTTATCTCAGTCCTTGAATTTTAATTTTATTGACATAATTTATCAGATTTTTTGCTCTGAATCATAAAATCGACAATTTGTCTCCATCTTGAAATTTTTCATCATTAATAAATGAATGCAAAAATATGCCATCGATGATTGACTCTGCATAATTTTTTTTCTCTCCATTCGTGACGGTCCTCAAATACTGAACTAGTATCGACAAATAACAAAAAACTGATTTTGTATATTGTTGTTCTAGACTAGGTCAGCAATGATTTATCGAGCCTTTGGCTAAAATAAAAATTTATTTCGTTCGTCACACATCTAGAACAATCAAATAATGGACATAATTATATTTATTTCCTGTGAGTTCGATAATTTAGAGTTTTATTTTTCTAGATATAAGATTTTCGTTTATTTTTTCCTTTAATAAATTGTTAATGAAATTTTAATTTTTAGGTCAAAGAATTGCTAATGAGTTTTGGTCCATTGAAAGCATTTAATTTAGTTAAAGATGCAGCAACAGGACTTTCCAAAGGATATGCCTTTTGTGAATATGTTGAAGCTAATGTAACTGAAGCAGCTATTCAAGGTCTCAATGGAATGCAATTAGGTGATAAGAAATTAATTGTACAATTAGCCAGTGTCGGAGCGAAGAATATGCCAGGAGTAAGTTATTCGTGAACACTAGATTTTGTGAAAAATTCAAATATTATTATAGATGCCCGGTGCTATCGGTGTTCAATTGCCAGGTGTTAATTTATTGGCACCAACTGTATCTACAGAAGTTTTGTGTTTACTAAATATGGTTACAGAAGAAGAATTACGCGATGATGAAGAATATGAAGGCACCTATTATATTTATAGAAATAGTTGTTTTCAATATGGAATGTTTTTTTTTCTTTCGATTTATAGATATTATGGAAGATGTAAGAGAAGAATGTGGTAAATACGGATTTGTTAAAAGTCTCGAAATTCCTCGACCAATTCAAGGTGTCGATGTACCTGGTGTTGGAAAGGTAGTATTATGTTTTTTTTAACAGAACGAAAAAAGTCAGTAATTGTTTTCTTTTGTATAGATTTTTGTTGAATTTACTTCCATAAATGAATGTCAAAAAGCACAACAAGCTTTAACTGGACGAAAATTCGCAAATCGTGTGGTTGTCACATCGTACTATGAACCAGATCGATATCATCGGCGCGAATTCTAAATTTTTCTTTCTTCTTTTTTTTGTCTGTATTATTGTGTTTTATGAAACCAATACATTTGTTGTTATTTAAAAAAACGAAATGTTTGGCCTCGGAATGATGTATTCATCTTTTTACGCTATTCATTCACGACGCATATGCTATTTACTCATTTAAAATGTAAAGGAGCCCTTATGTAGGTAGAATGGAAAAAGTAATATTTTTTGTCTTAATGATTATTTTGTCGCTTGATGATCTTGACGGTGACATGATATAGCCTTGGTCTAAAAGCAAGCTTTATTTGTGCAAGGCCACTAAATATCGTCTAGTTGAAGACAAAATTGACTGGTAACTGATACGCTTAGGTGTACGCCTGTTACAACAGAAAGTCGAAACGAATGTAAAAAAAAATGCATGCTAGGAAATGAGAAAAAAATGTGGGATACAATCATTAATAACCACATAGACACCTGCGACGTAACGTCAATTTTTTTTGTTTACATCGCTGTCATGGTTAGACTGCGATGATGCAAGAATACAACCAATTTATTCAATATTATAAAAACTACATATAACACATAATGGGAGGACTATTTGGTAGAAACAAGAAGAATACCTTTGATCCCAATCTTCCACCATATGGTGGACCACCGTATCAACCAGGTGGCTACGGTGCTCCACCGCCGTATCCATATGGTTCGGTTACCCGTTTTGGTGAGTATGATCCTTATGATGTATACGGATATGGTAGTGATCCTGATTACGTCCCAACAGATCCTATGATGAGTATGTATGGGCCTAATAGATTTGGAAGTGGTTCGCTTGGTCCTGGTAAGTTTTACTTAACAAATTTTGTATGTTCAATTTAATCGAACGTTAGGTATGTCTCCTTGGAATTATGGTAACTATTACATGGGTAATACTACTATGCAAATGATGCCATTTATGCAAAGAAAAGTAGCTAAATTTAATCAAATGCAAGGAATGGGGGGTATGGGGTTTATGGGGGGAATGGGAGGAATGGGAGGAATGGGGGGTATGGGAGGAGCGATGCCAATGATGCCTATGATGCCAATGATGCCTTGTCTTCCAGCATGTAGCATGCCTATGATGGCAGCTTCTTGTCCATTACCTGTTGCATGTAGTCCACTTGTTCAAAGTACGTACTTCCTAGCATCGCTCGTTGAGTTCTCTTTCAATAGAATGCTTCAATTGTCATTTCAATCTAAATTAATTACGTGTTTTGCTTTTAAGGTTATCAAACACCATTACCATTTCAATTTTCAAGTGGCTTCGGTATGATCTTATCACTATATCGTTTTAGTACAATAAATAATTTTGCTTTCAGGATCTTCGTTTGGAAACTTTCTCCCACAATATAATCCATCTAGTGGAATGTCATGTTGCTGTTGTGTTTGTGCACCACCACTACCGCCTGCAATTTCTTATTATCCACGTCCAGTTAGTGTTCCGCAACCATATCCTGTTCCATGTCCAATCCCGGTAGCAATCCCTAATATTCAACAAGTACCAGTTCCACGACATGTATCTGTTGTTGCACCGCCCATTTTTGCTGATTGTAATTCACCAGGTGCTGTGCCCAGTGGAGCTCCATTGATGCCATCGGCGGGTGGTTTTACGCAAGGCACCGCTGCTCAATCATTAGTAATGGCATCGAATAAGTTATCAACAAAAGAAACATTATTAAATGATGATAATTCTAAAGATTCGAAACGTCGAAGACCTATACATAAAACTGTTGATCAATCTCGTCGTGCGAAAGCTGAAAAGATAGCTGCCAGTCTTTCTAAACTTGGATTAACTGATAATTTACATAGTGATACTATTTCAAGGAAAGGCAAACATGCAGTTAAATCAACTCGTCGTATACGTAAACTTTCACATGATGATATTTCTTTAATATCATTATCCAAAAATAATTATATTTCACTACCCGATCACTTAACATCAGATAGACTATCAACTTTACTCGATAAGTCAAACCAAAATTCATATAGCAAATCTTCACGCCGTCGTTGAAATCTATCAACATCAGATCACGACTGTTTAGTCTGTAAACAAAACATCTTTAACGTATCTTCATAGTTCTTGTTTACAACGAATGACTTGCTCGTACATCGTAACATTATTTCAACAAGAATAGACATATTTTTTTCTCTTCATCTTCCACTTTTATTAGTTTTACTCACTTTTGATAACAATAATAAAAATACAAAAACAAAAACCAAAAAAAAAGAGAAAGAAACAAAAAGACTTTCTTTATTGAAAACATTGCAGCGAACAGCGATAATATTCCGTTGAACAAATATCATATTCATTAGAGGAAAATAATATTGTCTTATTTTCATATAAATAATTCAAAAAATGTTGAATTCGTCCTAATAATAAACCAAATTCATCTCGATTCGTATTTGCACTCATATCACGTAGTAAATCTTTAATACGCCATAGAAATCTCAACAAATGTATTGAACCATAATAATCACATAAAGATATTTGAGAATCTTTTTCTAATAATTGTCGTAATTGCAAACGTTCAAAACGGTAAAGCAAACATTTTCCAAGTGCTATATTAAACATATCGATTAATGCTGATATTAATGTTCGTATAGCGAGTACTTCAGCTAATGAACATTCATTAATTTGTTGTTCTAAGTAATTATTAAATATATTACGAATAATTAATGACGAATCTACCGGTGGTATTGATAGAAGATAATTTTGATTATTTATAAGATCACGATCATTTATTAAGAATTCAACAAGTTCAGATGGAAATTGTAACCATTCCATTTGATACGAGTAAAAACGACGTGTTAAATTTTGGCATGTTTCATGTTGCGCTGAGATTGTTGGGGATAAATCATTAACTATAGTCGCTATTGGTTCAGTTTCTAAATGAAATAGATTTATGGAAATTTCCATTCAGAAAATAAATATTATTTTCAATAGCTCAATGTTTTAACTAAATGAAATTTACTAACAAATTGAAAAAGGCTCGAGTTTAGCCGGTACAGAATCGTTTCAATGAGTGTCGGAGTCTTTCGATTTTGAGCATCAAATCTTTCTGTTTATATGAACGATGTATGTTTTTCGATAAACAATTCGCTTTCTTGCATTTCTAAAATTCGTTTGTGAGGTTTCGTCGGCGAAATTTACTCTTATAATATAAAATGTACTTTCTTAACTGTATAAGTAGTAGAGAGAGGAAAGAAAAAGAGTGATCGTCATCCTCTTCTCGTAAATAAGTTAGTGATGCAAAATGGTGAGAGAATAGTAAAATTTTATTTTTCATCTTGTCCTCCTATTTATTTACTAGAAAAATAAAAACAAACGGGGCAATCATTCTCACTCGTGCTTTACTTCGTCCAATACGTAAAGTTTTCTTTTAAAATGAACCTATCGATCAACAAGAAACATTAGAAAACGAATAATGTATTTCTAAATATTTTTCGAGCATTTATAACCTCATACGGTGAAATTAGTTAAAAATGATTCTCCAGAGCATTGAGAAAATCTCGTTTAGGGCACTTGTTTAAGACTAAGTGTTTTTCTCATCTTCCTCTTTACTTCACAGATGTAAATAAAATCGATGCAGATTGCGAGGTCGACTCGACACTGTGAACGAAAGATTAATTTTGTTCAAAAATTCACTGCAGTATTGATTTTTCCATGGAAGAAATTTTTCAATTCAGGAAAATCATCTTACTTTTTTCTTTATTTATAATTTTTCCAGTAGTATTCACACTTCGTTTAACTTTTTTTGCGTCAGGTTCAATTAAATCATTATTTGTCATAGTTGAATCTGTATTCGATATTAATTCACTTGTTGTACTACTACTACTACTACTGCCTGTATCACTGCGTCCAGATAACGACGGTGTTTCTTCTATAGGAAAATGACTATGGCTATTGATATTATTCGTCGTCGTATTTGTGGTTGGCTCATTCGTAACTGAATCCATATTTGTACTTGTTGAATAATCGGATATTGATCGACTTGCTGTTCGTTTTAATGGACTTGCATTATGACTATTTTTTCGTAAATTTTTCAATCTAGCTTTACCTTTACCATGTTGAAGAAGTAATTGTGCTTGTTGTTTTATACCATGCTCATCCATTTTAACAAGACGTACTTCATCAACCCACTCGTCCCATTTCGAACTCCAACCACAATAATGTACTAAATAAGAGGGTCGGTGAAAATTTCCACTATCGTTTTCTTTCATTTTATGGTCAACACATTTAACTTCATATAAAAGTAAACCATGATAACAAAGCATAATTTCATTTTTTTTAAAACGATATTGTGTTGATGATAATTCGTTGTCTATTTGTAAAACATCAATTATTGGTTCAATTGTTTGATGATGATGATGATGATATTCTTCTTCGTCATCGCCGTCTTCTTCTTCTTCTTCACCATCATCGATCATTTCTTCATCATCTAACATGATGATTTCAGTGAAAGAAAACAACAGTCTACAAAACAAAACAGATTTTTTTGTTCTTACATAAATCTTATAATTAGATGTCTATAATTTCAACGTTAAATATAAAATCTATCGATCTATAATTAGCTATTAATAGAAAAAAAGATTCATCGCTAAAGCTTTGAGTGAAACTCAAAAAAAAAAGGTTTTCTCAAAGTTTTAACAACTACTTTTTGTGCCAAACTAAACATATTAATCAACAAGAAAGAAAAAGAAATGAGCGATCATTATTCCATAAATCATCAATCAATATAAGGCGCCACATTCGCCTATTTTTTGTTAAGCGAATCATCGTACTCAATTTTTATTATCGAGTGTGGATTCGAATAAAATAGAAATCATGGTCACGTTTTGTTTGTTTTTGAAAAAAATAATGCTTCACTGTCAGAAACAAACTTTTTCAGGCAAAATTTTAATTAGTTGATACGAGTAAGATCGTATTGAAAACAGCTGATGAATTTTTAATACCGAAGTAGCATGTTATTGTTACCAATGATAGAAAATAATCGTTCAAAATCGTTTTCGATTATTTTTTCATACAATTCTCTAGAAATTTATCATTGAAATGTTTTATATTGTGAAAAAAAGTCAATTTTAGCCATAGCACTTGCAATTTCTTTGAAACATATTGAATTAGAATATTAGAGCACACGAACTATTCATTACCAGTGTTTCTAATAGAAATCTGAAATAAAATGTTTTCTTACATTTTTTTTATGCGAAAAACGTGTATCTTCACCCTTTGATTTTATAAACAAAGTGTAAATAAACGAAAAGAGTTCAGATAATCTAGAAAGATAACAAGAAAATTTTTTTTTTTTTATCTGTTTCATAGAGAAAGAAAGTCACATAGATTATAAACAACCAAACAAGAGCATTACTAGGCGTTGCTATTTTTTATTTAATATTATCACATTCAGTTGAATACTTTTCATTCATAGCATGCACGGTTTTTGATGAATTAATAAATACAGTTCTACGTAGAATTTCGACCTCACAATCTGAATCTGTTGATACAGCAAGTGATGATGACGATGACAGTAATTTAATTCCGTCCAAGCAGACAAAGATTTAGCGAAATGCGTGTTCGTTATCTAAAATCAAAGTGTAAGCCTTACATTTTTGTTTTCTGAGCAACGTGTAAATCATAGTGTATTTCGGAAACAGCAGGTGTTCCGGACATTTTGCTTTTGCTGTATATACTTACTGTTAGAAACACTGTTCCGTACAGCAGATATAATTCATTTTTTCAACTTACTACAATATCAATCACCGTTGATCATGAAAATCGATTCTTGTTTTCTATCATCGATGGTATATGTTTCAGACAATCAAAATTTATAGAAAGGTCGTATCGAATTAATACTTCTCTGAAATAATATTTTCTTCAATATTTATCAAAAAACAGAAAATATGCGGGGATAGATAGTAGAGAATTAATTTTCAATGCAGCACCGACGATATTCAAGTAATAAGCATTTTAGCAGCTGCTGTGGCTATTGGAAAAGCAAAAACACTGTACATTAATTAAATATATACTTCATTTTATTCTGAAAACTCGTCAATGCCTTGCTTTAGGATTTCTCATTGGTTTCAATTCTATCATTGGTATACTCGTTCCATCCCGTCTCATACAATCCTATTTAATATTAAAGTCTGAAAAATGTATTGAAATTCAAGATTTAAGTATCATTGGATATGATGACGTATTGAGCTTTATTATTACCAGAAAATCTTTTATAGTATAAACTGACACTCTTAGGTTTCCAAGACATATCAGTAGGATACTATCCATAGTTCCGAATTTAGTAAAGATAGCTACTGTTTATCCTCAAAGTAAGCTGATGTACGCACTTTTCGTCTTTCTGTTTAATGGGACCTCCGCAGATCGCTGAGTATGAGTGTGAGTGTGCGCGAAGAAGAGACCTACACTACACCCACCGCACTATATCACCATCTAGAATAGTTCAGATTGGAATTACTAGAAACGCCAGAGAATTTTAAGCAACGCTGATTTTAAGTTAGATCAGTGATTAATCACGTCATATTTCAGACTCCGTTTTTTCAAAGCTGATGTTATGTTTAGTATGTCAAAATACTTATTTTCAACAGGAATCTGAATATATTGGGCCTATCTCAATCAACGCAAACGCTGGTCAAGATTCTCTTTCTATCACAATTCTTAGAATTAGAAGCTCTGAAAACTCTGCAATTTTTTATCAAAATGAGTACCTTGTCTTGTATGCGTCGTCCCGTTCATATGAAATTACCCTGTAGGCATCTTTTTATTTATTCAACCTCAAGAATAAATCGACCAGAAAATATGAAAACTTAAAATATGAAATGATTATAGGTATATAGCTGCCCATTAAGTGAAAGCAACTTCTCCTGGTCCTGATGCAACGATAGAGATTCTTCTCACCACGCACGGTTTCGATGTCGTGGCAACCAATATCAGCCGTGAGCATCCTCACTTGAATGGTCTCATACTAGTTGTAGTCGACAGATGGATACTTTGGTACGGCAATATATTTCACTTTGCGTAGTTCACTCTGATGCGTATGTCGATTGAATGCCTGATAAAACAGATATCTAATGAAAGATCAAACTCAGAATTCAGAACATCAGTTGGTAGGTAAAAATAATTACCGATCTATTTTGTCAGTTTCCGAAGAGAGCACTTCGTTCAATAACTCATCTTATTTCAATTCGAAATGCTCAACAAAATAGGCAACATTCGAAAATGCACGTAAACTTGCAAAAAGTGTTCATTTTGGCTCCTGACTTTTATTTCCGATCATCAGACATCCAAAGAAAAAATCGACGGTATGCAAAGGAACATTTTATGGTGCCACTCAGAACCCCCAATATCGTCGAAAAACGCCATTTATCCATTTATATCAATGAAGTAGTTGACGACGCATGCTTGAATCCATTGGATGAAACTTTCCATTAGGCAAACACTAATACATTCCACGTTTCTGATCTTTGAAAACCGTTGACTTTTACTGCGTCAAAGTTTCTTTTCGTATTTTCAGTTTCGAGCAGTGATGCATCGTGACTCTTTGTAATAGAAAACGTCTGAAAGTCTCACACAATTGCCCATTTTGAAGCAGCAATCATAAAAAAATTGTTCCATTCTTATTAAAATTGGTCATACAATGCTTGAAAGTTTGAATGAAAACATTTACTTGCTTCAATATTAAGAGCTATTAATATTCGCTTCGATGAGCAGACTTGTAATACCGCTAGCTTTCTCTTCGTGATTAATTGATATACCCGTCACTTGATTGATTACATCTCATCATTTATATTTTGTAGACTTCCATAGTTATTTGAAACCTCTATTGAGGTTTTAATTTGATTCATCTTGAAATTCGAAGAAAATATACCGTTAGCAAACATGTGTCTCGATTTCTATGATTGAAATTCTCTCCATAGAAAGATAATCGCATAGCATATGTGCGTATATAGCGCGTTTTCTGCTAGAAAGATTATTGTCAGTAACTAACTATTTCCATTTATTCATTCTATCATTTATATTCTTCTTGTGTTTATCAGTTGTATTATTATTCATCGTTACATTTAATATTACGTACACTTCTCAGTCGATTTATCAATTTCGAATGTATTTTACAAATTTTGTTGTATCCTCTCTTATGCTAATCATAAATTGCTTGTTGATAATGAGTGAAGCGAAAAATAAGAATTCAACACATCTACGAAAAGCAACGAAGCACATCAAGGGTAACTGAATTGATAAACTCATATTTTTCAGCTTCGGAAAAGTAAATAATAGAGAAAAAAAACTAAAGTACGAAAAAGTGCTAGCATCAAAATCTGATAGGCATAGGAGTCTTTTCTATTGATACGCGATATAGCGAACGAACAAAAACCTCATCTATCGTATCGAATGATAGATTCTGCAATACTACCTTCTGTCTCACTGAATAGACCCATTTCATTCAGCGGTCAAACATATATTCAACAATAAGATTCGAAATAAAAAGACAAAACTCGTGTCCTTCTATCAATACGACTATATCAGGTAACACTAACTCAATATTATAGATCAAGCATACGTTCGCTATGCACTTTATATTGAAGAGACTAAAAATGACCTACCTAATATTCAGCTTTCAGCAACGAGCCCCAACACTGATGACATTAGTAAGCAACTGAAGCTAATATCGCAGAAATGAGAGACGGAAAAGAAAGCACATAAAATGAATCAAAAATCTATCAGCTTATGCTGTTTTCAATGACCATATTTATTGAAAGATGGCGTGTATTCTGCTATTCCATACTTATTTGGGAACAAAGTTATCAATACTCTGAAAAAGAAAGCAAAATCAAAAGGTTCACATCACGATGAAGGTAACACACAGTCACATTAATATGTTCCAAGTTGTTTTCTCTCGGTATCTACTAGCAGACGATGTTGCTGGTTTATTGGACGAAACAGACCCTGATGGTAAAACGAATCAGGAGTCAAGTGGTGTGTTATGAAAATCTCGGTCCAACATAAATCATCGATCACGTTTCGTTTTAGACGAAATCTATTCGGGTATTCCTTATCTATTTGGAGATCGAGTTATTGATACTATGAAAAAGAAAACAAAAAAATATGATCTACTTTACGAATCAGGTAACAAAAACTTCAAATCATGTTAATAGTTTTGAAAGTTTTCCCTTTGAATATTTACCAACAGACGACATCGATTACAATTTAGCTGATTTATTTGATGAAAAGAAGGAGGAAGATACTCCTCCGCATCATGATCCAGGTAATTTATTGTCTTTGTCTAATCTAATTACGATCGAAATCTCCGATGGTGCGAAGAAAAAAAAACATCATTTTGATAATACGATTAAGAGCACGCGTTTTAGTTTTGAATGAATATTGTTTTTCTTTGAACGGAGAAAATGATTCTTGAGCTTGAAGCGTCATTGAAGAAAAATGATGAATCCGGTAAAACAGATCACTAAATATTGTCTACGTATTATCGAAATTTCTTTTTCTATTCAAGCTGAATTGAATATGAATGATTTGTTTTTCGCTAATGATACTATTCCATTTTCAGATGTTGCCGGACGACTCGCATACTATCTATCGAATGATATCAAACATCTGGAAGCAGATCTAGGCCAATGGATTCCATTGAGTTTCGACGCTATCGTTGAAGAGCATCGTGTGCGTGCAGAAGTCTTTTTAACGTGTTGCTATCCCATTCGAATAATGAATGGCGATAGACTTAAAAGTTACGTCGATAGTTATGGTCTATTAGAAGAGCAATCGAAAATAATTGCAGACTGCATAAAAACATTGTCAGGCAAAGAAGAAATTAATTGCAAGAATGGCATTCACAAGTTGAACATAACTCGTCAGAATACTATCAAGTGAGCAAACAATTAATATTGTATTGAATTTATTTCGCGCTCTTAGCTTTACAAATAACTTTGCCGATAAATCAATTCTAACATCAATCGATAGTTCAATAAAACAACAAATTTATATAGATAATATTGTTTATAATTATCATCTAAGTACAAACGATAGATGTCCTCCGGCACTTCTTCTACTTTGGAAGCCCGACTTGCTAATCCAATGTGAAATCTTCTATCGGACACGTTTGACTGCAAAATCAGCAAGTATTAGTGATTATGAAATTTTTAGTGATGATATAAGTAAACCATTTCGGCAGATGGTTTCGAATATATTTGTTAATCTAAAGGTATGAAATCGTCTTTTCCCCTCTATTCTATTGGAATAAAGTCAAAACTGAATATAAACTTTCTAAGATATCTATGATGAAGATGTTTACTGCAAACATATTATATTGTAGGTTACTTCCGACAAAATAAAACATATACTTTTCCCGTTGAACAAGCCAGTGCCAAAAGACCAGATTAATCACGATGTGACGTCAATTAAAAACAAAATAGATCACTACAAAATTCTAAATGTTAATCCGATGATTGCTCATCATGAAAAACGTGCACATGCTTATAAAATGTGTTGTGAAAAATTAGAAAACGACGATCTCATCAATCAATATTTACTGAGTTACAATAATGATTTCATCAAGATGGACAAACTCTTACGTAGTTGGTATGTCGAATTATTAACATATGTTTAGTAAGTCATCGATATATTTTTTGTAAGTATCAACGGACAAATATTAACTGGCATAACAAATGACACTTTCTATGGTGGAGAGTGCCAAAAAGCTTATAACGATCTTACAGATGCTATGAATAAACGACAGGAGTAATAGAAGATTTTCTCTTAACATAATCTTCTATGTTTATTCCCTATTGAAGTTATATCAAACAATACAAAGAACAAGCTAAAGATATAAAAGAAAAATATAGACAAACGACTACTTCAAAATTAAGTCAAGCATGGCTTATAAAATCAATGAATTCTTTTGTAAAAATATATTGTGAAGACCAGCATGTATTCGAATTAATGTTCAGCCCAGAAAAACTTGTTAAATGTGAAGAATTTATACGAAAATCTATTGGAGAAAATGGTTCTCAAATATATTTAGACTATGATAAATCTATTAGCGTTCCATTTCAAAACATGGTCCTTTCAGATTGGCAAGCTCTTGAAAAAGTTCAAGCCAGTAATCCACCGATATCTAGTGAACGACTAAGTCACACTACCGTTTATCAGACAAAAGTAAAATTTGATGAAATTTATATCTTGCAACGTATTTTGTTTTTATTGAAGAAACTAATGTTGGGCAATATAAAATCTCGTAAGAATATTTCGCACAGGTAAACAAATGTTATACTCGTTCATTTAACTCAATGTAACAACTATCAAAGTTACCAAAACGAAAAGCTGTTAGCGCAATCCCTGTGGGATTAAAATGTGAAACACGATGAAACTCCTTTTCTGGAATCCGTCAATCACGGTCGGTAATGGTCTGTGGAGCTTCTCTGTGTGACGGCCTGTATGATAATGTATAGAGTCTCTAGAAACCATCACAAACCGTTACAGAGGAAATAATTAATTAATTTCTCTGTAACGGTCTGTAGGCAGGGACGGCGCGAAAGGGGGGGGGGGCAACTTTGGAATTTTTTGTTTCAATTTNTTCAATTTTACTCCGATTTGAAGAAAATAGAAGAGATTTTTATTGATTTACTCCGATTTTTGAAAAAAAACCTCCCGTTTTCAAGTAACCCCCCTATATTTTTGTTGCTTCGCGCCGTCCCTGTCTGTGGAGGATGGGTCAAAATTTCTACTCTATATACTTCAACACTCCTTTCAGATCATGTTTCACAAAACAAAAGTTATTATACGAACATGTGCTCCACATTTTATAATGTTTCGATTGCTGAGTTTATTGATAAATATCGTATTATTCTACAAGAAATCTGACTTTTCAGAATTCATACGCCTAGAGTATTATTATTTGACGCGAAGTGTTTATCAGTATGTAACAGTGTATTGTTTTTAAATTACTGACTTTCAAAGTTTTGCATATTTTTTCACGAAACCTCTAGTAAAATTATAATTTTTCTGAAAGAACATGAAGACAGGAGTTTTGTTTCACAATATTTAATGTACGTAGTCTTCACGCGGAAACTAGTTGCGCTGTACTAAGAATCGTTGACAATCAATCGCTTGAGAAATAATATCCTGTTTCGAAAGACAAAACAATGAATTAATATTTATTTTATTTTATTTTATTTTAGACATCCATTACTATCTTTAAAGAGAAATACTGCATCAACAACATCAACCTATCACAATTGTATCATACTTATTGTTACTATTATTAAACTAAGTTACTTTTAAATTCTATTTCAATTGACAAAAACCTCTTTTTTCGAATTTTACATCTCAGATATATATTTAATTTGTTTGTTTTTCTTTTTATTTGAACTTTTTAATAATCATTATAACCAGAGCGAAAAAGACAAAAAAAGAACAAAATGCTAATAAATAATAGACATATACTGTTCGAGAAAAACGAAAAAACGATAAAGAAGAACAGGAAGGATATCTGCAAATAACAAAGCTAATTGGATTAATAACAGTGTAACTTAATAAATATATATATATATATTCTTTTTAACAAAAATTATTTCCGTTGTCGTCGAATATTTGTACTGTTACTTGTACTTGTTAAAATAGTTGAATTGTTTGGTTGAATTGAATCTTGGCTGCGACCAACATTTGTACGAATAGCTAAAAGAAAAAGAAGAGACGACTTTCTATGTCATAAAACTATTAGAAAATTCTCATGTACCATATTGACATCGTGAACCAGACCATCCTGCTGAACAGTAACATTGGATACCTGTACCATATCCATTTTGTTGGCATGAACCATGATTATTGCACAGACTTGAAGAACATACAGGGCTTAGTGTTGTTACTGCTGGTGTAACACTTGCTGTATTTCCTAGAAAATTAAAAGCAAAATCGATATTTCATGTTATCAAACAGCTATACCATCACAAAAAGGTCGTTGGTTTTGACAACGTGCACCACAATATGGATAAGGACATGAACAAACATAATCACCAAGTGGACGTTGTATACATTCACCACCGTTGGTACATCCTTCTCCGCTATCCAAACAGCTAATCACTGGAAAACAAAACGAAACATACATACTTAGAGATAGTTCGATGTCTATCGTCTTTTTATGAATTACATTTTTCACAACGATCTCCTGCATAACCAGGTGGACAGAAACAACGAAAACCTTGAGGACGTGAGAGATCATTCTGACATGTACCACATATGCATGGATTTTTTACACCGCATATGTCAACTGAAATTAAAAATAAACAGTAACAATATATTATGGAGAGGATATTTTCATCCATTAGCAAACCTTGTTCGCAGTTTTGTCCTTCATAACCAGTTGGACATTGACATGTGTATCCACCCGCACCTGAACTGACACAAACTCCATTATTTTTACATGGTTGACTAGCACAACCATCTTGATCTTCACAACGTGGACCACTGAAGCCAGGTCGACATTGACAAGTAAATCCTCCAACGTTATTCGCTATACAAACACCACCATTGAGACATGGATTCGGTGTACACGCATCTCCTAAAACGAAATATCATTTAATATGAATTCACAATTTCTCAAATTTCTTATTCTTGAAAGCTATAAAATCCGGGTTTGATTTTCTTACTTATCTCACATCGTTGACCACTGAAGCCAGATAAGCACATGCACTGATATCCACTGTTTCCATTTGTTGGTCGACACGCTCCTCCGTTCATGCAAGGGTTAGGTTGGCAAACATCTCGAATTTCACATCGTATTCCTGAGTAGCCTGGTGGACAGGTACAACGGAAACCACCATTATCTCGCATGCAGCTGCCTCCGTTCATACAAGGTTGAGAAGCGCAAGGATTGCCTAATGTAACAAGAAGATATTGAAAAGATAACATGACATGTTAAGCCTATGATATCTTACGATCTTCACATCTTTGACCACTAAATCCAGATTGACATTGACAAGTAAATCCACCGATATTATTCGATATACAAACTCCACCATTCAAACAAGGATTTGGAGTACATACATCGCCTAAAGTTTTATTTATTCATTTTGTTCGTGACTCTATGGTTCTGTCTAATTCAACTTTAAATAGGCACTTACGTGTTGAACAATCGAAACCTGAGTAACCTGATGGACAAATACATTGAAAAGAATTACCATTTCCAGGTTGACAAGTGGCACCATTACGGCAAGGTTGACTAGCGCATGGATCAATTCCTAAACAAAAGATCATACCTATTATTGAGCAAATTGAAAATTTTTCTTTTCACTTACGATCCTCACAACGTTGGCCAGTGTATGGATTCGGACAAACACATGTAAATCCACCTATTCCATTTGGCGTACATCGACCAGCATTGAGACATGGGTTTACTGCGCATGGGTCGCCTATTAATAATTATAATTCACATAAGATAATAAGTGTCGAAAAATAAAAAGTGCACAAAAAGCGAATTATATATTAAGCATGGTCACGAATTTCGCAATTGAGGCCTGTTGTTCCCGCAACGCAAACACACTGATAACTATTTCCATTTACGACACGACATGTACCGCCATTTTGGCATGGATTACTTGCACAAGCATCTCCTGTTTAAAATTATGATGGGAAAAAAGAAGCAGCGTTCGTACATATTTTTACATCAAGCTGCGCAGTATGAAGCTTTAGTTTATAGAAAATAACTTACTTATTTCACAATTGATACCAGCAAAGTTCACAGGACACTCACATACGTATGAGCCATCAGCAGTATTTGGTCGACAACGACCACTATTTTTACATGGATTTGGAATACATGGATCACCTAAAACGAACATAACAAATAGCGGTAATCAGACCAAAAAATCTCGAATTGGGTGTAACTTACGAGTTTCACAATTTCGTCCAGTGTAGCCAAATGGACAATTACATGAGTACGTATCAAGGCCATATGGACTACAAGTTCCACCATTCACGCATGGATTTGGTTCACAAACTTTACCTATGAAAACAAAAATACACGACTGTGTAAGTATTGATATTGTCGACCAACGAATACATACGGAATTCACAACGTTGACCTTGATAATCAGGTGGACAGATACAATAAAAAACGCCATTTGGACGTGGCTCGCATGTACCACCATTGGTACATGGATTTGGTTCACAAACAAGGCCTAATGAAAAAATATCCGTATCCAATTAAAAAAAATTAATTAATTTCTCTTACGTTCACATCGGTTTCCAAAAAATCCAAGATTACATTCACAATGAAATCCGCCACTATTTCCAATACACTGACCATTATTACCACACGGGTTATTAGCACACGGATTTGCTGAAGAAATCGAAAAAAAATAAACAACTTATGGGATTATTAGCTTCTTGACATACAATCTTCACAACGTTGACCACTATACGGAGCAACACACATGCAACTAAATCCACCCATATTGTTTGCAACACATTGACCACCATTCAAACATGGATTTGGAGAACATGGATCTCCTATTCAAAAAGAACAGTACGAATAAAACATGAATTTATGTACCGGCTTTTCCAAATGAACTATATGCATACTATTTTCACATCGTTGACCATTATAACCAGGTGGACAACCGCATTGGTATCCACTGTTTCCATTTGTTGGCCGACATGTTCCTCCATTCATACAAGGTTGAGAAGCACATGGATCACCTGATATATAGAGAACAAATTAAACAATCAAAATAGCATAGGAAAAGTGTGGTAACTCACGATCTTCACATCGCTGACCACTATATCCTAGTTGACATTGACAAGTGAATCCACCAATATTATTCGGTATACAAGCTCCACCATTCAAACATGGGTTTGGAGTACAAGCATCTCCTAAACGACAAAATAAAATTAAAACCATTGAACATAATTCAAAGTAGGAAGGGATTATCTATGATATTCAGTATAAAACATACTGTTTTCACATCGTTGACCATTGTAACCAGCGGGGCACGTGCATTGAAAGCCTGTATTTCCATTGGTTGGTCGACAGGTGCCTCCGTTCATGCAAGGGTTCGGCTGGCAAACATCTCGATCTTCACAACGCTGGCCACAATATCCTGGTTGGCATTGACAAGTGAATCCACCAATATTATTTGGTATACAAGCTCCACCATTCAAACATGGGTTTGGAGTACAAGCATCTCCTAAACGACAAAATAAAATTAAAACCATTGAACATAATTCAAAATACGAAGAGATTATCTATGATATTCAGTATAAAACATACGAGTTTCACATCGTTGACCATTATAACCAGGTGGACAAATGCATTGGTATCCACTGTTTCCATTGGTTGGTCGACAAGTGCCACCGTTCATGCATGGGTTAGGCTGACAAACATCTCGGATTTCACAACGCGTTCCTGAATAGCCTGGTGGGCAAGCACAACGAAAGCCACCGTTATCTCTCATGCAAGTTCCTCCATTCATACAAGGTTGAGAAGCACAAGGGTCGCCTAACGCAATAAGACGATATAAAACATGCAATGACGAAAGAAAAATAATTTCGGTATATTACGGTCTTCGCATCTTTGACCAGTGAAACCAGATGAACATTGGCAGCTGAACCCTCCAAATCCATTTGACGAACACACTCCACCATTTAAGCATGGGTTGGGAGTACAAGCATCTCCTAAAACGCAAAATTGTATTAGAACAATCCAACATAATTCGAATAAAAACGAAATGATCTATGATATTCGGCATAAAACATACGATTTTCACATCGTTGACCATTATAACCAGGTGGACAAATGCATTGGTATCCACTGTTTCCATTGGTTGGTCGACAAGTGCCACCATTCATGCATGGGTTAGGCTGGCAAACATCTCGGATTTCACAACGCGCTCCTGAATAGCCTGGTGGGCAAGCACAACGAAAGCCACCGTTATCTCTCATGCAAGTTCCTCCATTCATACAAGGTTGAGAAGCACAAGGGTCGCCTGATACAATAAAAAGAATCATAGCATCACGTATGAAAATATTCTCAAATCTTACGGTCTTCACATGTTTGGCCACTAAAGCCTGATGGACATTGGCAACTGAATCCGCCAAAACCATTTGATATACAGGCACCACCATTCAAGCAAGGATTTGGCGTACATACATCTTCTAAAATTATATGGATCAACATTTTTTCTCACTTTAACACTAAGATGATTGTATAGTTAACTTACTTGTTTCACAACGTTGGCCATTAAAACCAGGTAAGCACATGCATTGAAAGCCGGTATTTCCATTTGTTGGCCGACATGCTCCCCCGTTCATGCAAGGATTCGGTTGGCATACATCTCGAATTTCACAGCGCATTCCTGAATAACCCGGAGGGCACACACAACGGAAACCACCATTATCTTGCATGCAAGTTCCTCCATTGATACAAGGTTGAGAAGCGCAAGGATCGCCTGATATACGAAGAAGAAATAAAACATGCGGTCAAGGAAAACAAAATAAATTCAATATCTTACGATCTTCACATCGTTGACCACTATATCCCGGTTGACATTGACAAGTAAAACCTCCAAATCCGTTTGACGTACAAACTCCACCGTTCAAACAGGGGTTTGGCGTACAAGCATCTCCTAGAAAGTACATCATGATTTTCAATTAAAATGTTTCTCGAATTATTATTTTTGTTATAATGAAAACTCATGTTTTTATTTCCTTACTTATTTCGCAACGTGTACCCATATACCCAGGCGGACACATGCATTGATATCCACTATTTCCATTCGTTGATTGGCATGTACCTCCGTTCATGCAAGGATTTGGTTGGCATGCATCTCGAATTTCACATCGAGTTCCAGTATATCCAAGTGGACAAGCACAACAAAAGCCATCATTTTCTCGTAAACAAGTACCTCCATTCATGCAAGGTTGAGAACCACAAGGATCCCCTTATTTAAGATAATGTGATAAAGCATGCAATTCATAGACAATTCGATGGCTTACTGTCTTCGCATCGTTGGCCGCTGTATCCTGGTTGACATTGACAAAGGAATCCTCCAAAACCATTCGCCATACAAGCTCCCCCATTGAGACAAGGATTCGGAGTACATACATCGCCTAGATTTTCTTGTAGCTGTATTATTCTGTTCTATTTCAGCATAAAATAATAACTTACGTATTGAACAATCGAAACCTGAATAACCCGGTGGACAGATACATTGAAAAGAATTACTATTCGTAGGTTGACAAGTAGCACCATTACGGCATGGTTGACTAGCACATGGATCGACACCTGATATTGAGTCAACCATTATAGATAAATATATATGAATAAAAGATAATCGAACTTACGTTGTTCACAACGTGAACCAGTATATTGATTTTGACACATACAGGTAAATCCGCCCATTCCATTTGGTATACATTGACCACCATTAAGACATTGATTTTCTGCGCAAGGATCACCTAATATTATGAATCAGAAAAAAAGTTAATGTCAATCATTCTTATGAATACTTACGTGTATCACAACGTTGTCCTGTATATCCAGTTAGACATGCACAAGCATAAGAGGTTCCACTTGCTGTACAGATACCATTGTTTTGACATGGATTTGGCATACAAGGATCCGTTCCTTTATTGTATAAATAATAATAGTAACAACAATAATAATAAGTAATGTTGTTATTTTAAATAACTTACGAAGTTCACAACAATTTCCCTGATAACCAACAGGGCACATACACATGAAGCTTCCTGAATTGGTTGGTTGACATGTTCCACCATTTTTGCATGGATTGGGTGAACATGGATTAAAAGGAGGAAATGTTACTTGATTGTCTATTATCAATTCATATATATATATATATATATATATTGTATATTGAAAATAACTCTATCAATTAACTTACTAATATCACATGTACGACCTGTATATCCAGGTGGACAAGAACATCGAAAATATCCTGTCATTTCATCAGAAACGCATGTTCCTCCATTTTGACAAGGGTTTGGTATACAAGCATCACCTATGATGAACAATATATGCCAATAAATAACCTATGTATAGATAGTATTTTCTTAAACTCAAATACTTACATATCTGACAAGTCAGTCCTTGAAATCCCGGTCGACATTGGCATGTAAAGCTGAGTAATCCTTGTGATTGGCAAGTACCACCATTCATGCATGGATTAGGAATACAAATATCTCCTAAATAATAAATCATATGGTTTTTATATGGTATCAAATACAAAAATATGAAGTATATTCGAAATAAACTTGATTTATAGTTAGTTTTTCTTTACAAACTTACTTGTTTCACAACTCATTCCATTATAACCATATGGACATTCACAAATAAAACTTCCAAGGCCCATAAGACATCGCCCACCATTTTTACAAGAACAACCAATATTAGAACCTAGACGAAAGAAAAATTACAAATACAAATACAAATACTATTACAATCTTTAGAATAAGTCGTTACCATAAGTACAATCATCTTGCCATGGCGGACAAATACAACTAAATCCATCTTTTGTATCAAGACAAATCGTACCCCATGGACATGGATCATTTGAACAATCATCATAACCTGATTTAATATTGAAATTATCGATTACATTTATATTTTTTGAAAAGAAAATATCTAATAAACGTTACATACCACGAATAGATGTAAAATCACCGGAATTACATAAATCGGTTGAACACATACACCAATATTGGCCATTATATGTAAGACAACCATCGACGAGTAAATCGCGTACCCATCGCTCGTTCGTACAACGCCGATCAGCAACTTTAAAAAGTAAATATAAATAATTGTTCTAGTTTTCTTTTTCTTTTGAAATCTTTTACGTGTAGCATTGGCATTAGATGCTTTTAAATAACATCGTTGATTGTAATGGCATGGCACAATACATCGGCTATTAGGGCCGGTATCTGGAATAGTTGGACATGCAAAACATCGTTTATCTTCTTCGATAATCGAAATAGCCGATCGACCGACTACTGACGATGAATCATCTGTTAAGAAAAAAAGATAAATATAAATATTCACGCTGTTTTGTTTTCTAAATCAGGAAATAGAAGATTACAAACCTGATGTTTTACGATGTTCAGTAGTAAAATTTGTTGGATTAGCAACAGTAAACGAAATAATTGAGATAGTAAATAATGATAGCCACTGGACAATCTAATAGAAAAATATTTTGTAGTACAATACATATTGCTAACGAATTTCTACTTACCATATTTCAAGAATATGCAATGTCCTCAATAGCGAGGATATTTAATAAACTACTGTGTATTCTCTTTATTTTATCTCCTCAACGTACGTATATATATTTGCAAGAGATTGCTATTTACTCCTGAGTCTATCCGTATGTTGTTTGTTTCAAAGTTGAAGGTGTATTCTCTTCCTTGTTCTTATTTCGCTTTTTTTCTTCCTTCTTTACGTACACATAAACATTAAACATGAGAATAACAAAAACCTTGAACAATATGCTCTCCTTTGTCTTCCTTTTATCGTAATTTCAATTTTACAAAGGACAATTTGTGGTACACAGGATTAGATGTGTATTATCATCTCACTTCTAGTTCATGATTACAAAAAAATCAGATATCAAAACTATTTGAAAATAGATTTAAATAATTAATGGCTAAGGAAGCCAACAATATGTTTTACATAAATGTCCTTCATCGTCGAATCTTCGGATGTCATATGTTAACCGTACATGAGGTCTATTTACTAACATTCTTCAGCAGATATGATATACGTTTGAAAAAATTTGTTTTAAATAGAAAGGAAAAGGAAATATATCATCTTCTATAAAATTATTGGTGTGTTAAGAACAGAAACCACTTTGAAACTTTTTTGATACTACACTATTTATCTTCGAATGACGATACAACACTACTGGGCTGAAAGATAATATTTTTATCTCTATGTAGAACACTTACCATTCTTCACAATAAAAGTAGAGCAAATACCGATGGTGGTCAGATATCTTATACTTTGAAAGTAATATGATCAATAGCATAAAATGTGGTAGAGTATTATTTAGTCTTCTTTTTCTCTTCTCCTTTTTTTGCGTCACATAAAGTCCTTTGTTGAATTGAGCATTGAACAAAGACGAATGAAAAAAAAAGGGCTACAACATGATCGTTACCATTGTCATGTTGCCTTGTGAAAAAAAGGAATTAGTTTATGTAGGATGATACACGCATCAACACTACATACGACAGTCATGAATAAAAGTAATCAGCGATGACTATTTTTTAGATACGTAGGGGTTTGTACAATGAGAACGAACAGATTACTCAATGCGAAGGGGGACAGACAAAGAACGATGGTAGTAATATTAGCGATGATGAGGAAGGGATTAGAAGGTGTATAAAAAAATAGAATCATGTTCTCACGTAATTTCGTTTTTAATCATTTGCAAATGAACTCAAATTTCGATCATAGCTCTTGTACATGTTCATCGTTGAAAATTATGCAATAAGCAAAAAAGAAAAGAATACAGCAGGATATTAGATTATGTACATATGATTCCGTTGAATTTTAAAGGACAATACATCTCCTTGTTTGATACGTCAAATGAGCTATGAAAAGCAAGGTCGTTTTTTCAAAAAATAATCAAAATTTGACCTGAACTTTGACGAATCGATGTAAGAATTTAGTTATCATGAGATACAATAAGCATTTAAATAGATATATATTTTTTGTTGCACTTGCATACTATAGAGATATCGTTTTTTTCTGCTTTATACTTCGATGTAATCAACGTCACATGCATAATGATTGACATACAAGAGGACGAACGGGTAAAGAGAACAAGAATTTTCACCTATTTGTTGACATAACGGTGATAAGTCCGAGTGTCATTTTAATACATTAATTCTATTTTCAATAGTTCGTTTTTCGCTTTAATTAAAAACAAATGATTGCAGTGCTGCAATATTTGATTATGCAATTTATATCTATACATAAGCAACTATTTGTTTAGACAAGAATAATCGTAATCAGAAAAAAATACGAAAGTATTAGTATCATTACTAAAACAAGATTTAAGAAATTTGTCAAGGCTTTTCATTAATACGTAGAGAATTTTTCTTTAAAGAAAAACTTGATCGAAAGTTCTGAAAACGTTCAAAATAGACAAATCGAGGGTAGTAAAATAAAAGCTTTTATACACATAGATTTTCCGGATGTGTTTCTTCCGTTGAGACATGGATGACACAAGAGTTCGAAAATGTTTTCAAGTTTCTGTCAACAGTCGAATTCTCTTTCTTGTCTCTTTTTGTTTTCCTATGAAAAATATTGTTTCCATTGCTTAAGAATATCAAAGCACTGGCAACCTTCTAACAAAAACAAACAAGTTGTTTTTTCTTATGAACAGCGACATTTTTTATACGATCTGAAAATGTCACCAGGAGATTATTTTAATAAAACGATAGAATTTAAATAACTTTATTCAAAGACTAAAATAGAAAAAAAAGCAAACATTCAGTTTACTTGTTAAAAAATTAATCTCGAATCAGGCACGCATTACAGTTGATTATCACTTGTTCGATAAATAAGGCCTTTACTTTTTTCAAGGTCGAGACGTCCTTTAGAAGACGTTGTTAATGCTTTTCGATTCAGTGGACTTTACTGTGTGCTTAACACTAAGTAGAACAAGGTTCACCTTAAGTCTTTTTCTTTCGTCTCAATACATATATAATGGAGAATAGACTAAGACTGTAGTAGAGAAACAATATGATCATAACTTTATTTTTATTTGATAATATTTTCGAAACAGATAGTTCATATACCACCAACAGGAAACTCTTGCACTCTGGTCCGTCATTTTATAATTTTATTTTAAATTACATGCCGATTTTGGGAGTGTATCATGGAGTCCTTTAATTTTTTTTTGCGGGAGAACAAATATGATAAATTTGATACCTCGAAAAATAATTATCTATTATTAGGAGAAGTCTCGTGTACGATCATTAAAAACGTTTAAGTACAAATGAAAAAAACGAACACTACAGCGCTTCATAGACTCATGTGTACAGTTAGAAAAAAAAATCTTTGGCTATCGTGTGAAGCTAATTGGAGAATGTCAGGATGTGCGATAAGACAAGCATACAGAGAAAGACTGTGACTTTACAGCGTTTCTGTTAGAAGGCATACTGTAAAAACTAGACTTCCAGTGATATTTATCAGTTTTGATTTTTCTGGTGAAAATTGATTTCTCATAACATAGAGTTTCTCTGTTTGAACATACTTACGCTATGGGATGCAACACTGCTCCGAATGGATCTGTAGTCAAATCGGTATAGAACCAGTTTTTTCTTTCTTTCAACGCGTCAATATTATTTAATGGTATCTCATCGGTTGGTAGCGAATAAGCATATTGACTTATGATATTTGTAAGTTTTTATTTTTAAATACAATTAAATCTAGTTTATTCATTAATTCAACATGTTTAAAAAAAAACAGGAAAAAAAGTTTTTTTACTATGAAATATGAAAACATATCGGGTACACGATGTTCATTTCGTCAATAACACATATATAATATTTGCTTAGTTCTAAGGAAATATAGAAAATGATTAAGAAAAACAAAATAATTATATATATATACATTGTTGTTGTTCAGCCTACATTCGCCTCTTTGTCATTCGTGTTAGCTATACTTTTGTCGCATAAGAAAAAAAAAGAACAAGAACAAGACAAGGATTATTATTATTTTATGCATATGAAAACATAAGTAAAACAGATGTTTTATCGCAAAGGAAGACTTAAATGCGTTCGACAATATCGTTCAATGCTTTGTCAAAATTTTGCGTATTTGATTGATACTCATGCGAATGATGAGGATTTTTAAAAGCTAATAATGGCGAATGAGATTTAACAGCGATGCGTGATACAACATTTGTATCATTACTAATATGCATAACATATTGACGCATAAATTCTTCAAATGTTTCAATAGAGAGAAAATTATTTGTATGATTATTAACAGATATTGTTGAATATCGTTCGCTATTCGATGATGATGATGATGGACGTGGTGACATTCTTTCGTTTGAATGAACTTCAAATGCATCACGATGTTTGGTATATACATCATAGACAAAATGCCAGCAACTTTCGATTTCTTCAGCTTTCGGTGATTGATTACAACTGATACCTAGCATTGGTTCTTTAGTAGTTGATGCTGCTTTACATAGAATTAAATGTATCTTAGGTAATTTAACGCCATTTTCATCGGCGCGATAATAAAAACTATAATGACGATAATATGAATATATACTGGACGGTTGAGAAAAACCATAGAGAAGACTGAAATTTAAAAGAAGAAGATTAGTTTTTACCTTTTTCGTAGCTCATGACCTTTACCTGAATAGATATTCGAAGCCATTTCGATGTAAATGTTCTTCGCTAACAGGCAAAATAATTCTGTCAGCAGCTGCTAACGCTATTTCAGTTGCAATATTGAATGAAGAATTCGTATCGATAAAAGTCATTAATTTAATTCCACGTCGTTCGCCTATTTTATGAACGAATACACGTAAACTTTGTGTTATTGTTCGCCATGGATTGGCATATGGCGTTACTGTTGTTGCACTTCGTTTTAAATCCATTGCTTTACCTAATAATTCAAGAGACGTATCACCGCATAAAAGATAAACCTACGAAGAAGAAAAATTACTTTTTCAAAAATAAATGACGAATTTCGTAACTTACATTGCGGGGCAATTGATTGTTAAATTTCGATACATTAAATAGAAATGTACGTGGATCAACATTATTTGGTAAACCAACCGATGTAAACAGGTCAAGATAACCGGATACGGTACGTGGTATAAATTGTTGTCCATCAAGTATCATTGGATTCTTTTTCAGTGAACCAATTTGCGAAACATAATCATGACCTTCATCGTCATCACCTGAAAAATAAAATAAGTCCTACGATTTAGACGTACGAGAATGCTACAAAGGACAAAACAAAAAATGATTAATATGAAACGCCTATAAGGTTTCAACAACATTATTATGGGTCGATAGAATTTCATTGTGTTGCAAAAATATAAACGCTATTTGCATCTATTCATATATTGTATTAGGAGAACTAGGCGAAAAAAAGTTAATATAAAATATTCATCTGATGAGATTTCATTCATTTGTTAATAATCGAAATCTTAGGGAAAAAATGCAATGTTACTGCTTTTTCTTTTAAAGTATAGAAGGAGAAAAAAGATTAACATTATCAAACCATGATATATGCATGGTATATTGTAGAATTTCTATATGGAAGAATGCTTTTTAACAATGATTCATACGTGTGGAAAAAATTTTTGTTCCGTCAGAGTTCAAAGTACCGACACTTTATATTGCATTATTTTTCATTGAGGCAAAATATGATTAGTTTTTAAAAATAACGGAAAACGCGTAAGAACAAAATGGTTTCTATTAACGTTTAGAAGTGTCGAGGTTTTCAAGTAAAAAATATGCTTTGAAGTTTAGTATTTTTCTTTCCGCAAAACGGAATATCCTGCAGGCTATTAGAGAAGTTAAATGTTCTGTATTTTCAGGTAGGTGCTTTTCTTTGAACAAAACTCAGAAAACAATACCAATATTTCAAGGCGAATTACTACAGGTAATCAAACATTTTTACAGCTGAATAATCAATTTTAATCCGCATGAATTGTCTATTAAATTTAATTAAATAAAAGTTTTGACAAAACTCTAAACGAAATTCTAGACGACAAGATTTACATTATGTTAATCTAAAATAGTTCATAACTTGCGTACTACATGATTTTTCAAAAACCATAAAGTTGTATCGAGAATTTTCCAGTGGATATTTCAATCTGTTGATCAAACTCTCAAATATCGAAAGAATCATTATCTATGCCATTAGAAATCTTCAATATCGATGATAGCAGCAGAAAATTTCGTTGTCGGGAGTTAAACTACGATCTTAGAATATTAGGTCAATCATTTCCGTTCAGGTCAACCTAACTTGCAACAGTTATTACTGCTTAAATTTTTATAAGTCATTTCGATTTTTGCGCTTGAATAGAATTTAATCGATGGATAATGTTAACTAGGGAAGAAAGCTTTTCATTGGGGTATTCCACCAACGCTGTTCATTTTCTAACCATAATTACCTTAGAGAAACATGAAATATAAATAATATTCGAACATAAATACATGAACTATTCAAACGATTTTTGGCGATATTGATAGATGTATTTATGTGCGAGAAATATAATTGATGAACAAAAAATTGCACACCATAAAGATCAATTAGAACTTATTTTCATCGCGAATAAATTTCCCATTAATAGCACACTTCTTTATATTTTTTGGTTATGGATCTTTTTTTTCTACATTATCAAGAAATATTCTGAGGTTTATTACAAAAAAATGATTAAGAGAGAGAGAGAGAGAGAGAGAGAGAAAGAGCTATATTAATACATCTCGAAGTGGCATTTTTTTCTTTCTTTCTGTTTTTGTTGTAATTTTAAACTTACCAAGAAAAGCATGGCTTAGATCAGCTTGTGGGCACATATCAACAACAAGAACTGTTTTATCTGGATTTTTATATGCGTATTTAATAGCCAAATGATATGTTAAATTAGTTTTACCAGAGCCACCACGATTATTCCATATTGCATAGCTTCCCTCCAATGGCATTTTCTAAATAGAAAAGATTGCTTATCAATATAGATTTCCAGTACTCGTAAAAATAGAAACATATGTTTTTTTTGTTAATAAAGCGAAACAAAATGGATGGATTATTAATCTCAATGATTATGGTCTTAGCGAAGGATAGCTTCTTTTGTTTTTAAGTATTTTGATATTAAAAGAAGATAAACGCAAACCTTGCTCCTTGGTGATGAAATAGGAGTCGAGACTATTGAAGAAGCCATTTAATATTTTCTTGATGTTGAAATAGACGATGAGATTACGATTTTTGTCTGTCGAAAAATGTTATCGTTTAATGTTCTGATGAGTACGAACAACAGTTGTCTTAATCAACTATTTGTACAATAATCAATGATCAATACTGTGCACAGCGTTAATAATGGCATCGAGAAAAGTTAAGCATCTCGCTTTTCCATTTTCTTCTTTAACGATTGTAAAAAAAACGCGGAATGATGACGATGTTTTCATCAGCAAAAAAAGAAAGGAAAAAAAATCAGTCGATGCGGTTGATTGTCTTTCTTTTGCTATTCTGTTCTGTCATATTACTAAGAGGAACAAAATAGAAAAAAAAATTGGAGCAACTAGTCTCTTTCTCATCTGTTCTTTTCTACTGATCCTTCGTTCTTTGACGTAGTTTGTCTAGGAATGTTATCTGCCTTTTTCTGACTGACTATAAAACTCATACAGATTCACATATTGTATACTTAGCTGACATCGCAAGAGTTCGATAGTTTTCATTCTTAGAAACTCCATGAAGAACATCATTACTTATCTACTGTATTTGTGTAAACTTCTCTCTTGCTTTTTTGAGAATAATGAATCCAATATGTAGAGAAATGGATACATTTCCTATGCAACTTCTTTTTCTTTTCTTATCTTTTCATTAAAAAGAGAATCAAGAAGAAATTAACCCTAAGTTATCGTTTTGCTGGTGTTTTTTTATTTTATTTAAATCGCTGTGCATCTATCTCAAGCAGTTTGAAATTAGGGAGATTAATAAATAAAACGGCAAAGAGCGTCCATCAATGTATGTACATATAGACCGAGAGTGAGAGTATTAAGGTACAATACCTTTTTTTTCTTCTTTTTTTCTGTCAAAATAGAAATAATATTAATTTTACTTTCTCAGTAAACAAGTCGATTCTCATTTAAAGTCAATTTGAAATTTCTTTTATCTCATGATTATTATCGTTCGAAAAAGAATAATTTAATTAATTATATCTCTCAATCCGACGCTGATATCTAAATGTATTCATTCTTGATAAATATATGCACAGTCAGGAGGACAATATTCGTTATTCTCATATAATTCAACACTGAAACGAGCAAGTTTGTGAAACTAGGCTTAGTATGCAATTATGTTAATGATAGTTGACGACTTCCGGACATGGTCGAACGCATTTTTTCTTCTTACTAATCGAAAAGAGACCACTAAAAAAGACGAAGAAAGAAGAAAAGGATAGGGAATTTGTCGAATATTGATATTAAGAGAGAGAGAGAGAGAGAGAGAGAGAGAGAGAAAGAACCATAAATATAAACCATATATTTAAATTAATGATGACATAACAAAATAGCATAACGTCATGATTAACTGTGTTCATCGTGGGAAATGAAGGATGTTGGATTGTGCGTTAATGTGAAGGCAAAAAATAGATAATCGCAAGAGTAAAGTTCTATTTGTTTTCTTTTCCTTTTTTTTGTACGCTCAATTGGATTAGATGTAAGGCAGGTGAGAAAATTATAGTATAGGATGAAGAACAAAAATTCGAACCGAACGCTCAATTAACGAAGAAAACAAGAAAGAGCCATGGCCTATCTCTGATAAATAGGATAATATATCTTTTGTATAGAAAAGTTTCTATCAACATAATACATATCTGTAAATAATAATAATAATAGAAATTGTTGTTGTTGTTGTTGTTGTTGCTGCTGTCGTTCACGTGACATGTATACTGATCTTAGTTTAATAGTCGCTTATACAACGACGACAATTCATTAGAAACAATGGAGAGTCATAGGCAAATATCTTTCTTTGTTGATAATCTCGAGTTTTTGTTGATATAATAAAACATCTCGAAAAGTAAAATTATTATTTAAAGTAAATCAATAAAAAGTCTTCCTATGAACTAGTGAACAAACAGTGAAAACGTCTGCTACTAAAAACAATGAGTAATCATGTAATAACGACAACAAGATGACAACTAAATAGAACGACAGTAGCAGTTAGAAAGCACATCGCCAGCGGTATTTTTCTTTTCCTTCTTTATTTTTAATGCTTCATACTGTTTGCCGCTTCAACAAGGGCAACAGTAGGCACTAGTTGGCCTACTCGCAATTCTTCTTTTCTGTCTGCAATTCACATCAGGCGTGCACTCATACACCACATACACCGAAGACTCAATAGTTCTCTCTGGTATATATATATATATAAATGATTGGATAAAATAATGTGCTTCGTCGTGATCGTGATTGAAGTTAAAACAATGACATAATACTCGTGAGCAAGAAAAGAAAAAGAAAAAGAGAACAGTGATCGTCCATGAAACGTTCAAATCTATAGAGACAAATTAAAAAGGCGATGTACGAGTGCTTTTTTTGTATACTTTCTACAATAATATTTTGCAATCGGAAAAATACGCGTGCGAGAGAGAGAGACAGCGCAAAAATAAACGATATAGATTAGTTTGAAAAATAAACGGTTTAAGATGATGATGAATTAAAATATTGCTTTTAGATCGAAGCAATATCGTTCTTTATAGGGTGTACGCGACACATTTAGTTTTATTATCGGCTTTGGCTATCTCTTTCTCCCTCACACATTTTCTATCTCTTGTTGACTTGTTCTTTGATACACACATTCTATCAAAAACAACAACAACCATATTTTCCATCCTTTTCTTTATATATTATCATAAGACTCGATCGTAAACTGATTTTGCGAATTAATCAATGATATACATACATACGTATATCTGTTTGAGAGAATATATCTGTATGCATAGGAAATCAGAAAAAAGACAAGCACAATATAAGATCGTTTCTGTCACATCAAAATGAAGTATGAGTGCATCGTCTTCAATAGATAAAATATGCACGTCGTCATTTTCGTTACTGTAAATATATCTATATATATATGTCACTTACGTGAGAAACGAGTCTAAGATCTTAACTAAGAAACGATAACTCGATATGCATAAATTATGCTATAATAACTACGGAAAAGGTTGACATGGAAGCAAATCAAACGGCGAGAGAGAGAAAAAAACTAATATATTTTCAATTACCACCACATCGGTATATAAAATTATGATTATTAAATGTGAATCTGCGCATACTCATTCTCAAGACTACTCCAGTATAATCATCAATCAACGTACATCCGAGGTATAGGAAAAACATTTTCTTAAAAAGAAAATTATAAAAGATTCGTAGCAATAAGAAACAGGAAAAGTCTTGTCGAGAATAGTATCCCTAGCTAGCTGATGAACGGAAACAACTGCCAACTGATTGATACAAATTGGGCATGAACAGTAACAAAAATAAATGTACCACAAACCAAGAGAAATAACTAACAAGGTACGGTGATATCCGTCCGATACACACAAAATAATTTCTTTTCTACCAAAAACGTTTTGTTATTTCAAATAAATTGGTACTCAATTGAACTCGTTAATCGTTTTATAGTTCTAATACTGTCTGACTCATTACTAATAATGGAATTATAATCTAAAAAAAAAAAAAAAAAAAAAAAAAAATACGAACGCAAACATGAGATATTTGTTATGCCTTGTTCGTACAACTCCTGTATGTTGAATGATATTTTCTGCATAAGAAAAGACGAAATTTACCTAGTCGATTGAGAACACGTCATTTTTACATTTTTCATAGTTCTTTACTTGATTGTGATTGTATACACCGATTAGTCATTAATTTTCTATATCTATCAATGGAAAAAATCTTTTCTTTCTTTTTGCCTATGATAATCAAGTAAATCAATCATAGAGATTTATAGGGTATTCGTCTCATCAATGGCATATGAAGTGTTCATCGAAATAGAAAAAATAATATTAAAAAAATTCTATAAAACTATGCAATTTCCTCTTTTGTATACTCAAGAAATGGCTGAGCTATCGAAAAAGTTGTCATTATTGACCAGACCATCCCTGAGGGGGAGTACAGGGATTTTTTCAAAAAACTTTTTTTTCTCAGAATTATTCAAAACATATATAAATCAATTCAGCTTTTGCAGTACACGTAACAATCGGATGCGAATCCGATGTTTCCTCCTTTTTTTATAAATATAATTTGTACTCTTGTCATGATGAGTGAACTATTTATAAGCTTTGATTCATTCTTGTTCGAATATGATGTATTATCAAATCAATCAATAGTGTGAATCTAACAAAAGTTACTGTAACAAATTCACATATTGAAGTCTTTTTTTTTCAGGAGTATTCTTTAAGATCTATGTCTAGTTAGAAATTATTGGATAGTGGCTGTAGAATCGCAGATATAGAATTATTCAAAGTTCTTATTGTTACAAAAAACAAAATTCAGAAATATTTGCTTACGCCTATCGTGATCGAATTAGATGAAGATTTATGAACAACTAAGCAGTTTAGATAACTAATACAATATTCATTTGACCCAGACACATTTGAAAACATGATAGTTTTAGAGCGAGACATTATCCATAATATCTAGTGCGTAATCAAATACTTTTCCGTAAGATTATTAAAAAGTGATCGAGAAAGAAGCGAGTATGTTTTAATCGGAACGTATTAACCTGCAGAATATCACTTGGTTCTTTTCTTAGTTAAATATTACCTCTCTATAATTAGAATAAAACTTTCCTCGGCATATTAACTAGAATATGTTGACTTAATAAAACTTTCCCTACAACATTTACATTTCGATGCATGTAAACGCCCACTAATCAATACAATAGTCAATAGTGGGAGGCAAGTTCATTTGTGATTTTATTTTAGTTTCTTCCACTATACTGTACAGATAGCATGGGGGGTCGGAAGACTAAGTGACCCGGAAAAAATTTCAAAGATATCGCAGATGGTATTCCCAGAGGAGAGTTCAACTGTTTCTTCAAGCAAAAAATCCGAACGGCACTGCTAATAAAAACATATTGTAATCTAATTTTATTCTCAAACGAATCCAATCGCTTATGTTTTAATCTTTCTCCTAATCCATCATAATATTATCAATATCACACATAAATGTACGTACAAAACTATTCCGGGGATTCAAAAAAGCGAGGTAAACTTGGAATTTTTGTATCTTTAAGTTAGTAAAATAATGATTTGCGTCGCGTGATTACGAAAGTTTTTATTCTATTGGGAAAACACAACAAATACTATTTTCTTTAGATAGAATCTCACACAATATCGATCATCGTGCATACGCCTGTCTTGAGTTATTCATAGAAAATCAATTAAGTTGGGTTAGAATCATAAGTTTGTTTTGTTCTAAATTAAAAAATCTTTATCAATCGTACATTAATGGAATTGAGATTTCGTCTATAGAGTGTTAATTAATTATAGAAACAAAATGATTTTGATTTTATCTTGGATATTCTAAAAGATTTCATCGATAGAAAAGCGAAACTTCCAGTATTTTGATTTTTTTTCTCGAATTTAAAAAATTGACTTACTTCATTAGGCTGAAAACTTGAATCATCGTTTGCTGCACTTAAGAGACTTGTTTCACTTTTTCGAAAGTCACTTAGTCGATCGAGATCGATAGTTAAGGTAGACATTCGGCTGTTCATATCTGTTGATTCCATCGTCAATCTAAAAAGAAAAAGAAAAAGAAATAAGAAATAAGAAAGATGAAAAAAATATATATGCTTTAAACATTGACTTATGTCGTCTAGGATTTTCTCTTTTTTTTATTAGGTTTCTTTCTTCGTCATTCATCCTATACTTTATATTCTAAACAGAATTCCATCATATAATATGATTCAATTTATTAGAATACCCGTATTTATCTAATTTTATTTTCATCGTTTACCACAATAAAAAGAAAAAAGCCAAACTAGCATTTCTAGCTTTTTTTGCTTTCAATCGTTTGACTCAATAATAAATGCTTGCGACAATGACATAGACGATCATTCAATATATTCAGAAGCGTATTAGACGAGATTGTGAAGATGGTGAATAAAAAATGAGAAAAAAACAAGTAAAGAAACAGAAAGAAAATATATGACATGAGCAGAAAAACACGTTCAGTTCCTTAGCACTATTGGATTAGGCTTATAAAGTCATCATCCTCGAAGATCATTAATAGAAAGAAAATCTATGTTTCCACACACTAATAATAAAATATTCTTTAAAATTAATCAACTTAATTGATAGAGAACATAAAAAAGTAATTCCAGGATTATTTTCTTCGCTGGACATTCGCCGCACGCATGCAGATTCATATGGAATAAGTTATCATGCATCGTCATCGTCGTCGTTGTTTTTATTATTAGTTTTTGCTCTGTGTGTCATTAATGGGCAAAATGACATTCTCAATATGGCAGATCTATCGAGCTAAAGTCTTCTATGACGATAGCGCACTTCCCGAAGAAAATAATCGAGCATAATAAATGAAACTTAGACGTGGATATGGATCTATTTTTGTTATTTAGACCTATTTTTGAAGAAGAAAAAAAGATCAAAGTAAATATTTATAAAAATATTTCAGGCTCGTTTTTGTTTTGCTTTCCGTAATGTCGTATCATTTATTTTGGGCTTTAATTTATTTAGCATTCATTTAGACGGCAGAGTGATAAAAGTTGACACCAATAGTAGGATGCGCTATGCCAATTGGTTTTCTTTTCTCGTTCTATTGCTTGTATTATGAAATCATACAGATTACAACGCGAACAGGAAATGAGAGATATAACAATTCGTTTTTCTTGATAAATAATTAAATATTTTTCCGAAGAAAAACAACAACTCCATCGCTGGAGGGTGTGGATTTGGATGTAGAATGTAATTTTCTTTGTCGCCCATAACCATATCCAAATAATATTGACAGACAAATAAAAATGTCTGGGGAATATTAATATGAAGATATTAGCACATTGTGAAAATATTCCATTCAATCTAACATAAAGATAATAGCATCATTTAGAGCCTATTTTCATTTTTGGATAAAACTAATTCATTTAGCAAATGCAAATAATCATGTCAATGCTTTTGTGTCTGCCTAGTATTTTTTACAATAAAGTTCGATCGCTTTTTGTCTTAGAGCTTATCGGTCTAGAAGACAAGCTTTTGCAATTTAACTTATTTACACAGGAAGCCGCGACAGAATTCATTGAACATTTGCGTTATAAAAACTGGATTTTCATTTTTTAGCGTCTTCCTATAGTGAAAATTGAATGCTACTAATTAATGATGCAAGCAATCGATGAATAATGATCAGTAACCTTTTTTCATAAAATATCTCATGAAATCATTATTATGAAGCAGAAAATCCCAACGTATGTTTTCGTCTTTCGTAATAAATGCAACGTAGTCACGCATGATTGTGTCGCATATAGGCTACAATCGAGCACACGCAAGTACCGTTTTGTTTGTGCTTTCTTTTCTCTTATGGGAATTTCCCGATATAGCACACATACTAATATAAAGATATTTGTCTAGTAATTTTATTTCTAATGCGTGACATGTCCTTTGAACGGCGTTTATTTTCGTTTTTTCCAACTAGCTCCAATAAATAGATGAGATACATGTTTATACAGCAATATATCGAAAGTGCCTATTACTATTTTCATTCTAAATACAAGTGTAAGTATCACATATTAATGTGCTCCTTATTTTTGCTGTCATAGTAGTAACAATCAATGCGTAGGAAATATCGGTACACCAATAGTTGAGCTTCCGAAAGTCGAGCCTTTATTGGTTAATTAAGTAACAACGAATCACCATGTTTCCATCGTACTGATGAGACGCTAATACATTTTTTTCGAATTATCGAAGTGATTCAGTTTGGAGTGCTAAGCAATTAAGTGCACACAAGCCGTATGAGTTTTGTATGAACAGATGCATTGTACATGCCGACTATTGTGCTTGTTATTTGAAAGATTCTATTGATTTGCTGCAATCGGAGTATTATCAATGTTTAACGGAATATCTTTCTATTCAGAAGTTTTGGTTCAATTACTATGGCACATTCACGAGAAAACAAAATCGATTTTTTTGAAGTGAAAATTCATTGAATATGTTGACTCGTATACTATGTCTCATTTTTCAGTCAGCTACGAATTGGCGCAATCGTGCAAAAGTGATCGAGTATTTAGAAAACTTCGAATGGAACGTGTAGGTATTTATTTCATTTGAACTCCTGCTTTGTTCGTCAAGTAATTACTTTTGTCTTAGTACGCTATCAACTCGTATTTTTCAAGTGTTCATATTCCAGAGCCTTCTGAAAGTGTGAATGTTGACGCGAAGAGATCAACAAAAGGTAGCCTTGAATCGAAAACATTGAATGAAACCGAGGAAGATTCGCGGAAGCATTCAACACTCAACGAACCTCTAATCAACTGTCAATCCCAATTAACTGCAGTAGGTGCTCATCAAAGGCTTTCGACGACCTGTTTTTTGGATTCTCTAGTCTCCACCATCACAAAAACTATACAATTCAATGCATCAAGCATCCACAATCAATCCTTCCGAACGAATATCATTCAGTGAACACTGCAGTCACATAGTTTCAAATGTTGATGGAACATCTTCGTTATTTTCTAAAATTTATGAGTTGGATCATAGTGAGTGTCTGAAATAGATATCCCATTTGACAATCTCATTCACATTCATCAATTGATAGTTGAAGATTTATTGTAATCATCTATTTAGACAAGCAACAACTTCTTCAATATATAAATACGAATACTATTGGTCAAAATCTCATCATTCAAACGCCATGGGGACTACGAAAAGGCATATATTTTTCGTTCAAAAACTTTCGAGTAACACATATATTTTTTTTCTATAGCTGTCTATGCAGATTATACAGCCTCAGGACGAGGTCTCATATTTATCGAGCATTATATGCTTACCTATGTTTGGCCATTGTAAGTAAAATTCATTACTAAAATCAAAGAAAATACAGTGAATTTTGCTTGAACAGTTATGCAAATACTCATAGTGAAAATAATGCATTTGCATTGCAAACGACACGATTTCGGGAAAGTGCACGTTCAATCATAAAGAAATGTCTAAATGTTACGGATGATGATGTTGTCATCTTTACTGGATCTGGTAAATGCGCGTTATAATTTTGTTCATCTTATCCTAAATGAACAAACTATTGTATATTTGAGGTTCTACAGCAGCAATTAATAAATTTGTTGATATTCTACAACTTCGAACTGACGAAATTCGAAATCGTACTGTGGTATTTGTTAGTACATCAGAACATCACTCGAATATTTTGCCGTGGAAAGAAACGGGCGTTCAAGTAAAATTCGATTATATATTTGACTCTACATGCGATCATAACTACTGGACCTGAGTCATTAAACAAATTTTGTTTATTTTTTTCTGCTAGTTCGTTCGAATTCCTAACAATGAAAAAGGTCTTCTGGATCAAAATGTTCTCAAAGAAAATTTGATATATTACCGTGACCTGACTAAAAAATCAATTATTTGCATTTTCAATGCAGGCAGTAATGTCACTGGCGTTCTTGCCGATGTAGATCGCATTTCAGAATTGGTACATGAGCATGGAGGTTATATATTTTGGGATTATGCGGCAGCAGCACCTTATGTGCACATCGATATGAATCCCTCTGAAAAGGCTGCTAAAGATGCCGTGTTTATCTCGACACATAAATTCATTGGTGGACCGGGTACACCAGGTAAATTATTACAAATATAACAAAAAGCGACTCTTATTCTTTTACATTGAGGTCTTCTAATTGCCAAAAAGAAACTTTTTGAGAATCCTGTACCAACTGGTTGTGGTGGTGGTACAGTTAATTTTGTTACTCGAACAGCTACGGAGTATGCCAAAGATATTGAAACACGAGAAGAAGGTGGAACACCAAGCATTCTTGGTTCTATTCGTGCTGGACTAGTTTTTCATTTAAAACAATCGATAGGTCATGAACTTATTGAAGGACGTGAAACTGAATTAGTACACAAATTCTTTCAACGTTTTCAAAACCACCCAACATTATTTATTCTCGGTCCGCCGGATGTTTCTCGTCTGGCGATCTTTTCCTTTCTCATATATGTACCATCAGTTGACAAATATTTGCATCATAATTTTATTTGTTCATTGTTAAATGATTTATTTGGCATTCAAGTGCGATCAGGTGGTTCCTGTGCTGAACCATATGTTTTAGTACGTAAACAAAATAACAGATTGACAATAAATATTCTTTTTCAAAATAATCTTCTAGGATCTACTGAATATTGATGATGAACAAATAAATATGTATTCAAAATTTTATACTGAAGATTTAGAGTAAGTATCAAGAATAGATTTGAAGAAAACAAAAGTTCACTTCGATTTAATTCAGTCAACGTTTCGATAAAGATAATGATCCAATTCCCTATAATGCATTGATGAAGCCGGGTTTTACTCGTTTCAATCTACCGTATTTTGCCAGTGACGACGAAGTAAATTATATTCTTGGTGCAATCGAATTTGTTGCTAGTTTTGCTTGGAGATTTCTTCCATTGGTAAGACCGATTGTTCATCATGAGAAATCTAGCGAACAAAAACTTTTCTTTGCAGTACCAATACAATCAAGAAACTGCTGTTTGGCGTCCTCGACATCTACCCGTGGAAAATCGCTCCAATGCAAGTCATAGTCTTGCTGCAGTTGACTATCAGAACGGTACTATGGAACAAATTAATTTTTTGAATAACAAACCGCAGGTAAAGTTTCGAAACGATATTGTTTGATATTAGTTTTATTTTTATGTCTATAGAATATTGATCATCAAATCCCGTTGGCTAATCTATCTTCGTCATCATCTGACGATCCTTTTGAACAGGCGAAAGCTATTTCGAAAAATATGCCACAGTACGTGTATGAAAATATCGATTTTCGAACAGATACTCAGTTGAATATTCCGAAGAAATATGAACATTTCATTTGGTTTGTTACACCCAAAGAGATCATGATAAAACTAATGGTTGAATTTGAATGTTTGCAACAAAAAGATCGTCTTGCAGTTCCATTCCAACATCGATACAGAAGTATCCAAATTGTTTGAAGTTTGGGATTCAAACTGTGTTCATAATCAATACGATTAATTGAACTAAATTGGTTGTGTTTACTGTTGAAAACGATATAAATAATCTAAGATTGTATTCTCTATGGTTTCATGTAAAAAATAGCGACTTTTCGGACACCGTTATTCGATGATTCATGATTTAGATACTTCATACATCCAGACTGTAACAGATTCACACATAAGATAGATCCTTTAGGGTTCCATCAATATCAGCACAACTACTATCTTAAAAGACTGAAGCAATTAAAGATTTTATTTGAATCTAATTCAATCTCTTGAAATAGAGTTGACCTAAATTTCAAGCATATTTGGATGCGCAAGGGTTGTTTTTAAATATTTATTGACTATTTTAAAAGCCAATGATAAATGCTCTTTTACATATAGTTTACTTATATAAGCAACTGCATTAATATGAAAGAACTCTTATCTTAACTTATGTTTAAACTATGATAAGAAGTATACGAGTTATAAAAGAAAAAGAAGCGTTATAATACTTCTAAACCATGTCGAAACATCATTCAAATTTAAAACTTTTGAAGCTTGCTGGCAATTTTCTATTTATTGCTATTGCATGGACTTTATTTGTATTGAATATAGTCAAATATGCTACGAGCTATTTTCAACGTACTAGCTATAAGGTAATTGAAAAGCCGAATGGATTCTTTTATATTTTTAAAGAAATCTATGAAAATGAAACACAATGGGAATCGAACTGTACGTCGAATTATTCGAAATCCGAGGCCGACAATATTTTTCGTTGGTTTATTGCATCTAAGAAAAGTGAAAACATAGTTTTTCATGTATTCTATTGGTTTATGATGGTCATTGCGCTTACGATTTCACTTGCTCCATCCATCAGCTATGTATTTAAATATTTTAAATCGAATCATTACAATATTACGGAACGATATTGTTTATCAAGTATGCTTCATTTTATTCGAACATTTTTTAGCATTACAGTCTTTGTCTTACCAAGTTTTTACATGAATACATTTAATTTTACGAGTGAACCATGCTTAACTGCATATCCAACAACATTCTCCATAGATATTTCGCCATTTATATTCGCAACATTTATTGGCTTAATTATTTATTTTATATTTAATTTAATTGTAAATTTCTTCTATGAAAAACGTAGATTTTGTTGTTCAATTGAATGTCTCTCATATCTTGGCTTATGTATATTAGGCTTATTAATTGTTTGCATTGTTGTTTTTTCAGCAACGATTATTGCATTTGTGTTTGTTATTTCATTTATTGAAACGTCGCTTCGATTAACAGTGATTCTTATTGTTGTTCAATTTCCTTTTCTTATTGTACAACTTTTATCTGATTAGAATTTCTCTTTCTATTTGATAAATAAATACCATGGTAACTATCGTTATCTTCAACTATAGCAACTACAGTTACTGTGTAAACAGCTGAGAGTCGATCTTGGCGTGATAATAGTTTTTAACTCTTTTGATTTTTCAACTTTTAAGTATAATTCATTCAACAAAGTATTAGAAAAAAAAACTAGATAGTATTCAAGTTTCACCCGAATACGAAATGTCGTGCGAAGAACGACCCGAATTTATGATAGCATTAAAAACAAGAAGAAAAATGAATAAACGAAACTTTAGTTCATTAGAAATTGACATGAGAATCATCAATTTTCGATAATAAAGAATGAGTTGTTTTACGTAGTGAAAAATATGTTTGTCGATAAAATAACGCTGTAAAAATGTAGTCAGCTACTTTTGTGATTCGATGAAAACGACAAAGTTTTTACAGTGAATAGCAAAGAGAAAATTAGTACTGATTGGAAAACTATGAAGTTGCACATGTTAAGCAATTATAAAATAATAAAAACAGATAGAGTACAAAAGATACGCGAGCATTTTTCGGTTTGCCCACGTAACTCGCTACTTCGCTGATCAAGTTTTTAAAAAACTTTTCGATATGGACAGGTGTAAGCGTATTTTCTGCTACAGTTTTTTACGCTGATTATGAATTTGGATTTTTTTTCTTAAAAGAAATTGAGTTTTGGTATCGAAAATCGTATTTTCAATTTTTTAACCAACAAAATTTAAAGCAAAATGCAGAGTAATATACCATTCGATGCAGAATTTGATTCTCTAGAAAAGTGACTACGAATCCTATCACAGTAAAGACTTTATCTCCAGATCTCGAAAAAGAAACATTTTCTTGGGTATTGTGAGAATCTTCTGATCGATCACTCAAGTCGTTGAAAGCCTTGCGCTAATATAACCTTAGTGACCTGCGATACCCATGATCGTATTCATTTGTTCACACCTATACTATTTAAGTAACCTTCAAGGATAAGAAAAAGCTTATAAAATTTATATGTGAATAGAATGTCATTGGTATCAGACAAGTTACATGAATTTTTTAGATTCATTAGATTTCAATAGCATTCATTTATTTTGAAAATAAAAGACACGCTTAGACTATACTATTGACATAGTCAACTAGCTGAGAAAAAATGCTTACATACATGAGGTTATTCATTACAATCACAAATCTCGTTTCGTACATGCGACCAGTTGGATTCTTTACTTATCTATTTTACTTTATGCTGTGAATCACTTTTCTAACCATTTAATCCTTGCAATAATTGATATATCTATGCACATCAAGTTGAAAGGGTACATTTTTGGATGTGGATATTTTTTATTCTTTGTCAAAGTGCAAGTACACACCCACACTCGCCGATTATTCCGTCAACTTTGTTGATTCGACAACGCTGGTACAAACACAAAATGTCGAAAGCATATGGATGATCGCCAAAATGAAGACGGAACGTCAAATGGGACAACATGCCACACCACTTGACACGCTGTTGGTAGAATTCATGTGGCGACGTTGGTTCGGCAATCGTCCGTTGGAAAACATCATTCGAATGATCAAGAAAGTGTGCCCTGCCGTGTACGTGTTTGGTAAGTATGTTTTAATGTTCTCAATTATTCTTTTTCTTCAATTTTTGTGTTCAACTTCGTCATAGCTATCAATAAATTTTTACTACCTTTCTAATTAAAAGCTGCTATCTATCGATGCTTCTCGAGATGAACGAATGATTTTTCATAACTTCCTGTCGATAAACATACGAGACAAATTAGGCTGGTGTCAGACATCTGAAGTAATACCGCAGTATGATGATGCTAACCAGGAATATGACTCATCTCTTATTTGGCAACAACAGGCACCTGTGACGTGAAAAAAAACAAGTAGGAGGGAAATCATCTTTTAGTTGTTTGCATTCCTTCCTTCTCTTACCTGAAAGAGAGAGAGAGAGAGTTTATCTCATATTGTTCGTTATTGTCGTTCTAAAATCGCAAATTGGTCAAAATTTTTAACACTGCTAGTCCTACAGCGCGTTCTTAAATTTGAAAATATTCTTTGCAGATGAACCCTTTTTTAAACTAATTTAAAGTTTAATTAGCCGAGGACACGCACATGGCATTAAGAATATACGTATCAAAAGTGGATTATTCTGATGCGACTTTAGTTGCACTACTCCAATCTATGTATAATGAAATATTGATACAAGAAATATCCGATTGCTGAATGACACTATCATATGTTTTGCGGAAATCACATCTATTTTCGACGAAAATAGTGAGTATAAGTTGAAGTGCCATGCTTTTGCGGCTCCCCTGTACCCCATGTGACGGCAACAGCGTTACTGATCTTGTTTTAGTGTTTTTATGCTGTGTATATTTATTTATTTTTCTCTTATTACGCTTGATTCTCTCTCTCTATAACTTTACTTTCAGCTTGGTCGCAGTTAGTTATCTAATTAACTTCTTCTTCTCCTCTTCTCAAAATGAAATAATTTTTTTGAGATGTATTATATATTCTTTCAATTCGATTGTTCCTGACAACCATTCCACTATACTTCGCTTCCAATCTATTCTACTTGCTTGTCTATTAAGTTCTCTCTTTCTGTCTATTTGTCATTAAATAAATTAGTGGATCTTCATCCACGCTGAATTTAATCCACCACAATATTATCGTTTGCCATAACAATTTATTGTCGCACCAGGCGTTTTTAATAGTTGCGCCTCGGTTTACCTAACTGAGCACGTTACACCTCACCCCCATTACAGACATAAAACATGAAAAAAGCAACACTTAGATGCGCTAATTAGGTAAAATTTTGGTACAAGTCGATTGCCCATGTTTGCCACTACTCATATCAGCCATTAAAATCTAATTTCACTAATTAGAAATCATTATAATTAGGATTTAGTATCTAATTAATTTTTGTTATTATGATAGTCCATAGTTACGATTGTCTGGCATATTTTTACTATTACAGACGTTAGCAACGAGTATATGTTAACATTAATGATTATCTACGACAGACTAAATACGTTAAAAACTTTTTCAAAGATGATTTACTGTTTTATTATCCGCGAATAACGATAAACAAAAAAATTCACGATAGATACTAATTGTAATTAAATACTGATACGAAAACATAATTCATTTTAAAATTTCAGTCGACCAAAAAACAAGTAAAAAATTTAATCGACGAATATTCTTTTTTTTAATATTTAAACAATACTTAAATATCAAAAATATAAATATAAAATATTCATTATTTGAACTGTTTATGATGATAATATTTTATCTATATATAAATGCAGTGCTTATCATTCAAATACTTTAACACATAATGCGAATTATAGATTGATTAGATTTTTATTATTCATATGTTCCATTAAGATGTAAAATATTTTAAAACTAGTGATTTGAATATGTCATTGAAACATGATTAACTAAATAACAAATTCAGTACACTAGCCTAGAGTATCTAAACTTGTTTTCTAATTTTATATAAATAAGACGCTTCAATTATTCAGAATTAACATTTACAGCTTCAATTCTATTGAAACTATTTAGATATAATAAATTATATTTGTTAACCGTATTATTTGTTTTCATCGCATTCCTAAAAACATTATGAAACTCATTCTATTAAAAGCAAAAACCCCTCCATTGAGTCAGTATCTATCTAAGCGATCCATAATGTGTGAGTCCCATGATGTTAGTCCCCACGGGGCTGCGCTGAAAAGCTTTTTTCCTTACAAACAAAAGGAAATCTCCACGAATATCGGTCCCTATTAATATCTGGATGTCTCTACCAGAAATTTTAATCCATACCAAAACGCTCTATGATTTTAGAAATGATTATTTACGATTTGAAGGCGTAATGATAAACGTGTCTGCCATACGGTTTCAATTAACGCTAACGCTTTTAGTTAATTAACTCGCATTAAATTAAATGATCCACCCCTACTCACACGGGCCATTATACCTCCGATCATCGTTTTTGGTTTGATTAGAATTAAATCCAAGTATATGAACGCAACCCATACTGAATCTGTAGCAAAAACTTCAAGAACAACTTCATACAAAAATGAATTCAGAAGATATACATCTTAGTTTATGTGCAGATTATGATAAAATGAGTAATATGAGCGTACTTTTTGAAAAGACAATACAGATTATTTAATTTCGTGAAGGAAGCACAAATTCAGTTCGTAATATTTTTAAACCTTGTCATATAATCACTATCGGTACGGCAGTTAAGTAAACAACCACTAAAAAAAGCTAGATGGCATTCGAATTTCACTCGAATCAAAACTTTAATTCATTAGAAATTAGCATTGTGCACATCACTTTCACAATCTAATGGATTTAGTTCTTTGTTTTTGTTTTGAAGAATTTAAAATGCAGAAATATTTTTTAAGCTTCCCTATAGTCAAAACTATCTCTATAAAAAAAACTCTATTCATCCGTTTCAACAATGTTGTGAAAGAATTGTTTCCATGATTGACTAAGTATAATCAACTGTAGATAAACACATCAATGTGGCTAGCAGTCCACAAATGTTAAAAATTTATCGAATCTTCAGTATTAAAAATAGATTCTCCTATGCATGGTGTTGATTTTATCGTCTAAATGACAAATAGACTATTATCGATCGAATTAAAATGGGTGAAAATCCTCAAAATGAACATTCGTAAACCACTATGAAAAATAATTCAAATAGAAATGAGTACAAGAATCGTGCGAATAAATAATCATAATTCCAGAAATTCATATATATTTTTCTGATGCTGTCGATCTCTTGGGCAGAGATCGGTCAGACATGTGATAAAATACCAATTGTAGGGAATTACAAAAATAGTGGTCTGTTTCTATCAAATATACGATGCAAGTTACACTAAACCTGATTAATGAATTATAGATCAAGAATTACAGAAACAAATTTGTTCTACTGTCAAATCATGTCGAAGTTTTCTAGAATCACATATTAATAACGTTCGAGTCTTTGAAAAAAGCTTGCACGGCATCAATGATTTGTGCTGCATGTTCAAGAAGTAACATATGAGTTGCACCGGGAATAATAGTCAATGTTGAATTTTTATATAATCGATGATAATGATAAGCATTATTCACCGGAATTAACGAATCTTTATCTCCCCAAATAATTAATACTGGTATATTTAATTTTGCAATAAATTCAATTGATGTTAATGAAGATTCAAAATCAAAATTTCTCAGTGTTGAAAATAAAGCTCGTAAATAGCCGGGATGTTGTTCCCAGCCTAGTTTAAATAATTTTTTATATTGTTCATAGGTTTCATGATCGGGAAAAGCCCAATGTGAACGTTCTTTTTCATCATCAGTATATTTTATTATATGTTTAAAAAGCATTGGACCAATAATAGGCAGGGATACAATAAACATACGACTTTTGGATGGTTTATTGAGATTAAGACCAGCTGCACAGCAAAGAATTAACTTTGATACTTTGTATGGATGAAGTTCGGTGAAACGTTGAACAATAGCTCCGCCCATGCTAACTCCAAATAGATTATATTTTTCATATGGAAGATTTAATGCATATAAAAGTTCAGCTAATTGACTAACGTATATATCAATATTCATCGGTACATCAGGAGAATCGGACCAACCACGACCATATAAATCATAAATTAAACACGGTTGATCATCCTTAACGAATTGTGGAAATATGTGTTGCCACATTTCCATCGGAGTTGAATAACCATGAACGAATATATTCAGTGGCAATGACGATGATCCCGAATGATATATGTAATGAACAGTACCGAATGAAAGCTCAACAAATTGATCAGGACCCATATTAGTTATCGAACTAGTAGAGGCTCCATCATATGGACGGGATAAACGACCTCGTCGGAAAGTAAGACGATCGTGGAGTGTATAAATAATTACGCAAAACAAAATAATAAACAATAAAATAATGAATAACATCTATAATTATTCTAATTTCTTTTTTTCATATAAACAATGTTAAAATCAATCGAAATAAAGCGAGGACTAACTTATTATAAGCAACATGTGGCAGTTTTCAAAGGTTAACAAAAGTATATTATTACAAAAGAAAACGATAACAGAGAAGAAAGAGTAGATAGTAAAATTGAAACTAACCAATAAAATAAATGCTTGTAGTTTTCAGCCGATGTTGATATTGCTCAGTGATCATGTGACTCATGACTACTATCTCACAAACATTATTCAGATAAAGTTTTAGATATCTGTTATGAGACGTGTTTGAATTGGTTGAATAAATAAATTAAGTTCATCAATAGTAATTATTCGTTTTATTTCAAGGTAACATCTTTATACACTTGTGTCATAATTCCGTTTGATAGCACAGAAGAAAAAAATAGACATATCTCCAATGAATATACAAGTTGAAATGACAAAAAAAAACATTTCGTACTACGGGCACAATGATAAACACTGGCGACAGTTCCGCAAGAAACGCAAATATTCAATTATTTTTATGGGGAATTTGTGCTTCAGTGATACCATATACTTCGATCAATTGCTAGAAAATAAAATCTAAGAAAACCACGATTATAGTAACAACAATATTCTTACCTCCCATTCGTCCATTGTGATTGACTAGAAAACAAAATGTCAAAGAATTAATGAGAGAAATTCTGATATTATAAGTACTAACCATAATCATTTGATTTGCACGTTCTGGCGGATTTTCAGTTTGACTTGCACTCATTGGTGTACGATTCAACGCCTTATCAGTTGGTTCTAAATTAAAAACAAAAACAAAAAATTATACTTTCATGAAATTCTCAATTTACCAAGTGCTGGTAGATTGACTTCATCTTGAAAAAGATTGACAAATCCTTCCTAAAAATGAAAAAACTGATAGAAATTTCTACGCGTTTCTCTAACTTTCTATACTTTGATAAGAAAAGAAACATGAAACATATTTTCAACAGTTTTTGCAAATGATTTTGGATTAATAACAAATTCGAAGTAATCTGCTGGACTTGAATCTGTCGCTTTATAACGTTCAACAAGACAACGTTTGATATGCATAATTTGTTTTATAGTTTGTTCACCGAGTTCAGAATTGAATTCTTTTACCTAAAAACAAGAACATGTATTATGAATTGCGATGTACGTTAGTGTGAAAATACTATTTTATGAAACTACAGAAAACTGATTGGCTAAAGCAACTTTCTTTAATTACTAGAAGCCGAAATCAACAGTTTGTTTATAGAATTTCATCTTTAAATGCTATGTCACAGCGAAAAAAACTCCTCCTGTTAATTTGTTTCTAAAAAGAATAATTACTTCTTCAGGTCGTGTACGTGACTTTTCTAATTCTTCCTGTGTTAGTTTTTGCTGTCGAACAGGTTTTGCACGCTGTTTTTGTTTTTCTAGATGTTCATTGGTAAATAATTTTGTAGGCAATCGACCATTCCTGAATAGATAAATCAATGCAGTCGCGAGAAAACATTGAAGATAAAATTACATCATAGAACTTGATGGAACGATATGATGAAAATTTCCAAATATTTCATAAAATTCATTTGCACTACCAACTAATTTCGATAGAATTTTCTCACATCTTCGTGCGAAATCATAAGCACGATCTAAACTTCCGGCTTCGTCAACAGCACGAATACGAATACTAGCTAAATTTGAAATAGTCCGTAATGTTGAAGCATCGAGTACACCTTCGCGAGGCATTTTAACTAAAATTTCAAAACAAACGGTTCTTTTCCATTTAATTCGCATGAATTATTTTTACCTTTAGCAAATGCTTCATCAACTTGATCAATTTTTTTCTCCAATGCATCATTATCTGGTGATGTATATAATTGTCGATTCGCTAGAAAAATGATGAATGTAATTCAGAAATTGACTCAACTATTGACATACTATTAAGTTCATCAATAAATTTTCGATAATCTAAACGAACTTGTAAACGTGTTTCAGTATCTTCATCAGTAGCCATTATCTAAATATGAAAGATTATCTCTATTGCTGAAAAATCATCTATTTACTTGACTACGACATTGAGTTTGACTTGTGTAACCATCATCATCATTATTATCTTGTTGTCGTTGTTTTTGCTGTTAATGAAAAACTATGAGCAGTTCGACGATGATAAACAATTACTTACTGTTGACTTTTGTGTTAATTTATTACTGACCATCATTGATGTGTTCGATGAATCAATCTGTAAATAAAAAAAGGATACTCTTCTCTTTTTTTTTCTTCTTTCGATCGATGAATTACATACCCAACGAATTCATTACGTGTACTCCAATCAAACGAAAAATGAGCATAGGTGTCACTGAATTATGTAATTCATATCATAAGAGTATCAAAAATGCGAATAATGTTATCGTGAAGCAAGGAAGAAATCTAAAGCATACTAGACATTTCTGTTCTGCATCAAGAGCCAGTCATAGATGAAAAAATTTAAATAAACTTTTCCTCGAGAAATCCGACTAATTTATTTCAAAATAAACCGATTTAGATTGCATTTTGCTTGAATGAATAAAATCTTGTTTTTTTTGGAAAGTTAGATTATGTTCATGCTTTCTCTCTCAGGTTGGAAAACAATAATAATATCTTAGGCCTTTTTCTAGATTAATATTGTTTTTTTGAGAATTCGACTAAAAATTGACAATTAGGTCTCATCATATGCAAAGTGCATTCCTAGATCTGGCAATTCTTTTCTTGAACAAACGTAATATATTCTTCCGGAAAAAGTCAATTTTCCTTGATTGAACTTAGTCTACAAAAATTTCTTGTTCTTGCATTTTAATTGTTGCAATACTAAACGATTGAGACTTAATCTTGGATCACCTCTAGAACACTAGACATATGTATACAAATGTTGTTGAAAACTTATGAATTGTATTTAACAATTAGAAAAATCACTCTTCCGTGTTATTTCTGAATGAGCAAAGTAAGATCTGCTGACCCTGGGCTCGATGAACATATCAAGGGGGAAAAGCTGATTCCGTGAGGGTGTGAGTGTGGAAGGATGTGAGTCCGTACTAATCAAACCCTCACCCTCGCTCGCACTTATATTGTGCATTCAAACTGACTTTGTACAGCTACACTCACACAGATGATTGACATTCGCACAAACATTCCTGTCCAGACCTCAAGACGAATATTCATTTTTACCTATTTCAGAAAAATCAAAAATTATATAAAAAATACAAAAAAATTATAATTTCCCCTCCAACATATATATATATATGTATATATGAATGCTCATTTGTTCGATTTGACTGATACCGTCAATAGCGAAAAGAACAATAAGATCTTTTTTTTCAATAGTTAAAATTGTCAATGACTGAAAAATGTTGTTATTCCTCTTCTTTCTTCTTTTCTAATGAACTTTCATTTGATTTTTTTCTCTATCTGTTTTTTCTAATACTTGGAAGTAGAAAAGAATATTTTATGTAAGAGAAAATGAACATTTGATAAAATAAATCACTTTCTTGTTATGAATGTTCACATTTTTCTCGTAAATGTATTATTTTAAGAATAAATATTTTGATGTATTATAAATGTTTTATAAAGAGGAGCGTCTAATATTCCATTACCAAAATTTTATTTGAATGACTTAGATTTCTTTTGGATTCTAGAAATTGTGTATAGATCAAATTTGACATGAGATTTGATCAATAAACGTTTGATTGCATTTAATTGATTAACTTTTATGAATGAACTTTATACAATCACAACTAAAAATATGAAGTAGAAGGATGTGTGGGTCTAAACAAAGAATTAATGCACCCACGCCTACATCCTTTTTTCTTTATTAAGCGCTACGTTATAAAATATTTGCAGTGCAGAAGTCAAAGTCAGTTGGGTCGCCGTGACATTGTAATGACCAGATCTAGATTACAGGCCAACGTGCAGATCAGACCAACAGTAAAGAGCACACTTCTCCAAGGTTGCAACGCCATAATGTAGGCCACAGCATAAAGTATGCGAGCGAACAAATAGATCGCACCGTAAACAATTGTTCTTGTAGCGTTACCATCAGAAAACGCTGCTGTTGCTAGCAACAGGATGAGAAAATACGTGTCATTTTCCGTATCATTGCCGATAATTTTGTTCACACGTACATCTTTGGTAAACTCGATTGTGCCAGGATCCACGGTGGAAGGTTGCACCTGTGCTCCTACCAGCTTACTGTCTTCGGGAACTCGAGTACCTGGCTGGAAAGGCTTGCGAGCTCTTGTTATAACGATCAAGAAAATCATTGCAATACGCCGGACAACCATCATGAGCATGAACCACGCAAATACAGTGTAGGGTTTGATGGTGGTGACGTCAACCATAATAGTAAGGCAAATGAGTGAATAGAAGTTGATCGAACGACAACTGTCACAGAATACGAATCGTTTAATTTAGTGCGTGAGCGCTCGAGTTATATTTGCTGATAAAGATGTCAATGTTTATCGTGTTCGCCCTTGTTCGGTTACTATCAAGAATGTAATCCTACAGGCTTGTTCTTCACACTCATATCAAACTCTTCTCTTTCTTTCTTTGCACACAAAACGTCACGACACATCATGACGAGACATTTTATTAGAGTAAAGTGCACACAGGCACGATATCTGCATCCATTCATAGCTGCCTCAGTCTTCCGAATTTTCTTCAACCTTTTCAGGATTGGACCAGTTTCAAAAAATAGTAAAATCAATCAATTGATTTTCATTCTTTATTCATTTTTATTAAACATCACACGTGCGTGAAGAAAAAGAGGCAGTATGACGAAGCAATTCAGAACAGAGATCAAACACAAGAAATCAAGCAGCAGTAAAAAGGTGCATGTATCACTACGATGAGTCATGCTCTAACACATGCGCAGCTAGACGTATTACAAATGATTCATATGTTGGGTGTGGGTGTGAGTATGAAAAGCAATTCTCACATCAACACCCAGCATTTTCTGACTGTCGCTGTTATTTTTGAAAACGAAGTTCATGTAATTGTTTTTTTAATGGAAGTATTTCTCTGAAAAATATAGTAGTGAATTCTCTTTATACATTTTTGTTTCTTTTTGCTGCATATTTTGAGATCCATTGTGTTCCCTGATAGTTAGTGTAATTTCTGTCTAATTGTTAGTGACATTGTAGTTTGAGAAATAATTCCGGAGAAATATTTTCAGCCGATTGGTGTTATGGCCCAAAAGAAAATTTTGAGATGAGCATATACGAGTCTAGATATTCCCAACTAGGCTGATCGGTTCCGACTGGGAACCGAGTCAAGTCCGATTGCTGGAATCGCCATCGGTTAGTACAGTCTAATATCATGAAATATTCATCGGAATCCGACTCTCGGATCCGTTACTGATTCCTCAACCGTGAGTCCCATTGGATATTGTCGGCTGGGCGGATCGTACAAGATCCAATGCGACTCAACATCGGATTCATTCGCCTGTGATCATACCAATCGCCATAAATATCATAAAATAAGAATTATTCAATCTATCAGATATCATATTCAGCAACAAATACGATCGATCCAACCATGATCACACATACAATGGGATTCAATGTCTTTTCAAATTAAATTTAGTAATCAGATTATTATGCAGATATTTTTTTTAATCCATCTGTTGAGACCCCGGAAGAAGGTTGAAACTAGTCGTGGTAGTTCTAGTTCACACTGGCGCCCTCACTCTCAATAAGAGAGAACAATTCTGCTGATATCTCACTTGGTTGGACAGACAAAAATATCTATCTCTTTTTCACATGTAAAATTCTTTCTTTCAGAAAAGGGAAGAATAAGTGCTCGGTAATAATTATTGTTTCTTTTCTACTCATTATATTTCTGCATATTTCTTTTCAATATATTTTGATGCCTATATTTTAAAATATATTTTATGCTTTGCTAGCGCCAGTCGTATTATCCAATAACAAATATCAACTCATCGTAGATTGAATTCAGCGCATAAATCGTCTATTGATTTTCTTGCATATTTGTTGTTCCATTCGAGCACACGTGTTTTATAATTTTCTCTATTTTGATGATACAAAGCAGCTTTTTGGGGTGAAATCGGATGACTGTAATTAGGTTCTGTTAGCAGGTTCACTAGAGCTTCGAGAACTTTGCACATTTTAACGCGTGTAGACCAAGCGGTACCTAACAATTCGTGACATATTCGACCATCGCCACTGATGTTGACATGATAGATTCTAGTGTAGAATCTCAAATTGGGTGGAATACTAGGATATTGATCAGGAAAAGTAACATATAAAAGCCAGCGACAATTTGCATATAAAGTATTTGGTGGACCCTAGAGTGTGATGATAAAGTGAACTAATCAGTTAATATATTCACAATTGCAATTATAGGTATCAAATTCTTTAGAAAACTTTGAGTAAAAAGGACAGAGCAGTAGTTTCAACAATGAATTGATAATTTGTCAATCTCTATTTAAACTGTTGATGTTGACGTTAGAAGTTGATCAAGGTTCATGAATTCTTAAAAAGCTGCAACAATCTACGAAAATCGAATGAAAACTATGGTAATTTATATCGACTCAAACGGAGGGTGTGGGCCAGGGTTCTCAAACCTCCTGATTTCTTCTGATTTTGTTTTTTTTTGTCGAATTCACATATATTTTCGAAGAAAATCGTGAGTGTAAGTTAAAAAGCGAGATTTTTGTGGCTTCCCTTCCCCATTACAGACATTAATGACTTTAAATTGTGCTAATTAGGAGCTACACTACTTAGGTTACTATTTCTTGAGGGTGTGTGGGTGTGGATGTTTGGATATGGGTGTGGCGAGCTTCACTGCATTCCCATCCACATCAACTCCCAAACCCACCCTATATTTATGTTTAGACGATATCATACGAAGCGTCATACAAAGCATTGACTAGGAAGCGTTTTCTTGAGCTAGAAAAAGATGGGCTTCTACGAAAATTGCAACACGAAACCTTTTCTCTGCTAAAAAAAATAGTGTTATACGAAACCTGTTCGTACGAAACTAAAAAAGGGTTCAGGATTCGTTTCAAATCTCGAAACCTTTTTTTAGTTTCGGATGGCACCTTTTTTTCAGTGTCCTATAAGAAAAACAATATTAAATGTGATATTGGCTTACCTCAAAGATTATCTTCCAAAAATTGATGTCAACATCGCTGACAAATAGGTGGATCCCTTTCATTTGAGAAGTAGCGACATTGTTTGCTTCAATCTTGATGCGCGCACGACGACTACCAGCTGTGAGTATTCTCGGTTCGTCAGCTGTTCTGCGCTGAGGTTGAAACCTACTTGCGGTAGCATACAATTGATCAGGAGGCTCCTGTGTTGGATAATCAACACGATGAGCTCCTGCGTTTCTTTCTAAAATGTTTCGTCTTTTACGTGCTTTAACCCACCATGCTGTTTCTTGTTCAAATGTCATAGCCAAATCTGCAGGCTCAATAAATCTATTACAATACAAATTACCATCAGTTTCTTGGCATAGACTGCGAGCTTCTAGATGCCGTTGACGATCGTTGTTATTTCGAAGTTGTCGGGTATCTGTCACAAATGACACTAGGTCCATGACAGTTTTTTTACGAGATTGCTTTATTCTCTGTTTAACTTCTCGTGCCGTTGTTTTACTTCCCCAGTCGACGCCATCTGAAATACAAATAATTAGCTGATTGCAATCAGAAGTGACAGGATATTGTTTCGCGTATTCATCCATGGTATTGAGAGCTAATATAAGCGCATCATACATATGTGTATATTCGTTCTTGAAATTAGGAATCTGGTTAATCTCTTGTTCGAACGTATCGGGATCTTGTGTTGGATAACAGCGTATAGTTGCTTGTGAACCAAAAAGAATAAGTCCTATGGCATGTGGATGTGTTTGCCATTGCAAGTTATCACTTAGAATGAACAGTACTGCTCGGCTAAGCTCAAACAGAGTAGGAAGATTTGCGTTATTATGTGCGTGTGTTCTGAACATGGATGCACTTACATCTAGTAGAACCATCGTTATTTGCTCGACCGATCTGGTATTTAAGATAGTAGGCATAGTTTTAACTTGCATAATTTGAGAGATAAACGATGATAGTTGAGGATCAGGTCTCTCAGGCTCGACTTCATAAATATCGTTTGCATTGAGGATTTTTTGCTCATTGTCCCTCGTTGGCCCAAAGGCATAGACATCATAATCAATCATATTATTGCTACACACTCGTTGTCGTCGTGAAAACGCAATACCCACGCATCGATCTTTTAACATGATTAGTTGATCACGAAATTTGTTGCGAAGCTTCTCGCGGGTGATCAAAGTAAAGCACTCATAGCGATGATGCATTATATCACATATTTCATTAACTTGAATATCAGTTATGGGTTTGATGGGATCTTTTTCGTTTGTTTTAAAGAGGTCTATAAAGTATGATTCGGCAGTGCATTGACGTCCAAAAGTATATAAACATGGATTTTTCAGATGTTTGATTAAGGAAAATATATCGACATGACGAATGCTATTGTCATTCCGTATTTCTTGATGTTCGTAAAGAGTAACACAATTAAGAGTCAACTCAGCTTCGGTCGTTGGATCATTAAAGTAAAAACTTTGAAAGGCATCACTATGCCGTACCAGTCCGAGTTCTACACATGAATCTTCTTCTTCTGATTCTAAGTCACACTGGTGGAACATCCAGCATATTAGATAAGGTATAAAAATGCCTGCTAAACTTTCCTCAATTTTCTTAGGACGAAACTTAACTAGGAGAATCAGAAGGCTATCAATCAAGATTTTCTTCTCGTAGACAAACATCGCACCAATCATCATGTGTTTAAGTGCTAGCACAGCAGGTCGAAAGAGATACTTGCGCATTTGTAAGAGAAACTGTGCCTCAAGCGCTACCCGTTTGCCAATTTCTTCTTGCACCGGCCGACTAAAGTATTGATAAAGGACGTACATGGTGCTAAGCATCATTGTCTGCGAAACAGTTACTTGTGGCGTGCAAACACAAGTTTCCCACCATTCTGAATGAGTAAACAATTCCTTTGGATCAGTCTCATAAGTATACATGTCTCTACGGAATTTATGTTTCAATGTATATGCGTAAAAATGAATTGTCTTTTCATTGTCTGATTGACTCGTTGAGGGCATCAAACGAAGAAAGGTGCCAATGAGTTCGTCATCAGTGTTTGTTTTCTCGAAGATGTGCATACGATGTGTAAATAAGAGTAATAAATGTCTCTCTTCAGAACAACCTTCATCCTCCAACACCTTCCAAATACGTTGACGTAAATCTTTGAGTGAAGCATTAGTCAATAGTCTGATAATGTATACATTAGTAAGGGTTTCCACATTTACTGCCACTTCATCTACATAAGAACCACTAATCGATCTTTCTGGTGAAGTAATAAGTCTCTTTTCAGTACGCGATCTGCTTACGCTTCTAGCTCTTGAATCTGTTACTCGTACATCCGGTGCATAACTTGCATTTACTTGTGATTCATTCAATGTTAATTTCTTTCTTTCATTGCAATTGTTAACAGGCGGTGTACTCTTCATTTGATAAAGGTTGTCCGTAGTCGAAGCATCTGACGTATTCGTTATCAATAATGGATTTTGATTGGCCGGCGAGCGTCGATCTGAGCCAAAATAAGTATACGTTTCATACTGTTATTTTCAATGAAGATAATATTCCTACTTCATACTAAGTATGTACACTCATGACAAGTTTTCTAGTCTCGATATGTTGTATTATTAAAATTGCAAACAAAACTTCATTATATCTACACAAATATGAAGTACAGTAATATAAGATGACAGTGGACAAGATTATTTTCCGGTTTCAAAATATTTCAGATTTTTTTATTTCTGTCATACAACATCAATAGTATGAAAAATGTTATAAAGGCTCGCTTTACGAAACCTTAATCAAGTGAATTACAGAAAGAAAAGCGCTACTCTAGTAGAAAGGCATAAAGCAAGTGTTGCTTTCGAAAAACAGAAATGTTAAAAGAATAAAACAATGAAAGTACCTAACAGCAAAGTAAAATTTATGTCTACAATTTCTACCAAAAAATGACGAGCGGGTGGGGCTTTTAGTTACAGTTCTGATAATCATTATTATTCCTTCAACTTAGATTAAGATGAGTTGATATTCGATAAACACTACTTGTTTTCTGTAGAGGTTTAAATATGTTTATTATACTGAGGTTAGCATGGTATCTTACCTGTTTCCGACGCGGAGTCTTCTACGACATTTTTTGACTTTTCAAGGTTGGATATGGCTCTCACTGAAGTTGGTGTTTGTCTGATTTCTGTTGTCGTTACTGATGAGCGATGATGATCAGATGGCTTCAACCCAAATCCTTTATTGACAGTTTTCCTTCGCAAATATTTATCTTTTTCGTTGTCTTCGTCAGTCGAAATTGATGACGTCGAAGAAGATGATCTATTATGCATAGACATAGATTTAATTGAAGATGTTCTTGATCTAATTGTTGACACTTTGGTGATCTGTCGATAGCCAGGATTCGACACTTCTATAAAATTGTCATTTCTCGTATTTTCATCAGTATCATCATCATTCGAAGTAGATGTTGACGAACGCCGCGATTGACGTGCCTGTCGTGAAGATGCATCCACTGTATCACACAATTTTCTATCAGGCGATTCTCGAAAGGACCGCTGTGGCTTTGTTGAAATACTTCTCGGTTGTTCTTTTTCCGTCCAGTCATCTACGGGTGACAATGGAAGTGAATATGTTTCCCGATGTACATAGGAAGAGCTTTTACACGTATATTGGCTACTTTTGAAGTCATCATCGTCACTCTCACTTTGAACAGGAGTGTTGCTAAAACTAATTGATGTGGCGAATCCTGTATAAACTGATTTGGATTGAGAACGAGCTATTCCAGCGTTGGGACGAAGAAATTGCGGGTCCATAAGGTCTTCGACTTCTGACAACGGAATTGTTTCACATGAACGCTTGCAGGGATTATATGGGTGAGGTTGTTTAGAATTCGCTAGATTATCGTCATCAATTATTGTCTTAGAGCAGCCTACGACAGAAGCGGCGCGCAAAGCGAACGAATCGCCCACATCATGATGGGAAACCATCGCAGTTTTTGGTCGCTTCTTGTTTTCATTGGTATCGTTGTGCCTATCTAAGTTCCTGTTTGTATTATTATGTGATCTATCTGGAGATGGTCGATTAAATTGAATTTTGCTTAGGTGAACAGTTGGTGCCTCAGTATAAGGTTGATCAGAAAGAGGTTCAGTGGAATCTCGGCGAATACGTACGGAATTCGCTGTATTCAAACGAAGATCGATAAATTTTTCATCGTCTTCTAAAATTGCTCCCTTGTAGGTGAGTTTAAACTTATAAAAGATGGAAAAGCGTTGTCTAATGGTAGATTTAAGTTCTTTCACTTGTATATAAGCTTGGGGAACAGATAATCTATAGATTTTCCCATCAACCTCCAATACATATGGATACGCACCCGAACTGTTATTCGTCATTCAAAGCAACTAAAATGAAAATTTACATTATAAACATTTTGTAGTCAAATTAGTACAGCTTCGACGGTTTTTTTTTATCGTCGACTATTATTTTATCCTAACTAACTGTGTTAATAGTGACTCGATTAATTAACCCCATCTGAATTGGTAATCCATACACCCACACCCACACTCGCACTCACACCTGCTGATATCTGTTTGAACAAGGCAACAGATTTAATTGACTTGGTTACCAACTCAGACGGGGTTATTAATTGAGCCACTGTTAACGTAGTTAGTTAGGACAAAATTTTATTCGATATTTTTCGGTTAAGATTTGTATTCGGCGAAGTTGGAATCGGCGAAAAACACTCACACCCACGCCCGACCCCGATCACATTTGGTCGTACTTTTTCAAAGATCTGCTGCTGAAGTTTTATTTGTTAAGAGCATGTTATGGGTGTCAATTTACAGTTTATTTTATTTAAATTAAAATGTGACACCCCTAGAGCATGCTGAAATCTGATTGGTTTGAGAAACAAAATTTTAATATTATTTTTAGAAGCGTTTAACCCTTTCATTCAGAAAAGGGAATAACCACTTTCAATACTTGAGGTCCGTGATTAAAAGTGTTGAAAATATTAAGCCTACTCGCCATGAATTACAGATTATTACTTTTCTCTTTAGAACAACTCTAATTAAAAACCATTTCGATAAGCGCTTTTGCATGAAGATTATCGCCCAGAAAATTGGTGATAGATGAAAAGATTTCACCAAAGCGAAGAATCATAAATGGCGCTTACTGTTAGGAGAGTGAAATAAAAAACATCTCGTACATGAATCACATAATTTATATCCGCTCTATTGCTACTATAATTATTCTTATTGTGTTACTAAATGTTTTTATTTTCTATATGCTAACGTTAAATGTTCTTATCTATCACTATGTTCTGCTTTACTCTATTGTTAAATCTTTCACTTTTTCTTTCTTAACAATCTTATTACTATATAAAGCTAAATTGTTATTCTTTCGCGTTTTTAAATAGCTTAACTGGTGTTATATAGATATGTAATATATCTCTTTATCTCTTTCTTTATTTTTATTTATGTGAACCTATATATGGCACATTAAAACAAATAATAAAAAAAAAACGAAAAATCATCTTTGCCATATCTACACGAATGTTGAAATTCATCCACTCTTATAGAATATCAACTCTTAAATAATCCTGATGTCTCCCGACAACGAACTACATTCATTCGATAACTTTCGTTGCTATATTCTTCGATGGATATGTGAAATCAATTATAAAAGCTATTTTTGTGGGTTGTTTAGTTTTCAAATGAAGTTAACACGTTGATCGAATTCATTTGCTTATATTTATCAAGGACTCTGCCGAAATTTACTGTTGCTATTCGATTGGGTGTGGGCAGGCGTTGTCGTAACTTGGGATCGTATAAGTGAAAAGAAACGTTTTTGATTAAATGTTTACGTACTCAAGCAGGTTTATTATTTACTTATGCTGCCTGCATATAAAATTTGTTTTTTAGAATACAAAAAAATTATAAATTTCTGCATCGTTCTTCTATAAATAAAAAGAAACAAAGAAGAGTGGTCAAATAATCAGGCTTTTAAAGCAGACTGAAGCTTTGGTAGTGATAGAAATTTTGTCAAAACATTGACTATTGAAAGTTGCTAACGCACATCAATCTACTGTACTGTTTCACATGATTTTTGTATTGACTGTTAGATATATTATATGCTCCACATTTCATACTCAAAATAATGTTGCCATCAAACGTTGAAAAAGTCGGATTTATTCTCGGGATAGATGATTGATATACTGTTCGATTTTCTCACTTTTTACTGATTTTACGCAAATTTATTACCTATCAGTAAGAAGATAAACTGAAAAGCGATGTCAAGGGTACGAAGAAATGATTGAAAATCTGAACGTTTTTCTCCACATTAAACACAAGTTTAATTACTTGGAAACAATGCATGAATACTCACCGTCTGATCTGATCGAAAAAATATGTAAAATGAGTAGTAACAGTGTAAGGAAGTATTTGTAATATTAACAATAATATTTCTAATGAATAGGGATTGTGTATCAAGATATATAGAATTGCGTATATCAAGATAATTAATGTATATCAAATTATCAAAGCTTACAAGTAGTACAACCAAAAGTGTTTGGATAATACCGAATTGCAATACTTTATTGAATAATGAGTTTAAAATGAACACGACAGCTGTACCGCTGATAATAACATATCTGTGTTACACACAATAAGATTCTTTGTATACACACTAATTCTCTGTGTATGTTTCTCAGTTCAATTCAAGTCTAACTATTTTCCGACTACGTTCTACTGCTAGCTACTCCTAATCAACTCTTTCCAAGAGTAACACCGAACTGATACGATGCCCCTATTTCATATATCTCGCGAGCTTATGTACAAGTGAGAGAATACAGAAAATATAAATAGGAAAGACAAACAGAAAGAGAGTGGGAGAGTGAAAGAGGGATGTCAATCAAGTAGTTCGGGTAGTTATAAACATAAAGAAAATTCATTTTCACTTTAAAAAATTAAGTTGCAGTAAATTGTTTTAATTAAAGTACTTTAAAGTTAAAGTGTCACCTCTACTCACTACCTCTGTTCAATAGCGAATAAGAAACGCCTTTTTAGCATACTATACCAAGTAATGACAACCAACTATGCTCATGAAACTTTACAAATGCTACTTTCCTACTTCTAGAAGCGTTACGTATGCCCTTCGCACTTGCTGTTTGTTGAATACTTCTCCTATTACATTTTGCACAATGGCTGCATTTTAATATTCATCTTTCTGCATCTTGTTTTTTTTCGCTTTTTTTTCAACAACCCACTTCCTTTCGAAGAATTGTGCATAGCAACACAAAACATTCAGGTGAACCACACCCCACGATTAAATGAAAAAACGAAAATGCACGCGAGAAAAATATGATCGTTTCCAATGTAGTGTTCCGTTTTACTTTGCTCCTTTGTCTTTAATTTATACATAGGTTTTATTTTTGACGTTCTGAACCGCTTTCAAAAAGATTTTTTTCATCATGACATAAGCCCGTTTAAGGTAGATTCGACAAATAAAAACTTGTAGCTATTTTTGGCGATAAGGAGGATAAAGAATTAATATGATTAAAAGTAGTTATTTTTCAATACACTTAATACTATGTTACACTCTAAAAAAAATAGGTTTAATAACGAACTGCAGCGATTCAGTACATTTGATCTGAAAGATTTTAGATTCGGGAAAGTGAAAATCGTTTCGTAGTAATTATACAAAACTTTTATAAGTGCAGAAGAAAAGGCAGGGCTTCGTAATTTTTCAACCAAACTTTCTATTAGTTCTGCGAACTGGTGTATGGTTTCGCACATGAAATGCTTATCCTTTGTTAGTTTCCGGAAATTAAATGAAGTTTCGTAGTATATCGATCAAATGACTGATGATTCCGATTTCTAGCCGAAAGTTCCGTCCTTCTTATCCTGACCAATGATAGGTTTCGTGCAATACTAGAAGTTTTAGAATTGTTTGTACTGAACTTTTCGTCTTCATATTATTGATCTTATGGCTTCGTACAAACCATACGAAACAATTTGTAGTTCTCTACATTTTCTGGTGGTTTTACAATTTTCCTAAAATAACTTTGCATCTTTCCTTGATGAATTTTTCGGCTCGATACACTTAGTACAGAACCATTTATGGCTTGTGTATGTAAACATAGTTTTTATGCTTCTTTTTTATCAATGAAAGATGCTTTAGTGGCAACTGTAATACATGGCTCAAAATATATTTATTTTAGAAGCGGTTGAAAAACGAACAAAATTAATTTTCAAAAAAAAAGCATAGCGCTTCAGTCAAGATACTGAATAGATTTTTTTCTAGGCCAGGCATCAACAGTAAACATGTCATATCCCTTGTCCATACTCGTGAATAGGTGTGGGTTTGGGTGTCACTGTCTCGTTCGATCTCCTCACGTTCACACCCTACTTAATAAGTTTTAGTATCGTTTCTCTGAAAAACTTTTATTCACGTTTAATGTTTTTTATCTCATAAGTAGGTTTGCTTGTTTGTTTTCCTTTTAAGAAATTTATTTGATAGGTTTCAGGACGTCCAGAAAGCTGAATGTCAAAAGTTGATGATCCTCGACCAGATCGATATAATTGAAATGCTTGCTCAATCTTATTTTCTACCATTTGTTCATAACGTGCCCAAGTGTCATATTCATTGCAATAAAACCAATTTCGATTATTTGGTAATTCTCTTACTAGCCGACGATCGATCGCTCGTTGACAAGATGTTTTCGTACTTGTTTGTGTATTTTTTTGAAAATCAATTTTATATGTTTGAGAAAGATCATTTAAATAACGAGTCAATAATGGAGTTTCGATCTCAGAAGGCCCATCATGTAGTTTCCAATGTTCATAAATTTTTTCTAGTAATTCATTCATAATATCATTATACGGTTCAAATTGTCCATTATCTTGCTGACAATACCAACAGAAAGGTGCAATTCAAAAAGTTTCTTTATCAGCATAGTAAGGTATTTCGACAGGAAAAGGGTAAGGTTGCTTAACAGCATTTTGTCCATAGGTGACAATTAGCACAGGTAAATTAAAAGCATATGTCCAATCTGCTGGATTATCAACAACATAACAAAAGTTTTCTTTTGTTGTAACTTGTGTACAACGAAAAATAAATCCGATAATCATTTGACTAAATCCTGCTTGACTACCTCCTTTCTGACAATAAGCATGTGAAATAAGTGCTGTTACTCCAAAGTATTCACCACGACCATAGACTTGGCCTGAACGACGTTTAGGATCAAAGCCTGTTTGACAGATGGAATCAATTGCATCCAACGGTGATCCATGATAAGCAAAGAATCCTTTAGCTAAATCTGGTGGAGAAGAATAACCTAATATTTCGTTACCTTCATAAAAACGTGATAAGGATTTATATTCTTTCCTAAGATAAGGATTTTCATCGATTCGACCAATTGGTTGTACTGTTGGATCAAATGGCCAATTATCTTTCACAAATTTTCTTGCAGCAGAGAAGAGTCTCGACAAGAACGGATGACGTTTCTTTTCTTCCACAACTTCAGCACAAGTCATTTCAATATGAAGTTCATCATTGATCACTTGACATCTAGGACAAACATTTTGGCCACAAGTTAAACAAGTTTGATAACCATTATTAAGTTTAATTAGCCCATTACATTCAGCATTAGGACAAAAAACCCGATCATCCTGTTGAGGATTTGTTGTTAAATAATGTTGAATGGAACTTTTAAGTAAAGGCAAAAGCAATTGTTCATGATTACTAAAGATAATTTGAATATCACGAATATGAATATTTGATTGACAAGCTTTACATCGTAACGGAAACGTATGCGATGCAGCAAGAGTTTGAGCAGCACATCGACAATAAGTATGTCCACAGATTCGAAAAAAACTAGTAGAAATAGATGATTTCTGTTGACAAAAAACACATCGACGTTCTATTCGTCGTGTTCCAAAACGTATCATATCACTATCATCATCATCATTTTCTTCTTCTTCTTCTTCTTCTTCTTCTTCATCACTTCCTATATCATCTGTGTTAGCAGTTATCTCATTCAAAAGTTGTAGAACTTCATTTTCACAAATGTTCATATCTGTCAATGAGACATTTGGTTTACCAATGATTCTAATCGTCGCTGTTTTTGAATTGAATGATACCGAACAAGATTTCGATGACCATCGTGAAGCAATCTCTTGCAATTTAACTGATGCTGATTTTTGTTGTCGAAAGAATGTTGCTACGGTTGCACTGAGTTCAAGTTCACGAAAACGACAATCGAAATCATCAGAATAATCAGCAATTCGTCGCATTAATTGTCCTTGAGATGTTTGTGGACCACGAATTTCAACATTTGTACGATATTTATTCGGATTGATTACTAAGGACAATTCGATAGCCCATTTTTGTATTTCACCAATTTCTTCCAATTCACGAAATAATTGTTTCTGTCGTTCTGTATTCAATTTAATGTTGATTGGTGCAAACGTTTGCGCAAGCATTGAAGCAGCTAGACTGGTGTTTTGTGGATTTCCACGATTGAATGTACAACGTTTACCAAAGCTTGGAAGATTTTTACATTTTAGTTCAACACGAAATTTCTTGCAAATTTCGTCGATCGTCTGTTGAAAAGTAGGATATAAATCTGTTCGATAAATAGTTGTTGTCGCTGTGCTATCGATGGTCCATTGTGATGTATCGGAAGAATAATAAATAGGAGTGGACCATGCCAAGTTCGTACTTGTTCTTGAAGAGAATATCTGTAGAGCTACTTCACGATTGATCATGGTGACACGAAAGATATTTGTAAGAAAAGCAGATGGGTGATTGTGTCTTATGTTAGGATCATCATTCTTCATTACAGTAGTTCGAACAAATTTTTGTTTTAGACCTCTCTTTCCGATAATAGTTATTGGAAATATATTGTAACACAGTTGCGAATTATAGATGATTGCAGCTTGATCCCGTTGTTCATCATTATGGAATGTTATTTTTGCCCATCCAGTTGCATTATTTTTTGTAAGTCCAACATAGATATATTTTGGTGTAAGACCATTATGAACTTCAAGACATTGCCGAAGATCAGCTTCATTAGTATTGTTTGGTAGATTATTTAATTTGATAAACGATTCTACACGAGATTTTTCATTTAATTGTATACATTTCATTACAATATCAGCACCGTATTTGTTAATAATATCTTCAACAGTGACATTTGCTGGAGTTTGAATTACAAGTTCTCGACCCCAACTTTCTTTTTCGCTATCACGATATCTTCTCAAATCATTGTCCTGTTCAATGATATAATAAGAAGGAATTTTGTCTATCGCTCGTCGAAATGTATTTTCATTTTTGAAAATAAGACAGACATGTTTATTTTGATTATTATAAGTGTTCTTTTGGGTGTCGATTTTTGGAGTATAAAAAACATGATTTTCAATTTCGTCCCATTCGATATCAGTGATACTTTTAACCCATGCCTTTAAATCATTCGTTGTCTGACAAGGAACATTTTGAATATTAACTCTTAATGTATTAGTCATTTGACTGATATATGTACATATGAGACCACTTTGAAAATTTGCTTTAATTGGTCCACATTCTAATAATTGATAAGCATCGAAAAGTTTTTTTAATGTTTTATCGTAAATATCTTTAACTATAGATGTAATGGCTAATCTATCTGCTTCAAGGCCCCAGAGAATAAAACGGCATTGAAATCGATCGTAATGATAAACGAGCCATTTTGCCCATGATTCCGAACGATAAGTGTTCAGTTCTTGACGCATATGATACGCAAGTTCAGAGCCAATATTCTCCATCGTTATCAAATTTCGCATTGCGGATTGTACTATGACATCTGATCTGAGTATGGGATGAAGTCTTTCGATAATATACCTTCCTGATGGTAATTGAGTGATGGTCATTGCAACAAAATGTTGATAAAGTTCACGATCTGTATTAATATGCAGTTTTTGCATGAATGTACTTGTGTTAGTTATATTGGCACGAATATCGGTAGATACTAAACGAACACCTTCAATTGGTAATTGTGGAACAAGTAAATAACCACATTGTTCAGGAAAGAATCGAGCGAGTTGGGTACCAATAATACTAATAAGATTTTGTGGCATTTTATCACCAGACTGTAACCAATGAGCATTTTTTATCTGTTTTATAATCGATGTACATGAAGCATCAATATGTTGAAGAATTTTGTTATTTAAACTATTTTCATTACTATGCTTTACGCGACATATACAATATCTAATTAGTTTGTTACATTGTGAGCATTTACCTTGAATTTCTGTTCCACCAGCATTTTTCCATGTATTGTAAACTGAATGAAGATGAAAAAGATCACTTTCATGACTATGTGCTTGAAGAGCAATACGTGTTTTTGCGTCTTGTTTCTCTGCGCCCATAAAGAAAAGTGTACCTGGTGCTGAAAGTATTGCAACTATAGCAACTGCGAGTTCTAGAAGACTTTTATACTCTGTGTAAATCTCTATGATAAAAGCACTAAGACGTGGATCAAGTCCAAGTTCGGTAAATAGTTCGCCTCTTTTTGTAATTTTTTGTTCATCCATACATTTGAGGTTAATAAGAAGATCGAGAGAATTATTGATAATATCAGTATATGGTTGATCCATAAATTGAAATGTTTTCGGATTAAGATTAAGTCGAACGAGTTGTAATAGAACAAGATCAAGTGATGATCGTAGAATTTCTGGTTCAATATTTTGTCGTTTTAATTCTATATCTTCATATAAACGTACACAATGACCAGACGCCGTGCGTCCAGCTCGACCTTTCCGTTGATCAGCTGATGAACGTGAGATACGCACAGTTTCGATAACTGTAAGACGCCGTTGAACATCATAGCGAGCTTCTTTTGCCCAACCGGTATCAATAGCTAATTGAACATTTGGAATAGTTAATGATGTTTCGGCGACATTTGTGCAGAAGACAACCAATCGTTTGTCTATTTCGTTAAATCTAATCACTTTTTCTTGATCTTCAGGTGATTGTGATCCATAGAGTGGAAGTGCAATACAATCACGAGGAAGTTTTGAGTTAAATATTTTCAATGCGCGTTCAATTTCACCTTGACCAGGAAAAAAAACCATTATATGTCCATTATGTTGAGGATATAGATCGATGACCACAGGAACTATATGGTTTTCAATAAGCTTCTGATCCAAACAGTCACCTGGTGGTGCCTTGTTATTAATAGTAACAGGGAAGAGTTGTCCTTCTACTTTGAGAGTTGCGCTTGTTGATCGATTGAAAAACTGAAGAAAACAAACTGGATCAATGGTAGCCGAAGCAATAACAACATAAAAATCAGTGGGACGTTTTGCGAGCAGAATTTTAGCAATACCAATAACAATATCTGTATTTAATGAGCGTTCGTGCGTTTCATCGACAATGAGAACACGTATGTGCTTCAAATCAAAATCACGCTGACTTTGACGAATAAGTGTAGTGTCGGTCATGAACATAATATCAGTACCTTTTACTCGATTTTCATTTCCGACCTGATATCCAACAGATTCACCAACTGATTTCCCATCATATTCTTCGGCAACACGACGAGACAAAGAAATAGCAGCAACAACACGTGGTTGAGTACAAACGACAAGTGAACCAAAATGTTCAGCAGCATATTGAGGTAACTGGGTACTCTTACCACTACCGGTTTCAGCAGTGACAATTAAAACACGCTCAGATTGAAGACGCTGACAAAATTCCTCTCGGCTAGATAGAATTGGTAATCGAGCCTTCTTACGATCTTCCATTCTTTGCTCAAGAGTTTTCAAATCTTTTTTTTTGGTCTGTTGATTCTTGTTTTTGGTGTTGACGTTAGTAGTAGCTGCTCCTGTTTTTTGCTGTAGATTAATATTGCGATCGAGTGAATGAATTTTCAAACATTGCTCGTCTTTACATTCACTTCCTAATTCGCATGGATTCCATTCTAGTTGATGGAGACGCGTACAGTTAATGTTTGAACATATATGGGATTGATCACATACCGATGGTCGTTCGGGTGGATGGTTAAGTTTACACAAAAAATCCCGACAATCAGCTCCAAATGGGCAGAGTAATCTGATGCGCTCTAATGGATGTAAACATAAACAAACGAGATTTGTACAGTTTTTTTCGTGAGGACATGGTCGAGCTCGAGTATGTGGATGCAGTTTTGGACAGTTCCATAATTTGCATTTAGCACGGAGAGAACATTCCTTAGGACGCGTTTCAGGATGTAATAATTTACAATTAATAGCTTTGCAACGACTACGATCGCGACATTTTGCTTTTCGTTCAGAAGGATGACCAGCTGTACATTCATAATCTTCACATTTTTCTCCATTCACACAAGGGTTCCATCCGTCTGGATGATCGAACCTACAATCCACATTAGAACATTTGAAACCATTACTACATAGTTGTGATCTTGCATTCATCGACTGGGTTGAGTTGATCGAGTAGGACGAACTTGTTGACGAGCAAGAATCACTTCGAGTACGACTGAAGCTATGCGAATGCGAATTTTTACACGATTCGTAATCTTGATTCTTCATTAAATTTCTTGTTGAAGGTAGATCTGAACGAAAACATTCTCAATTCTTTTAATTTCGAGAGCACCTCAATCTTTGAACTATGCACAATAATCTAGGAAACTGAGTTATATTCGTTGTTTTTTTTCTATAAAGTAGGCGAGTTTCCAATCCAAAAACAACTTACTCGATGTCATTGTTTGTTGAAATAATAGATCTCGCTTATGTTGGTATTGCAATGTATTTCGATTTCTGTCAGGATGATGTCGTGGTGGCAGTAGTTTTTGTGAACCCGTTGCCACATCATTTGTTCTAGCATGTAAATTTTCACTTGTATATGTAGACTTTAAGAGTGACCGCGTGCTTGGACGATCAAAATTTTCTCGTTGAGTTTTAGGTTCAATTGAAGGTCGAAATTCACGTTGTTGATTTGGTTCTCGATTAGCCTGATCATTTCTTGACAACGACGCAATGCATTCAATTATCTGTCCCTGAATTAAAGCTCCTGACCATTGACGCACAAATTCATTTGCATCGTCTTCATTGGAGAAATCATTAACCCATGCGTAAGAAATACTATTGTTAAAAAACTTCGGAATGAAGATACGTGATTGTGGTAGATGTAGTTCATGTGCTAGTCTAATGTAATTGATGGATGGAGGAAGTGGAACAATTCGAACACTCCATTTCCTAGATGAATTATTTGATGCCATCTTGTTGTCACCTTAAAGATTACATAATAAATTTCATCTAAAAAAAACATGTAAACACCAAACAAAGCTGTAACAATAAAGAAGAGAAAATGCTATGAGGCCATCTTTTTCGTTCTTCCAAACGATGTTATCATTGACAAGAAAGTACTCAGACGATAGTGTAGCACAGACAAAGTGTAAATAATTTTGTTGCTCTTTGCTAAATGACACTATTTCCGAAAAATAAACTGTATAGGAATTCTGATTATTCGACCATATGAAAAGAGCAGTATATTATTCAATCTTGTGTACAAAAACAAGTATCTCCATAACTGAATTAAACTACAGCACTTCATTTTCTCATCCTTTTTTTCAGGTCTTTTCCAAAATTCAAGAAAAACATGAATCCAATTGTACGATATATCAGGTAAAAATTGGAATATGCCATATAACCAATCTATACTAACCTATCAAAAATTAAGGTGCAAGAAGATGTCGTTATAAACATTAAGAAATATTGACTTATCCCACGTCCTATGAACCGTTTAAAAACCATCGGTTAACCGCGCTTCGCTTTTACAAACATCAATCAACCACGGTTGTCCCCATTGAAATTATATAAATCCAGCGTCAAAACCGACGGTTTTCGACCGATTCGGATGATATTCTCTTTCTCGCAGAGAAGAGTCTTTCAGAATAAATTGTTTGCTTGCTTGTATGTCCGCGCTTCAATGATTGGCCAAAAATAAACTGAACATAAAAGGGATTATTTTTCATAACACTTGACCGAAGATAATTGAGGGTGAGGAATTGCAATCTGAGGTTAGTTTTAATTAATGATTGCTTATTAATTATTCATGTTTTATATAAAACTGCACTAATGTTAATTAGGGTTGAGGCATTCAAATATGAGGACAGTTTTTATTAATTAATAATCAATTGCTTATTAATTATTAATTATTAATATTTTTCAGAATATTGGCCGCAGGTAATCGAGGGTGCAGCATACGGAGCAGCGGTCTGTTTTAATTATTAACTTATTATTGCTTATTTATTTGTTATTTATGTTTTCGACAAAATTTGACCGAAGTTGATCGAAAGTGAAGAACCCAAATCTGAAGTCTGCTTTAATTATTAATCATACACATTTTTTACGATACTCAAAAGGAAAAAGTAAGGGTCAGATCTTGAATCCAAATTTTCTTTTGATTTTTTCACCAAGGACTGCTTTAATTCGTCTTTTGTGAAACACGATCTGAAAGGAGGGGGCGCAGAACAAGCCAAATCGGCCTATATTTTTAATTGCTTGGAATTTGGTATATTCCAATATAAAACTGTACACTGAGTTCTTTTATGCAATTTCACATCAATTCGACTATGTTTAGTACGGAGAATACTGGGAATACTACTCTCTTTAGCATTGATATTCACATTGTGCAACACCATGGTGATAAATTTTTATAGCAATGCCACTTTTAGATGAGATTAGTCTCATTAGATAAAACATTTAATTCTGCATCGACTCCTATAAGAAAGAGTTTATTGAATAAATGTTTCACTATATTCTATTGGTCCGATTGCTGACGATTGGAGTTTTTTATCTGAAACTTTCCACTTTTAGGCTCATAAAAATTTATCAAGAAGCGTTGAAGTAGATCTTAGTTTGCTGATTGATAGGAAATTTTATCAGCTACAAATTGTACACTTTCCATTTTCAACAGAGCTTGGCCAACTGAGAAATCGCATGGATAATATTCAAAAGGTAGGATTTTCTGCATTGTTGGTTACTTTTTGGTAGCTGCTTTCAGAGAAAGTTACTATTATAACAAAAAAATAATAATATATCTGGAATCAGCATCCAAGGCTAAGTTAGTTTACAAGTATTTCTACTTGTTCTTTAAACTTTTAATTTTTTTCGAAAAATTCACCTGCGGTACCACCAGGCTTCGGCCAAAATGAATTTCATCTAAAACTAGTTTAGATGATTGCCATTAGCGGCGAAGTTCATGAAATCCTATTTAAACGCGAAATGATAAGTATGCGAATTATGAAAGAAAGACTTAAGGAAATTCCTTTTTGTCTGAAGCCTGAGGGATACCACAGATGAATTTTTCGAAAAAAATTAAAAGTTTGAAGAAGAAGTAGAAGCGCTTGTAAATTAACTTAGTCTTGGATGATGATTCCAGATATATTATTATTTTTTTGTTATAATAATAACTTTCTCTGAAAGTAGCTGCCAAAAGTAACCAACAATGCAGAGAATCCTACCTTTTGAATATTATCCATGCGATTACTCAGTTGGCCAAGCTCTGTTGAAAATGGAAAGTGTACAATTTTGTAGCTGGTAAAATTTCCTATCAATCAGCAAACTGAGATCTACTTCAACGCTTCTTGATAAATTTTTATGAGCCTAAAAGTGAAGTGCTTCAGTTAAAAAACCTCCAATCGTCAGCAATCGGACCAATAGAATATAGTGAAACGTTTATTGAATAAACTTGTTCTTATAGGAATCGATGCAGAATTAAATGTTTTATCTAATGAGACTAATCTCATCTAAAAGTGGCATTGCTATAAAAATTTATCACCATGGTGTTGCACAATGTGAATATCAATGCTAAAGAGAGTAGTATTCCCAGTATTCTCCGTACTAAACATAGTCGAATTGATGTGAAATTGCATAAAAGAACTCAGTGTACAGTTCTACATTGGAATATACCAAATTGCAAGCAATTAAAAATATAGGCCGATTTGGCTTGTTATGCATCCAATCTTCTGGGCCCATCCCCCTTCACAGGCCGGGACAGAGAAACTAATTAAGTAGCTAATTTATTTATTTCTCTGTCACGGCCTGTGATAGTCTCAATCGACTCCATAGATCAAAATGCAGACCGTGGCGAAAAGGCTGCATATATTATTACAGACAGTGACAGAAAAGATCTTGGTGGAAGATGTCGAAAGAAAAAGATGGAAGAGGAAAATAACGAAGAGGAATATAGCGAAAAGGAAAATGTCTAAAACATGATTGGCAAAAAGGAAAAGAGAAGTTTATAGAAAAAATAAAAATATTGCTTAGTATAGAAGATGGCAATAGAAAAATTCAAGTAATTTCGTTTGCATTGGTAATTCGTTGACCAATGCATTTTATTTTCCAATGAATCAAGAAAAGTTCTTAATAGTAAGCAAAATATATCCTAAACATGGATTCACCTATAGTCTTTGTAGATACTTTATTAAAGAGTGAGAAAGTTGAGTTTTCATTTGTTACCTCGAATAAAGGCAATCCATTTATTCAATGTGAACATGTTCGTTTTGAACATATATCGATACAATTTGATGCTGGAGCATCTATGCCAAAGCAAGAAAAACAAATGCTTTCCAAATGAAATTCAATAATCTTCAAGAATAATTTCTGAAGAAAGAAATGAAGTGTAATCAATTACTAACGGGTTTATCATTGTTAATTAAAACAACAAAATTAGTATCAACCTTATTATATATCACCATTATTTTATTTTTTATCAATAAAACATAGCACATAATATACTTCTAAAGAATATGATAATCATTTCTATTTCTCTCTTTCTATTTTTTTGTCGACATTTTCCACTAACCCCGACAGAAAAGCTACAAAGACTCACAGACCACGGTAGACAGATTCCAGTAAAGGAGTTCCATCGTGTTTCACATTTTAATCCCACAGGGGTTACTCTAACAGCTTTTTTTCTAGAAAAGTTCATCGGAGATTTTTTAAATAAAAAATGAGAACTGATGATCAGTTTGTGTTAGTAAGCTGACAAAGGTACGGAGTAGTTAAGTATACTAATGTTATCATAGTTTAGAAAAACCTTCACTTGAAGAAATTTAAAAACAAACATTTCAATCTGGAGCTAGCTGCTGTTCCTTAGATTAAAAAGTGAAAACTTTGGGGAGCGTCCAGAAACGGCACTTCTACGAGAAAGAGCTGAGTGAGTTCACTGACGAGCGTTACTTGTGGAATTCTCTGACATAATAAAATACGTGGTTTTTTGGGTGTGTGTCGGTATGAGTGGGGTGTTCACCTCGCAAAAACACCCACACCCACCCTCAGGGTCAGATCATCCTAGTCATGTTTTTCGAAACACTGTTAATACTGCTTTTGCAAGAGCAATTCGTTATTCAACAAGCTTCTCTCAATTTGAAGAAGAAATACGACAAATGAGACTCGTGTTTCTCTATAATGGGTAAGTTTCCGGTATTCATTCAAATTTCTCATTATCCAGTGAATACTTATCCAAGCATCTCATTTTGTCTATGCTCCATAACTCTGGTGACTTTGGTCATTTATGTCACCAGTTACTGACAACATCAACAGACACAACATACGATGAAATAACCAAAAGCTCACCTACCAATCAAACTCACGACAAAAACATGCAAAAACAGCTTATGTAATCCGCAGAGAACAAACAATTACAAGGAAGAAAACGTCTCATCATTCATAAAAGGCATGAAAAACGACTTAACAATAATCACCGGCATATTTATGAATTGTGGAACCGTACTTTCCATCGTACAGATATCATCAATAATCTTCTAATGGTCGAAACTTATTTGAATCCCAATTTAAAACAAGAATTGATGGTAAAGATGATCAAGCATATTCCACCTGCGAGAAGCAGTAAAGAGACCAAAACGCAATATAAAACGAATAAACAAACAGATTATATTAAACCAAACCAAACAAGCCATTAACTTAGTCCATTTTGAATTTCATGCACTTATTTATAAATAAAAACTAAACATCTCTCTGTTGAAAAGTAACAATACAACCTATACCAGTAGCTTTTATAAAAAAAAACGGAAACCAAGGCACAAGATGCCACAATCACATTTTCTATTTCAAAAACAACCTATTTGAGAACTGCACATAAATACATATTAATCAGCATTTTCACGGCAATTTCATAAAGAAACTAATTTCTACATCAATAACAAGATAAAGGCTATGCGACAATCAACTTAAAAAAACTAGTGATCTCTTAGATATAACTATCAGAACCACACCATCAGAAAGTTATTTTATCGAGCCATCACAATGCCAGCTTTAGTAACAAACAACCTATACCTTTAGCCATGAACCATGATATCCGGATCTTTCCCAATCACAATAAACACATCCGATTGAGAAAATTGCTTTCTTCCGAATATTGAACCTTTCAACACACCAACTAACCTACCGAATAACAACTTCATTTATCATCGTAAAATCAATTCGAAACAATACAAAATCAAAGCCGTCTGATGAGACCGTTAAGCAAGGTTGAAACGCATAACGGTTAGCTCAAAGCACACCCACCCACAGCCACACACCCTTGCAGTTTGATTAAAAAACTAATGGAATAGAACTCAAAAACCACATCAACCCTGGAGAACAAAGAAAAACAAAGTGCGATAGACACTTCAATTATTAGTATACAAGAATAAAAGTTTGATATAAAATCATCCCGTATACTCTGTACTGTTTGTAGCGCACACAGTTATTGCTACAGACGAAACCAATCGATTCTAATGAGTTCGTCTCTGGCCTAGAAGTTTTCTAGATTGCATTCCAAACATTATCAACCAAAATATGACTGATATCATCGAAATAAATGGTGAAATCTTTGAGCTCCTAGATATAAAACATGATGAAGATGGCATTGTTGATTAAAATGATCCACTTACTTTAATCTCTCGTATAACATCAGTTAGGCGTTCAGTTAAAGTGATTTCTATTTCATATTGAACATTATTGGACTCAGGGACTACCTATAAGAAAAGAATACGATGGCCACGGAAAAAAACAAGCACGAAAGATGTGTTACTTTGTTTTTTTCTACAACGTCAGTTAAATGATTTACGTCAGTACGGTTAAAACTTTTTCTAAATAAACCTAGTGTCGTGAGTGTCTGTAGAAAAAGAAGATGAGTATGAAATATCAGGTACAAAATTCTGAGTCACTTTGTTCGTTTTTAATGCGTCGATGAGAGACTGTTCTCCGTGCTCGCCGAGTTCGTTTTTAAACAAGCCTAATTTAATGAGTGTCTATGGAAAGTAGAAGATTAGAATGAAAAAGAAAGCCGGTCTATGCTCTACTTGGTTGTGCTGCAACGCGACGGCTAAATGGTTTGCTCCATGTTCTGTCATATCAGCATTGAAGAGACCCAATGTAGTGAGTGTCTATAACAAGATGTCGCCAATATGTTAATAAAACAATCGAATGTTTGATACTACTCTGTTCTGTGACAACGCATCAGCAAGATATTTTACACCGTTATCTCCTATTTGATTTTTGAATAGTATTAATGTAGTGAGTGCCTAAGAGAAGACAAGTACGAATGAGATTATTCACAATTATGAGTTACGGTGTTCGTTTGTAATGCATTAGCCAGATGCTGAATTCCATTCTCTTCAATGTCATTTCTTCCGAGACCTAATGCAGTGAGCGTCTACAAAAGCAAAAACATATATGTCGACAACGAATTCCTGCGATGAATCACTGTGTTATATTTTAATGCATCAGCCAGATATTGTACTCCAGCGTCTTTTATTTCGTTTTTGAACAAACCTAATGTAGTGAGTGTCTGTAAAAATAAAATAGACATTGGATGAAGGAAGCAAAATAGTACATCACTTTATTCTCTCGCAATACATCTGCCAAGTGTTTGGTTCCTTCATCGTCAATATTATTGTCAAAGAGACCCAGTGTGGTCAGTGTCTATGAGAAAAATATAAATACGAAGATGCCCGAGTAATTACTCTATTACATTATTCTGTCGTAGTCCATTGGCTAAATGTAATGCTCCGCCATTTCCGATGTTATTCTCAAAAAGGTATAATGCTGTGAGTACCTATGAAAAAAGATCCCAATCTAATAGAAAAGAAATAAACTGCGATTCACTTTATTGTTGCGTAAAATATCGGCTAGATGTTCTGCACCATCAACTCGGATATCATTACCATAGAGACCTAGGGTAGTCAGTGTCTAAATATGAGCCAACATCATTAGAAGAAAAAGAACTTGGGTTTTTTTTGACACACATTATTCTCTTTCAGTGCATCGGCTAAGTGTTTTATCCCATGATCCTCAATTCGATTTGTGAAGATGCCTAATTTTGTGAGTGTCTACGAAACAAAAATCAAAAGCAAGGAAGAGTGGTAGAGAAATACTATTACTTGATTCTTTTTCAATGCATCGGCCAGGTGTTTTGCTCCATCTGCTGTGATGTCATTTCTAAAAAAATATACTGCAGTAAGTGTCTATGAAATGAGAGTGATACATATAAACAAAGAAAAAAATACTGGTCAATCGCTTACGTTGTTCTCGTGCAAGGCATCAGCTATGTATTGCACTCCGTCATTTTCGATTTGATTATTGAAGAGACCTAATGTGGTTAACGTCTAGAAAAAAAAGCAGGAGAGACTTATTAATGAGAAAATATATCTAGGCTTACATTGTTATGTTGTAATAAGTTGGCTAGATACTTAGCTCCATTCACTTCAATTTCATTCTTGCCAAGCATTAATGTAGTTAGTGTCTTTGAACAAAGAGAAAAACATAGCGAATAAGAAGAAACAATGTGTTCAGTCACTGTGTTTCGTTGCAATGCATTTGCCAGGACTAATGCTCCGGTATTACCAATATCGTTGTTGAAAAGGCACAATGTAGTCAGGGTCTATTTATTAGAAATAAAATCATGTGAAAAGGTGAAAATTGCTCAATCATTACTTTGTTGTGTCTTAATGCCTCTGCAATATGTTCGGCTCCCTCGATTTCGATTTCGTTATCACATAGGATGAGTTTTCGAAGCGTCTTTGAAGTAAATACGAGTGTATGACAGTTAAAACAATGAAATATAGTACTTTGCTATATTTTAATGCATCAGCCAGATGATATGCTCCGTCGTTACCTATTTCATTGTCAACAAGGCTTAATGTAGTAAGAGTCTATGAAAAGCAGAAGATTGATATGAAGCGCACTGAGCGAATGAATAGACTACTTTGTTTTCTCGTAATGCATTAGTTAAATGTTTGATGCCACTAGATTCGATTTCATTAGCACCAAGGTCTATTGTGACGAGTGTCTTTGAATGGAAGAATGTGACTATCAACGGTACAAAGATATAAATTGATTTACGGTATTGCATTTTAACGCATCTGCCAGATTTTGCAATGAATCATCTTTAATTTCGCTTTCAACGATTTTCAATTTGGTGAAAGCCTATGCAAAACAATAAATATACATGAAAGAGATTTAGAAGGCGATAAAGAAAAATCTGTAAATTAGCTATGTAGGATTTTTGAGCAAAGTGAAAACGCACACATAAGTAATTGAGTTGCTTTCTGAAGCCTACTCTTATATCTAACGCATCTATAAAAGTTACCGAAAATGGCATGTACTCTGTCAAGAGATTGTTCACGTCACAAGTTCTCGCTAAAAATAATTTATCGTTATTTTAACAATACACTTTTTAATGTCATAATACAGATGGTATTTCTAAAACATGATTTTTCGTCTTGATCAAATGAAATATTATAAGTATGTCAATCCTATAAATTAGTACAGATAAAATAAATCTATTGAACCTGATTTAACATTACTTCATCTGACTTAGATTTTCATGTGTACCATAGACACGAAGTAACGATACAATGTACCCACATCGTTTCGCACGTATGAAAGCATGTGGACAGAGGAGTGTATAAATTTTGAAAATCTCAATTCTGAATTCTAATTTTGCAACAATTTTTTCATAAGAAGATGCCTTAACTGATAATACAGATACATGGTAGAATCTATGAAAATTTCAAAGTTAACTCTACAAAGAAAAATAAAGAATCAAAATTATCTCACTTTATTATTTCGTATCGTATCAATGATAATCTTCATGTTTTCTTCACTAATAGGTTCATAGCCGAAAAACAGGTTGGAATTTGCTTGAATACTATTAGTACGTTTTTGAGCTAGAGGAGACTGGCCAGTCTCAGATTCGACAAAACGTCCACATTCAAGAATGCTTTCTTGAAGTCCTGGAAGTTGCTTCAGTCCTACAAGACGACCGCCGGTTGTAGTAGGTATTTCCAATCGGTGTAAATTTTCCAGCAATTTGTTTAAATTATCAAGTAATTCTGGTCTGAGTTCTAATAGCTTTATGTCATTCTTTGTCGACTTGAGTGTTTCAAAGAGTACTCGTTGTGTGTTCAGATTTCTTTGTTCACTTTGTAGTCGTTGCTCATATTCTCCAATGAGCTTTTTTTCCTTGGTTTTATTTTCTTCTATCTGTTGCATCACTCTCTTTTCGTGTTTGTCTATGATTTGACGCAACGATTCTGTGGCATGAATGATTGCTGTTAGATTTGATTCACTGACTTTATCAATTTCAATCATCTGCGTTTCAACTCGTTTAAGTCCTTCACTCAAAGTTGTTTGAACGGAGTTTATGTCAGCTTCAATCTAATTAATTTAGAACAAGGATTCATCATAGTCATTTTTCGAATTGTACCTAGTTATTTGTCGTTCATGGCATCTCGATTCAGAATTACACCGGTGACCATTTGATAATGCAAAACGCTACTTCTGAAATATAAGATACATTTTTGCTTGAAATGTTCACATTCGTTGCTGTATCATTTGAAATTCTTCATATCAGTATTTCTCAAATCAAAAGCTCTGGCAATCAACTGCACACTCTATTCTTGCACGAAATTTCATATCGACAAATGTTTCTTCGGGTAAATAACGATGTAAATACGGCTGTAAACGTAAATGAAAATTGCATGCTTCTATTCTCGGTTAACATCACTGCTTTTTTAAATAGCTCTACAAAAGAAATAAACACTATGAGGCTTTTATCGATTCTGGCAGCCGGAATGAAAAAGTCAACAATACTATGAAACTGTATATGATAATTCTTTCTCGGTACACACCTCTTACGATCTTATATAGGTACCTAGCAATTTATTTACTGAGTTCAGATCAATTAAAACCTCACTTTGTGTATTTCTTTTCGAAAAATGTTTAGGAATCAATTAGCTGAACCAATAATGGGAGTATAGAATTATCATGGATATTTAGAACAATACTTGAATCGAGATTCATCAATTCTAGAAGTACTAGCAATGAAATTTTCACCAAGAATAATATATCGCATACATATTGATTAAGATCAGTGTTTTGATTCGAAATATCTTACATCAAAACAATATAAGTGGCTCATGTTTCAATGCATGAATTTTCAATTTGTGCTACGAAAATAAATGTTAACATTTCGAGCAAAAATGCAACTACATACTTCAAAAGTAGCTGTGTTTTGTTACCCAATGGTTCATCCTGATAATTTTCGATCATACAAGTCATGAATCGAAGACGATCCCAAGATGACTCTTATGACTATTTTTCTTTAATGCCTCGTGTTGTTTTTGCGTAAAAAAGAACAGTAGAATATCATAATTTGATTTACTTTGACTTTCAACTCATTAGCCATATCATCTAGCAAAGCATACTCATGCTGTTTGTGGTCGAATAGCAGACAGTCACGGCAGATAAGTACTCTACACGTTTCATTTTTACACCAATACTTAAGCTTTTCATCCGGATGTCTTTTGCATGGAAGCACTGTTGTCTCTTGTTTCGGAGAGGAACTTAGTTGATGGTTTTTGAACGCAGGTAGATCATGAATAATTTTGCTACATTGTGAGCAATAGCTGTTTTTACAAGTACTACACCAGTTCGTAGCATTTGCTGATAAACAATTACTGCATTGGATTGGAACTAAAATAGACAAGAGTATTGCTATAGCAACAAAAATAAGTAATGAGAAGAAACTCTTAAAGAAGTTAGATGCCATAAATGTTGCTTTCATGATTAAAATGGCTTTACATTAGTAACTCGTCAAGAACTAAACTAAAAAAAGCGCTGCCACAAAATATTTATAATTGATAGTAGTAAATATGCTACTCGGGAAATCTTTGAGTACGTACGCTTTGAATCTTTGTTTTTGATTATGAAACACGTAGGAAGTTTGTAAGACTTTTATCATCTGTGCTGTAATTTCTCATGCATAATTGTGTATACTATATAGATACAGTAGATCCTTTCTATTTTTTTATCAAGGTAGCACAGAGATGAAACAAAATTTTCTGCTACCTTTGTAAACAATCGCATGTTGACAGATTAAAGAAAAAAGCTGTCAGATACGAGATCTTTATTGAAAGAAATCAACGTTTGGTTGAAAAAATGTCTCTGTTACAACCATCAATGATTTTGTTCTTTGACTTATAGTATTAATTGGCGATGGATTCATCATCAATCAATAATTTCGCTGTTTTTTGGCAGTTTATAGGTTGAAGAATTCATGTATACTGAAACATGTTATGACTGTATAACAATGGAGTCAAATATAAAAATCAAAATCCTATTAGAAAGTAAACTCAAAAACCTATTGATTTATCGACGTCGAATTGACAAATAAAGAAACTCACTCTATTTTAATACTAAACAGAACTTGTTCCAGTTTTCTAAGTTGCTTTGATTTCTGAGCCTAGTTTGAAGATAGCTTCATCTTACGGCCTTGGTAGTAATGTTTTGATTTTCTACAGTATGTTCAAGTCGAAGAAAAATGATTTTTCATGAGCATGGTCGTCATTCATGAGATTGAGTCACGGACTGAAGGAAATCGTCAATCTGATAACTACTGCCAAAGTGCTATACGTACCGTGTAATTCTATTATGTCACGTGCTACTCTATTGAGTGGCAATGAATCTATATGATTTCTGTCGATTTTAGTTCCATCCTGCATTGGACATTCAAATTCACCGTTTTTGACAGAAGCCACTTGCTTAATACATTTAAAACAGTAAGTGTGCGAACAAGGCAGTATGCGTGGATCGTCGAAATATTGTAGACAGACCACACAAGTAATAGGATCTTCAAGTAAAGTTGTGTTGCTTGATGCCATATATACGTAGTTCGATTGAAGAAGTAGAAACGAAATATGTTTGAATCTGAAACGATAACTATATAAATTCACTAAATATGATTCTTGGGGCTAAGAATGTTCAAGAGACTTTTTCGTATGCAGTTGTTGTGAAGTCAGAGTGCTCATGAATGGTTAATTCTATAAGGAAAAAATATTACTCTGCAACTTCCGAAGGTTTGAACAAGTATATCGAAGCACTAGTTTTGGCTTGTTGAACAACCTCATTGATATTAAAAATAAAATATTGAAGTATCAAATGTGTGATATCTGAGCCAAAAAAGGTATGCCAACATGTCCCCCAATCTACAATAGTTGGAACAGTTTTTCGACACGTTGATTTTCAGGTTCGATAGGATTGTGGTAGACTTAGTCAGGTAATTTAAATATGGATCAATACATTCAAACACAATAGGAAGATTTCAACTGTCTCAATTATTACTTTAAAAGACTTGTTGAAGTAGTATATTCTCTATATTATGTTGTGGTTTCAAGGATGGGTGCCTTTCTATTCACATTGATATCTAACGTTGACTTGGCAACCAGCTTAGACGTTAAACGATGAAGATAGTCATATGAATCGATATGTTATCAAAGTAATGAATTTTAATAAAAAGCTACACATGAAATGATCTATATATTCTCTAAACAAATTTTCTGTTTTTGAATTCATCTAACAGCATTGGAATCGCTAAAACACATTGTCAGCATCAATGAAATAACTCACGCTTAGTCGAAATAATATAAGTATATTTATTTTTGCACTTTGAAGAGAATCCATCTCTAAACATTTTCTTATTTGAACACTTATTGAAAATATTGTGAAGAAACCAGGATCGATGACTTAATAAGTTTTTGCGGTATAGATGTCGCAAAATCAGGAGAGAAAATATTGTCAGTTCGACTAGAAAAATAAAGTAAAAACTGTCGACGATTTCATTCTATCCACTAACTTGTCTATGTATGAAGTTACAATTGTGTGCTCTACCTTTGCATGCCGTCATGAAACTGATATGAAATATTACATTTTTCAGCTGCCTCGCTGTGTTTAAATGTCATCAATACTACTCATGCTTTTGTCCGTTCTTTGCATGACAGAGCAAAGCGGTGCAGCTCGAGGAAAGCGACATCAGTTTTGTGCAGCAGAATTTGTCGAGAGAGAAAAAGAATCGCTACCCTATAACAATAATGTTTACTTTTCAATTGGCAACAAGTGGATGTCAGAGAGGGAGAGAGAGAGAGAGAGAGAGAGTTCTGTAATAATGAATTCAGAACCTTACTCACCACTACATTAGTTCCCTCTACTGAAAGAGAGGGTATAGCGTTGAGTAGCTACTACGCCCAAATGTTCGTGTGTTCGCATGATGGAACGAAAGAAAAAACTCTACGTATCTCAATGAAGCATTATAAAATTTTACCAAAGGATTTTAGGATTGCAAAACTCGAAGTTGTGATTACTTTTTTGAAATTTACAAGATGAGGGTGTGGGTATCTTGTGCTTTCAAGTACAATCATACCCACACCCACACCTGATGTCGACGAACGTTACTTGTATCAATTTAGAATTCAGAAGTTAACTGAATTCATCGAAGACCCCCTAGATCCTCGTCCAAAAAAAACATACACATAGTGATATATACATATATATGAATTCATAAGTTAGATTCAAGCATTGGAGTTAATAATGACGAAGGTCCCCTAGTGCCCCTTTCTTTTTGAAAGGGTGACTCATCGTTTTGTTCACAATTCAGATTGAAATCATATACCCCATTGTATGGTAGTTCTGGTGCAGTCTATCTGATGGAGAAAAAATGGTAAATGTATTTTCTTGTATAGCTTATCTCGAAACCTTTACAGTTGACTCAGACTTTTTATACTTAGACATTACCCTACGAGAAGTTCGAAAAATAAAAGTGTATAAAGAATTTTTGTCGTTCAACGGGGTTCGTAGCTGCTGATCATACGCACGCTCCTACTTATTCTGTTGTTATGGATTGGTGATATTTCTAAATCACATCCTCTCTCCATGAGTCGAAGAAAGAAGAGAGAGAAAAGCAAGAAAGAAAAGAAATAGTCTACATACGATAGAGGAGAATAGAAACGAGGAAAGCAAAAAAAATTGAGTTCTGCTTATAATGAATTTTGTCACTGCCAACATCAGACACTCGCAAACATTTGCTTGTACACATTTCATAAAACAAATCACCTGCCATCTAACTCTGCCACAGCATGTGTTTTATATCGTTGAAGTTCTACAGCAAAATGAAATTTTCATAACAATAGCATTATATTTATGCAAACATTCATTGCTTTACAACTATTTTTCAAACATTAGTGAATATTGCGATAGAATATTTTTCATACGACACAAATGCATATATTTGTTCTCTCGATTCGTCCGTTTAAATTATTGGCAGTTAAATTTCCTTTTCTTATGCTTTTTTCTGTTCTTCAATTTGTTTTTCAGCAGTCATATGATGCTTTTCGATCATTTTTAGGACATAAAAATCGGGTATGCTTAACACCTATTTACTCTATAAAACAACATAAATTAGTCGAAAACTTTAAAAAAAATAGAGAACTACATTAGATTATGATGCAAAGCTCATGAGTTTATATAATCAATTGATAAAACTATAGTTATTCTCTAATTTGCGGATGTAAGAATGGGTGTACATTATAAAGACTAGAAACTCCCTCACTGCCAGAGCCTCATCATCAGAATTTATGAATAATATTTGTTCATTAGAGAGAAACTGAAAGTATTTTAGTAATTATCACTATGTTTATATTTTTTTAACCATGAAACAAAATTCTTTCTACTATTAAGCTTTATAGAGTTCGAACAACTTACGACAGCGAATTAGCAAAAAGTTGTAAATAAACATAAAAATTTCACAAGAGTAGATACTATAATATTTTTAATTCATTTTCGAAGAAAATAATCTGAATCATGACGATAAATGTGCCTTTGTCAATGCATATAGAAATGAGGCTATGTAAAATTTTCTGTATTATGAAGGCGGAAAGAACCTATAGCACATAACTACGAGAAATGGTGACCAGGAGATCATTTTTGAGTTCGAGTAACTCAATTAACTTTCTATTAGTTGAACATAGGTCAAACAGATGGAGAAGAATTTTATGAGTGTTTCAAATTTTATGAAACTTTGCTAGAAGATATCGATAGTGACTGTATGAGTTCTTCTATGATGAAAAAACGTTTCTTTATTGAGAACAAGGAATTCTTGATCATATAAGCATTGAACGGCTCCAATCCCTTCCAGTATAGTGTAATATGAAGGATTCCTAATTCATAAGTGCAATGTGCGTAGGGTATGGGTGATACAAACAGAAGAGAATTTAGGTCGAACGATGACTGTTGGAAAGAAACTAAGGCTCGTGGAATTACAGCTATAACAAAGCAAAAAAGGAACTGATTTTTCTGATAGCAACCATTACTAAGCCTAACAGTAGAATATCGATCAGAGGGAATATATAACGACCATAAATAAAAACACTATAATATCTTACGGTAAACAAGACTAATGGCCAATATGAGTTTATTTATAGGCGCGAGAAATCGAATTAACTGCAGACACCTAATGAAAAAATAAATTCTGCATTAAAATTTTCTTATCTTCTATCCGTCAAATTCACATTTATATTTATGCTCTTAAATCTCCAATAGGCGATACCGTCATTGGTTCATGAATGATAACCAGGTTGATTATATGTTGCAAAAAGTCTTTTTCACGATGCGCGTCCGGTGATTGTGTCCGGCGGGTGGGTGTGAGGGTATAGTGAATTTTCTATTTGATTTAGAAACATGAGCAGTAAAAATCCCTGAATTAATACTCTTGCACGAATGAAATCTTTTTGACTTTTCTTTCTAGATGGAGGTTTCTGTCAATCCTAATGATAATAATATTTTCTTCGAATTTAACACTTACGAAGAGTTTACTAAGGAGCGACTCAAATTAAACTATGAGCAAACGCTCAAGCTGTGGTACTCTCGACCAGCAGATTTATCCAATATCGACAATCAATTTATTCGACGACGTACACCTCGGCAACAGCGAGCAGTCTTACGAAAAGTGAAACTCTTCTATTTCTACAGTAAATTATTTAAAAGAACCTGCATAAAAAAAAAGATATATTCTAAAGGTGAGCGATTGAGAACATACTTTGATAAGATATCGAAACTAGACAAAACATATGATTAATATGCTATTCAAATCGGTTTTTCTTCGCAGGTGCTCGTTTATGCAATGATATATTAAATATGCCCCTAGTGGAAGATGAATCTTTCTACGAAATCTATCAATCACTCGTTCGCAGCACCGTTGGTTTTCTGAATAAAGGAAAACGATACGATCCGATGATCAATTTAGAGGAATTGTTTAAAGCAGGTCGCCTCCTATGGACCATGATTGCTATTCAAGTGGAATTTGACTTACCAGTAGCGATAACTGATTCACTCTTCGGCTACAACATGCTCTATCCTTATACAGATGATTTTGTAGATTGTACTTCTGTATCTCAAGAAGCGAAAAAAGAATTTGCACAAATACTTCACAATCAATTACTCATTGGAGAACCAAACTATGATCCGAAGTCGCATTTCGACGGGAAACAATCGAAACTGACTGATTTACGATTGCCACCGTCACTACAACCATACATAGACAAAATTGGAAAGATATTTGATATGGTGAAGTCCATCGAAAATGACTGGACTCGTCGTGGTGAGCATGATGGTGTATACATGAGCTTGGCAACTATTCATGATTCACAAATAAAATCAACACTGCAACATGCGCGCCCTGACGATGGATACGAACCAACGATGGCTCAAATTGAACAGGTGAGCGCAGACAAAGGCGGTGCGTCTTTGATCGCGGCCGGATTTTTAATTGAAGGTCGTTTAACACGAGCTAAAATAGCATATCTGGAATATTTGGGCTTTGGTATGCAATTAGTCGATGATCTACAGGTCAGTACTTGGAAAAGTTCTTAATATTTCCCCTTATCTGAAAAGTTGTCATCGCATATGGATCTTTCAGTTCTTCGTCATTTGGGTTCTAACTCTACTTCATTCTTCTGAAAAACATTGAGTATACTGACACTTCACACATTTTGATTCGAAACTTTCCTCTGAGACAAGAACATATTTTTACACTACTTGATCCGTAGGACGTCGCATTAGACATGAAGAATAATCATCGAACAATTTTTACTCAATTGATTGCCGAAGGACAAACTTTAGATGCCCCCACAGCTCGTCTTATTCAATATTGGTACTGTTCACCTGCCTATAACAAGTTCACCGACGATCATTCAGGATCTTCAGATGCGGAAACTAATGTTAGTATGGCTCATTATGCTTATATTTTAATGATAAAATCTTGCATATTGCTTATTTTGGAAGCTGCCGCAAGACTACCACAATACTATTCAAAAGAGTTCTATCGTGAACTATCGACTCTGAGTCCCATACCTTTCAATTTTCTGAGACGAGTAGGCATAGAAAACAAGCTGATGGGAATTGTGCGAAACCAATGGTTCTAGCAACTCTCCAATGTTTAGACTGTGATCGTATAAGCCCCTGTAGTGGCGGAACCAGGATTTCAGTCTAGGGGGAACTCGGCTCCATCTTAATTATTCAAAGGCTACTTACGATAGTAAAAGTTTTTTGTTTTTGAAAACTGTCATGCTTGAGTCAGTTTTCTGAGCCCTAATATCTTATTCAATCAGTTCTTGCTCATATATTTATAAACATTATGTTTATATCAACATATGAATGGGATTCTATATTTAAATATATTTCATATCACTTAATCACATTAACAAAATTCTACCATTTTTATGTTGTATGGCAAATACATCAATAACCTTTTCAAAATCTATGTCAAATTCTCTTTCAATAGCCAATACACTAAGATCACTAAGTTTTTCATCGCCCATCGAATTTCGAGCATAATTTTTAATCAAAGTCATCCTGGAAAACGACCTTTCACATACGACGGACGACACAGGAAATGTGACAGCACCTTTGATCAAAGTGATTTATAATTGGTATCGATAGAATTACTTGAAAGACTTGCTCATAAAAAATGAAGAGAAAAAAGGTACCAAGTTCTTCTTAGTCGATTAAAAATAGGCAAACGGCTATGCTAACTTCTAGTATTTGCATTGAAATTGTTTAGTAAAGAAAGTTTGACAGCCTAAATAGCGACAAAATTTTCTAGAGGGAGCTCAGCTCCCCCTCTGACTCCGCCACTACGCCCCTGGCATTTTCTTATTACACAAGTTTTTGGAATTTTTATTCTAATAAATACTTGAAGCTCAGATGAAGTCTTCTTTATGAAGATGTAGATAAAAATAGTTGCTATAAGAGCATTTGTATATAGCTAGGAGTATGAAAGGATGCTAAGTGATGCAAAGAGTTCAAATGAAGACGTACAATTAAGTTAACTATATCCAAGTTTCTGTAAAATTTATGTTGTGTTATATATTACTGCTTAACTCATACATCTCGAACAGTTAAGCAAATGGCATTGTTTTTATTTACCATTTTTTGAATGAGCGTTTCAAGTATTGAAGATCAGAAACGAAAGCAGGATATGGCGACGCAGCCACCCTAATGTTCTGTATTTTTAAATGCAAATTTTGGATGAATTTTTACAAAATGTCCCTATCAATATTACAATACGCATCATCATTCATTAAATTTGATTGTAATATCACTGGGTGAACTAAATCAACAATAGAAACAAAAATCTGAGGAAAAAATGCATAGGAGATCTATGTACTCAATTTGAATTAGGGTACCATGTCAGTTAGCAAAAAGATGGCAGCTAATATGAAAACGGAAGTAAAAATTATTCGTTTACTAGTAAAACATTATACAACCTTATCATTGTTTAGGCTTAAAGATAGACAGATTCAAGCAGGGGGGAAGCGTATTTCCGTATTTCCATTTATTTCGAAAGATTTTCTATGTATTTCTATGTATTTCTATTGTATTTCTGTGTATTTCCATGTATTTCTATGCATTTCAGAACTACAGAAATACATAGAAATATGCTTTTCCCCGTTGCCTCAAATACAAATGAATACTTAAAAAAGGATGTGGATCGGTGTGGATGTGGGGTGGAGTGGGGTGCGGGAGTACTATATATTCACACCGACACCCACCCACCCACACCCAAAACGTTCTTATAGAAAATTTGTTCAAGATAATCAATGCGAATAGTAAATTTATTTAATAATTTATTATAACGACGATACATGATGTCTTTTGCTGATAATTGAATTCAATGTTTTAATGATAACTTGGACAGATCTTGGTTATAATTCAAGTGAAGATAGTGGTTCACAAAAAAAGGATGATATAATCTATTAATATAATTATTGCATAAATAACCATATAAGAACTATTCCTTATACAATAACTGATATCTGCTTACTTATTTGTCTTCATGATTGAGTTTTTCAAGATGATAGTCACATTCTTGATATGACTTCTCGTTTTCATTAGGCAAATACAAATATCTTTGTGAGATTTAAAAAACGAAATTCTGCAACTAAGTAATAGAATATAACATAACTTACCAGTTTCAATCGACAGCAATTGACTATTTAAGATGATGATTAAACATCGGTCGACTGATACAGTTGCTTTCATACTGCAATTAGGTCGAAAAATTTCAACTACAACATGGAAAATCAAAAAGCAAGTAGATTGCCGAATGAAGCTCATTAAGTTAGTCAGTTTACAATAGAGATTTATTCGATAAAGAATTTCTGATACACTTTCATTGAAATGTGGAATTGCATTGAAATGATTCATTATTTCCTGAAAAACTTCATTCGAAATTTGAATATCTTCTATTGCATTCGCCTTAAAATGAATATGCCAACTAAGAAAAGAACAAATTTAATATATATATATATATACAGATAAAATTATCCATTTACTCATCTAAATTGGCATCGTCTGAATAAATACATTTAAAAAAGTTTATATCGATTAATGGAATTCGTTTGATTAGATGCAAATGTGTTCCATCTCCAATAGTTACATATTTTCATGGCAGAAAAATATACGTACATCTAATATGGTTACCTGTTTTAAAATACACTGTTCGAAAATCGTTCATTGATAAGTTATATTTTACATAAAATTGCTCTTCATTCTGTTTTCCCTTTTCAAATCTGCATTAATATTTTAACAATGAAATAATCATATTTACTTTTAAATGTAACTGATCTTCATCAACACACGATTTTAACACTAGTGCTTTGCAATCGATACTAATCAATGAAGAATTTCTAAAATCAGAAGAACAATATTCCAATGAATAAAAGACAATATTAATATAAATATATAACTCTTTGTAAAATCCATAATCTGGAAAAATGATTGAGATTTCATTTAGCACAATATGCATATCAAATATTTTTGCACAAGATAGGTCATGTTCCATTTGTGTATGTGTACGATGTTTAATTCTAAGTCATAATAATTTCGAATGTAATTAATATATTTATCGAATAACATACTCAGACGACGAAAATGAATTCGATTTCACATTGTATTCAAAGTATTCAGCAATACGGTTAAACATTACCTAGAAATGCATGTTTCTTTTAATATTATTGTAATGCATTCTTCAATGTTCCTGTAAACATAATTCTATGCAACACTATGCTTAGAAGAACCATTAAAAATACGTTTTTCATAGTGAATCACATAATCAAATATTCAGTAGAACTGATTTTCATAATCTTGTTTAAAATTATGTTTTGATTATTTATTAGTTTTTTATGCTAACAGGAAAGATTGCCCGAAAGATACTCATTATTTTCATAACAGTCGAGCTTTACAATAACTCTAATCGGCGTCTGTCTTCATAACCACTTGTAAAAGAGAACAACTGGTAATTCCCGGTAACTCTCGAAGAAAGAAGTGCTAAAGTCTTAATCTATTTATTTCAATGTAAGTCACTAGGAATTTTATGTAAAGCATGTAGAGAATGCATACAACCAGCGAAAATGAAGAATACATTATTGATCCTTAAAAATTGAAAATTTTAAAGAAATAATCGCAATGGGGAAAAAGCGGTTTTGGGGGATTTTCAAGAATTAGTGCAGCTTCGCCGAATTTTTTTTCGCCGGCGACTATTTTCGCCGATTCCAACTTCACCGAATAAAACTTTTGACCGAAAAATATCGAATCAAATTTGATCCATTCTAGATATAGAATTTTATCCTAACTAACTACTTTAATAGTGACTTGATTAATTAACCCCATCTGAGTTGGTAACCAACTGACTTGGTAACCAACTGTGTTGATAACCCACGCACACACCCACACCCACACTCACACTCACATCTACACCTATTGGCACCTGTTTAAACAAAGCAACAGATATAATTGACTTGGTTACCAAGTCAGTTGGCTACCAAGTCAGATGGTTACCAAGTCAGTTGGTTACCAAGTCAGATGGGGTTAATTAATCAAGTCACTATTAAAGTAGTTATTTAGGATAAAATTCTATATCTAGAATGGATCAAATTTGATTCGATATTTTTCGGTCAAAAGTTTTATTCGGCGAAAAAAAGATTCGGCGAAGCTGGAATTTACCATTTTCAAAATCCCAAAATCCCATAAACTGAAAAGCACTTTTCCCTATGCGAATGACGTAGTTTCGATCTGAAATTCTTCCCATATATAGGTTTTATGGTCTATAAAAGATCCTAAAAGTTTCAACTCGAGCAAATGCTTCCTTCTTAAAATATTGAATTTTCAAAAAAACTGGATTTTCTGACCGTGCCGCGAAATGAGTATTTCTTGCGCATTCGTTATCTTGAGAAGGAAGCATTTGTTTGCGCTGAAAATTTTAGAATATTCTAAGAATCATGAGACTTACATATGGGAAAAAATTCAGATGGAAATTCCATCATTCACGTTTTGGATTTTGGGATTTTCAAAATCCCAAATCCGTTTTTCCCCCCTTGAATAATCGTATATTTGTACTAAGCACTTTTTGAAACAGTGATTACTGTAAAAGTTTCTACATGAGCTACTTGGGTAGCAGTTCATGGTTTTGAAATAAGTTGAAGTTTCTTTTTCTTAAATTATCTTCTAAGATTAAATTTCATGGGGATTTTCGAGCAATGACTCCTTTGAAAGATACAAAATGTTGTAGCACTTTAATTCTAATTGAGTTTATTGATATGGAATTCGAGGATAATTTTTTTATTTCTTTCCCATTGTATAGGTATGTTAGATGATTTTCTTCAAGCTTGTTTTAAAGTCGATATACTTATATTTATGTGAAAATAGTCGCCAAGATAAAGAAATATAAGAAAATATTCTTTTTAAGAATTGATCTTCATGAATCGACACCGTATGATCAAATTTATCAATGAATTTTTACAACATATAAACACTGTGTAAGTGCTATAGAACATAGGTTTTGTTGGGTCCTCTTTTAAAATATGTAGCTGTATCATCAATTAATACTTACGGCATCATAAATGATTGATATTGGTTGCACATTTAAATGGAAACGGTAATCAGATTTACATTTGTTTATTGGAAACAATTCAAATTGAAGATTCATTAAAGGAGAAGGAGTGTTTATGGTTGGTTTAACTAATAAGCGAATTTCATCTAAATTTTCCTCCCAAGCATATAAACGAAGATCGGGAACATGTATTTCAAGTCTTAAATAGTTTAAAAATAACTAATTAAATTAACTGAAAAAGAAAAGCTCTTTTCAAATTGACTTAACAATAGACTTGATGATATTGAGCACTTGGTTAGATTTATATTACCATCATTAATACTAACATAAGTTATTACGTCACGATCACGATGTTCCTTATCACTCAGTTCTGTTAGACAATTACTAAAAACAATACATGATTTCTTTAGATTGATTTAATTTTAGAACAACTTACTTATTGTTTCTTGATAATGGCGACAATAAATATAAATCAAGTTTATGCATACTGATGTTAAAAATTATATTTGATAACTAAACATTTTAAGCAAATCGATCAAAATAAATATAAGTATTCATAAAATTTACATCTTCAAAATAAAAACTATATCCATCATCACGATGCGATTCTGATGTTGTTGCTGACGCGCATGCTTCATCTTAAAGAACAATTTTATTGAATAAATATTTTTTGAATAGATTTGTATCTTTTTATGAAATATTGTCTGTCGTAGATTATTCAGAGAAATATTTATTGGGCTTAGAAAATTTACACTTTACCCTAAATAACGATAAAACAAGCTAAAATTATTAGATCGAAAGATGAGACTTATGAGTTTCTTTAAAATGTTTTGTCCTTTTCCATCTTGTTCTCAAAATCTGTGTTTATATTGTTATCGTTTCTATCAAATATTCAAATAATTTCATCTATCTAGGTTTAATTCCAAGCAACTCTATCGAACAGAATCGTTGTAATCAATCTACATGAAAAAAAGAGGATTTTTGAATGAAAAATTCTGTTTCACTATTTTTTCTACACCAAATTACTGCTACGATCTGTGAAAATCAATCGGAATACATACTGAAAAAGAATTGATCCGTAAATCATGGAAAAAATATACAAATTTACAAAAACGAAAACATTCATTATATTGGCATCAAGTTCTCATATTCTCCTGTATATATAAAATATAATTTGACATCTGAATTAAAATGTGCATTTTGCAAAAGAATTTTTTTTTCAACTGGTAAAACAAGGATACCATCGAAATTCTTAATTGATAGTAGTCTTCAACCAATATGCATCATTCCGTTCTAGAAAAGTTTTAATTTTAATAGCAAAAAAGATACAATTTTTCTGCTTCATATTTATTGTGTTTTTTAAACTCATTCCTAATTTTTATGTTATACGTATATTAAAACATTTGTAAGAGTGTTAATACGTACACGTACAACAAAATTGAATACTAGAATATTTTGATTCGAATATTCAAATAAAAACACTTCTTACTAATACTCAAAAACAAAACTCTTAATGTATACCATTATTAAGTTTTGGTCTTTTTCTCCACCATGAATTCCATCGATGATACTTATTTTTGTGTGTATCTTCATGTGGTGATCCAGTCGTCGAACGCTGTTCAATCTATTTGTATGAAAGAAAAACACATTCGTTTCAAAACAGCAGATTAATATTCAACTATACCTCGATTTCTACACTATGACGAATATAAGCCAAATTGAATGCATCTAATTTTGACTCAAGAATCTATTTTAAAAAAATAGCTAAATGGTACTATTTATCATATTCCAATATAAATAAATGTGCATCGTCTCTGAGACAAATAATTTTTCATCATGGCATGAAAGAAGAAAGAACATAATGATATGCGCTGTAAACGCTTGTAGTTAAGCATTCCTTTAATCGCGATTCTTAGCGAGAGATAGAGACGAAAGCCTTTTCACAGGTTTGCATCGGATGGAGAGGTTGATGGTGTAGAGAAGGCGTAAAGAATAATTTGACCATGAATTTACTATTTCAACGGTCAAGTATGGAAGTTGTTCTGAAATAGAATTGGGTTGTTGCGCGAAAAAAGAAGTTGACAAACTGTACATTCTCGATCATAAGATAGACCGCTTTTATTATCAACATATACTGGAGGAGAATCTGTTACCATCGATGCAGTAACTAGGATTTAGGAGTAATTTTACATTTATGCATGGCAACGATCCAAAAGATGCATCATATTTTATCAAAAACCAAGACAAAAGTATTACTTCGTCGATTTGCAGAATGGAATAAATCATGATGTCAGTTTTAACAAAGTCAGTTTGTTCCGTTCCTAGTAGATTTAATGAATGTGTCAAGGTGAAAGCCTATCCAACTCGTTATTAGGCTGTTCAACGTGTTTGTTTACTTTATGAAAATAAGACGGTTCATTACATCTTATAAAATAAAATTCTGACAAAGAAAAATGACTAGATGCTATGAACCAAAGAATAATACTAGTAGAATGCTTTTATTCTTGGCCCCTATCTAACCATACGTGAAAAACTGTAATGCCATATAAGGGTTGGGTGACTAATTTTCAATAATAAAGTCGACAAAAGTAATTAAATTATTTTAAGATTTAAAACAATAATGAAAAGTCCCATGAAAAAGACAAATTTGTACTATACATATTACAATCAAATTCGACATTAACTAATCTTACAGCTAAGTGAAAACCAACAAAAGCTGATTTTATTTACTTTGAGACGCTCTTTTTGTTCTTGATTCAATAGCGTATTATCAGTTGACTCTTGTAAATATAATTGTCGATATTCACGACATCGGTCTATATAAGATAAGCAAACGAACAAATAAGATTCAAATATAGAAACACGAAATAAAACCGTAAAGTGTTGAGTAGTTTTGAAACTTGGCAAAATCAAGTAAATCTGAAAATTGTTTTGAATCAATATTAAGTGCTAATTGTCCTATTTTAATGTCTATATTAAATGTTGATCGATCAAAATTATGTTCACCATCAGTTATTATAATAATCATATTAACATCCATATTAGTGGGATATAAAACTAGAAAAAAATACATTACTTGAATCATTTAAAAATTTTTCAACTGACTGTAATTCATATCAAAATGTTTCGCTCTACAGTATGCCGCTGCTATTTTAGATTTTAAATCATCCTAAAGTAAATTCAAATAAATAGTGAATTCAAATTTTTCTGTAAAAGATAGTATGAAAACAAAAAAGAATAGCAAGAACTTACTTATTTTTTGTCTATTTATTTAATGTTGCTTTGAAATTTAAAGAAAAATTCAGAAAACTCTACGCTGATATAAAAACTATGATCAAATTTTAACTTGAAACAATTTGCAATACCTTATTTTTATAAAAATGGTAAATGATGCAAATATTAACGATTTATTTTGCTTATCCTTAGCTTCCATATAAATGTTTAGCTTTAAAATTATTCCCTTTGGTTGTTAGTGTTTGGCTTTGATGTGACATTACCATTCATCGAGAAAACTTAACTAGTTTAATTGCTGACAAAAAGTTTACTTATGTTTTCTTCACGTGCATTGAAGCAAATCAGTCTAATACTTGTGTAGTTTCTTTAATCTTTTTTCGAGAAAAACTTGTTAATAGATACTATAATTTACTTCTTAATTATTAAAAGCTTACTATAACAGTATTGAATGGCATATTGATTCTCGATGTACATTTTACATTCCAATAAATAGATAATGAATTAAGCTCTTTTAACTAAAAGAAAAAAAAAACAGTCATGTATTGTTGAAATAGACAAAATTATTCCAATATATATATACGATATAAATAATCGATGTTCTATCTTTGTTTTTATTTCTCGTTTTACGATCATTATCAGTCTAAATTGAAAAAATTATTTTCTTGAAAAACAAATATAATAAAGGTGCTCTTATTACATTTAATTTAATAGAATGAATTGTGATGCCAAATGAAAATGGATGTCCGAGTTTTGTTGTTGAATTGGTTTCATAAGATATATGTAAATTTTCGGCAGTAATCTCAATATTTTGCATTATTTGTAATCTCTTGCGTTCAAAAAATGTCATTTCTTTCTCATCTAACTTTTTATTTTCTAACTTTGTTAAAATAATCATAATAGAATGAGTTGACTTTTCGATATTATTTAACTTACCTAACATAATTCTTCTTAGATTTTCAACTTTTTGGAGTACTCTTCTCATTTTATTGGCATGGTGTTCAGTCAAATCTTGATCAGATTCTATTAATGTTAAATAAAAATTTTAATATGTTTACTCAGTTATCGCTCAGGAATCATAGCCATCAAAATAAAAGGCTTGGGTAACGAAATATTTATTAATAAAGTTCCGACCATAAACGACAATTCTATATAAACAGTGAGCTGCCCACTTAATACCTTTAAATTAAATATTATACAAGAGATGACGTTTTTTTTACAAAGAAACGACTCAAAATCTATGCGAATGTTCACAATTTATATAGGCTTCTTTTATTTGCGATGAGACAATTGAATAAAATTATTAATACTATAAAATAACTCGAAGATGTCAACGACTCAATAGTAATTACTTTGATTCATATTGGATAGGTAATATATATTTAGTGTTTTTTAATCCTATTTGAATAGCGCGAGATTTTCAACGTTTCTTTTTCCGTATTACACTGAGCCACTATCAAAATTTAATTCATTTACATAGGTAGTTATAAAAACTTCTAACTATATATACAGTATTGTACTATATTAAAGTGAAATGCGAACGCTTTTTTGATTTTCTCTTCTATCTTATTCGTAACTACACTACTGTCAATATCTCATGATTTCATTCGATGTTGTTACTCATCAAATAAAGTTTGAATATGCTTTAATCATTTTTGTTCTGAAGGGATCAATTCTAGTGCAGAAATATATTGCTCGCTTAGTCATGGATTGAATGAATTAAAAAAAAGAAAAAACAAGACTTTGCAGATCTGAATCTATACTTAAAAAACATCTTTGTTTTTATGCACAGATAAATCATTTATAAATAAATTTGATATCTTGAGCAATCTATTTCTATAAACAAATCGTTCTATTCTCTATTTTCAACTATTTACTCTCACCATCAAAATGCTAAATCAATACCAAGCAACTGATTTACGAGTCTTTTCATGGTTATAATTTATCCAGAAAATCAGAAAGAATTGAATATCTTAGCAGATTTTTATGAACTTCTGGGCCTTCTGTTAGATATCCTTATGGCGAACAGAATTTTTACTAGTAAGCTATTCCGGTAACTTCTCGTTCATAATAGTAATAATACTGTCTTTTTTTATTTGAAATAATTAATAACTTTCTATATTTTTCATGGCATAGTCGTCTATACTACGAAAACTCTTAATTAAATTTTTTATGATAAATATCTACTTTATTTCTTGATTTTATCTAGGACAAATGAAAAATTAGTCTAGTTTTTATTACTTTCATATCATTATAATGACAGCTTAATAAACAGCAATATTTTTTTTCAGTGTAATGCTCATCGTATTCGCTGTGAAATCTTTCGAATAAAAGAAATTTGTAAAGTTATAAAGAAAAACAATTCACCATTTTTCGGCACAACCAATATGTAAAGTCCATTGATATGTACCTTTGTTGGATTGGAATGAAGATTCATCCATGGGATAGATAATGCTAATTTTTCTATTGAGTGTGAACAAAACTGTTTATTTCGATATGATAGAACAAAATGAAAGAAAAGCTAACCTACACAACCGGCAGCCACTGCTACAGGAAGATTAAGATCGGCCTGCGTGAGATAAAAATAGGATGTACAACAAACTCTTGCAAAATTTATATTGAAATGTTCAATCTGTTATGCATCGTAGCTGAAAGAAAAAGAGTACATACCAATGCTTCAGGTTTTAAACGAAGATTTTCCAAGGTAACCTTTCCTACAGAGAATTGTGACATAAATCGTTATCAAATAAATAAAACAAATCTAACCATGGATTAAGTCGAAATTCAACTTTTCATCGTCTAATTCTTCAATATAATTTTTGAGATACCTGTTGATTATGTAACGGATAATACTTTTTAATACCATTACGTTATTATTTCGATCTAAAATGAAATAATAAACGCAAAGTATACTGGGCGTAGGTTTGTCATGATTCCGTCATTATTACTGCATTACTAATATAGTTGAGTTAATTATAATGCTATTCGATAACTTTAATAATAATTGTCTATTTTGGATTAAAATAACTTTTTTTACACAATTTTTCTGAGAATACTGTTGAGAATTAGCACTCATGGTATTCATTTTCAAACGTTTAGAAAATTGTCCTGTCATAAAAGACATCTTATGAATTTCATATATAGCTGCTATTTATATCGAATGGCACCACGATGTGACGCTGATCCGGTCATTATACAATGTGAAAATTCATTATGATTGTAAATTTTACATGATGTTTTAAAGTAAAACAATTAAATAGAACAGTAGTTTTTTTGTCCAAATGTCTGCAGATATTTATTAATAAACCTAAATTATTCTCGCCAATATACAATGCTCTGAACACAATCAAATGAGAATACAGTATAGAACTACTTAGAGCGCCCCAAACGTATTGGCAGAGCTTCTTGTCTTTCTTATAAAAATATTTCTTTTTTTTTACCAATCTATAGGGCGTGGGTGTGTGAATGTGTAGGTTGTCTCAATGACTATCCAGGTGTCTAGGTTGTCCGGAGTATGGGTGTGGGTATGACTGCTAGTGTGTGCATGTTGTTCATTCCGTCATAGTCTTATCGATACCCAAACCCACATCCCAGACACCCAGATAGTTATTCGGACAACCCACACGTACACATTCACACATCCAAACACAAATTGACGTCCGCGTTTCTAGATCTCTGTAAACTCTATTGAAGCCCTCTGGAGATCCTATCAGGATATCTATTGAGTCCTCCATGGTTGATAACCTGTTTGGTAATGTCTTAGTTCTGTTATGTGAGAATTTGCGATAGCTGCTTAAAAAACTTTCAATTGTTAACAAAGTTTTTTGTAAAACCTGCTTTTTCCATACGGACAAAAAATTGCAAAAATCTACCCGCATCCTTTTGTAGAGGAGCATCTGACGAATCGAATGACGTAAAGAAATCGATCTAAGACCTCAAGAAAAAGCTGTGAAAAGTTTACGAAAACATGTCCTAGCAGTATCAAAAAAATGGTTTCTGGAGACCCTGGTGGATGAACAGTAAAGTTAAAAATGATGCGGAAGATATATTCTTGTTCAGCTTGAAGAGCTGAATCAGAATATATTCTTTTGAAGATAGTTCGATCAACGGAAGATTTTAAAAAGTCAATTTTTCGAAAAACAAAAACCTAAAAAATAGGATTTTTGAAAAACCTACGTTTTTTCCGGATTTTCGGAGTTCAAGGAAGCATCAAAATAAAATTAAGGACCACGTATTCGTGATCGCCACAAAATGCTCGATCCGATGACGTGAAAAAAAAGCAAATAAAAAATTTAGCTCGAGTTTTGCTGTGCATGCACCTTATATGCTTTCGGCGACGATTAATTTGTGGAAGTGTAAAAAGCGAAATTTTTTTTTCTCTAACATCCAAGAGTGGAAGGTTTTTTGCATACGCACATAAAAGCACTCCGCTCCATGTGTGACGTAGAAAAAAAAACTTCATCCTTGCATGCCATGCACTGATTAAAAGCGCTATGCACACGTAAAATGAGCCGATGACAACGAATAAATATGGTGTTCTCTGCTTTTATTTATTCTAGAAGAACATATACAATCATTATTCACATCAAGCACCGTTTCAGATGAAAACCATTATTCTAACATACATTTTGTATGGACACTTGAAAACATAGAATTTCTATGGACTCAATCGAAAACTATCCACGGTTAGTATGGTTGCATTATTAGATTAATAATATCTCTAAGATCTTGATAAATCAAGCTCTTTTATGGAAGCTTACGTGGAGAGTGTCTTCTTAGAAAACAACTAAAAAAATATTGAGAAATTTCAAAAAGTGATTTCGAATACTCTTGATTAGACGGGGACATATTATTTAACGATATCGCAAAATTAGCATTGCCATATGAATATTTGCAATGCTTTCATTAATTTTATTCAAGTAAAAACTGTACGATAAAAATCATTGATTATGTAGTGACAGTGAAATCGTACAACGAATGTAAAATACAGATATCGAAACAGTAAATTCATCCACATACTGATTATTGCTATAGGATGTTTGCATTCCAAACTTCCTCTCAAAGAATTATGTATTGAGTATAGTACACCCATTTAGAAGTCTCTGTTTCATACTATGATCATTTATCAATTGAGCGATTGGTTATCGGTAGATTAAATGATTAAGTATATACATAACCCTAAGCTATTGCTTTACGTTATGTAAGTATCAAAATATTCACGTAGAAGCAATGGCATAAAATCAAATGATTATTGATTTTCCTGTGATGGAAAATCTATAAAAATGACGCTATTTTAATACAAGATTAATCATAATTTAAACGAAAGAAACTGATTCTAGTTCATCATATTAGGTCACAGATCATGAAATGCGGATTGTAATAGTGTTATTATAATAGATTATTAAACGCAATCAGTCTTAGTTCGGATGATTATGCCTTTTCATTCCCATGTAAGCGCGAAACGCAAAGTTGATGCGTTGAAACGCACTTTTTCTATGCAACACGTTTAGACGCAATTAAAAAGAAAATGAGCAGTGTCTCAACGCGTTTCTTAAAAACGTTTAACGCGTCTTAGATATTTGTTCAGATGATGTTAAAGTGGGTTTGGTGGAAAAGGCAGAAAGGCAACACGTCGAAAAGGAAAATGTCGAGAAGGCAAATATAGAAGGAGAAAATACAGAAATTGTTAACGTCGAATAAAAAAAGTAGAAAAAGGAAAACGCCGGAAAGGTAAATGTCGAAAATTGAGTTTTTTGATAATCTTAAAGAAACAGAAAATTTTATTTTCTAAATTGGTGTGCATATATACGTCGCATCCATGTTCAGTACAAGCCCAATACGCTTTTGATGAGGACGTTTTGTTGCATTTGAACATATATTTGTTAAACACTAGTAATGGTTTACCTTTATTAGTCGTTAAGAATAATATTTCACTGTCCATTGCCAACGACCAAAGAGAAAATTATTTGTTAGCTGTTTTCGACAGACTGATTTATATATAAGGTATACGCTACCAATGAACAAGTATAGATTATAGACGACAAGGGCAGCGAATTTAACTTATCCCACTAGCACCCAATAGCAACTCAAGAAACAAATTTCGTTATCTATAGACATCTTTTTCATTCTACGTTTTCCTTTCGACGTTATCCTTTTCGACGTTTTCACCTACTACAATTACCAGTTTCGGCATTTTTCTTTTCTGCCTTTTCCACCAATTCGGTTAAAATAGACGAAAATTTAGTGAAGCATAAACCATATAATCTTGAGGGCGTGGGTGCCTGAACAGAAAGACTCACACTTTCACATCAACATCCAGCCACCCATTACTAATAAAATATGCACGTTTTGAACTACCTTCATCAAACTTCTTCAACATTTCCATGCAGTAGTCAGCACTGTCCTGTCTTTGAGATTTATTTAAAAGCCACAGTACCCAACGACAGATGATTTTCTGAAGTCAAGATAATCGTGGAGAATAAGTTTGGCTACTGTTAATTCAATATGGATCGTGGCCAGTTGACGAATAGTTTAGACATTTTCTGAATCGATAGCAATACTTAATCAATTTTGCACAGGGTTCTTCTTCAAAATGATCTGTTGCGTTATAATTCAGCAAACAAACTGTAAACGGTGGTATTTGACATACAATGGTCACCAAATACTTTTAAAATAATTCAAGATATTCTTATTGTGATAGTCCCTTTTTCTAACCAAAGCAAGTCATGACACGAATTAGGTCTTATGCTAGATTTATTGCAATGTGAAAAAAATATTATAAACAGTTTGTCATGTGATTTGTAATAAAATAAAAAGAGACACTTGCGCAATAACTTAAATCGTGTAGCCTCATTAACCTAATAAAGAATCTAAAAACTTTTAGAATGAACTATTTATATGACTTCGATTTTTAATTGATTTGAATATGCATAAAGCAACTAATGAATCATATAAATCGATAGATGTCAATCTATCACAACAAAGTATCGATGATTTGTTATTGGTTTTATGTTTCCTCTTTGATGGTCTTTCTTCGACCTTCTCTATTATTATTGCTTTTTGTACTTTTTGTAGACTTCATATACATTTTTGACAAAAACATCGTGAGTGTAATTTTAATTCAACTCTCTTGATTTCACTCGATTTACTCTAAACAACACCCACTGAGAAACAAGAAAGACCAGAGCCTATTGTCTATACTTCAATAATAATTTAGAACAACATACGTCGGGTTTTATTTCCAGAGTTTGTTGCGCTAGCATCATAGAATATCGACAAATGTCATAAATGACCGATCAATGCTATCATTTTACTATTGTAATTATTCAATGACCCAAAGACAACTGAAAGTAAAAGTTTCTTTAACAATTAGTTATTTCTTGAAAAAGAACTCTAGTTGACTAGACATTCTCTAGACATTTCTAGATGATTGCTTGCATTTTGATTGTGAAAAAGAAGTGTTTACTAAAATTTTACGGAAATTTTCACAAATGTACGATACCAAGCAGGGCTCGCAACGGGCCGCCAGACCCGGTGGACCGACCCGGACCGGCTTGCTTTATTTTTTTCTTATTAATCGAACATAACTGGTGTGTCAGCATAAATGACGGTCTCAATATTTCTTCAATATTCCTTTCAGCTTTCATAGTTTCGGACTGACTTTTATACCAAAAGATTCAGCCTTGAATGCTCTACAAAACCATAAAAAAATGAATCACATGGAGATAGAATCAAAGCAATTATTGTAGTAATACTTCTAACAAACATCGATATCAACTTTAAAGAACTTGTATTCAAATTAATTTGCGTTTTTTCTTGCTAGTGAAACACTTTTAGAAAGCTTCAAAGTAATATTTCTGATGCGATGATGAGCGCACTATATAATGAAACATACGAAAGAATATTTCAACAAAAAAAGATTGACAAAGCATTCAGTTTTTTGGTCATTTAGTCTGCCTCTGGCATATTTCGGCATTTTATTTGAATCTAGTCGATAGGAAGTGATACTTCTGCAGAATTAATGTATAACTCCATGATATTCCATAGTGCCAGTCTGTACCTTTAAAAAGAGACAGAAAGTTTTCACCAAAAAATAGTACTTGGCCGACTAATATGAATTTTTCAAGAAAACGGAAAATTATTGGTAAAAACGCGTTTTTTAGAAAATTTAAAGAAAAAGTAATACTTATTTTATCCAGCATGTTTTGATTATTGAATTATTTCAGTATACGAATAAGATAGACCTTTTGAAGCTCTACACAATCGGGAGTTCAATTTGCCTCTATAGCTCGATATGAGAACACATGAATACAAGAAGTTGTAGTTCGTGCTCTAAAGTTGTTGATGTTACTTGTTTTGAGTATTAATGCCATAATTTTTTTGTTTCTATCTCCATACGATTCATTTTTTATGGTTTTGTAGAGCATTCAAGGCTGAATATTTGGGTAAAAAAGTCAGTCCGAAACTGTGAAAACTGAAAGGAATATTGAAGAAAAACTGAGACCGCCATTTTTGCCGATGCATCCGTTACTTATGATATTTTTGGTTATCATATGAATTATGTGATCTTATGAAATTTATTAAGAAATCAAAGTCATACTGTGTACATGTAGGTAACTTTTTCTAAATACTGCATTAAGTTTCAATCTTATTAATCTCAAATATGATTAAAAGATAGTTCATCGGATTATGTCGGTCCGGTCCGGTCCGGTCGGTCCAGACAAATCAACGGGTCGGGTCGGACCGGACCGTTGTGATTAATGTATCGGTCCGGGCGGGCCCATCTAGTTGACGGGTCACAACGGGTCGGGTCGGTCCATGAAAAGTTGGACCGTTGCGACCCCTGATGTCTACCATTTGTGATCTGCCTTCAACTATTTCTCCATTGCCAAGTAAAAAAGCTTGAAGAGATGAATTAGCTGGTTTAAAAATCCGCTTTGTTTTTGACCAGAAGGGTGCTGATGTTTGAGCTGGTAAGAATCGTGTTGCTATGCCTTATCTAAGTTGATTGGATCGAAATAGAGTAATCTCCTTCCTAACAGATTCTCGTAGCGACTTCGATAACTTTCTCATCTCGAGATCACCAGCTCTTTTAGCTCTGAAAAAAATTTCTCGTTGTATTTGGTAGTGCTATTTGATATTTATTAAGAAGAAAGTCGACCGTACATCTAGAAATAAGAAGTGAAAGAAATGAAACGTATTCCTTATAGGCCTCATTCAAGTTACCCTCAGCCCAGACCTCTTGCCAGTACTTAAAGACATATGATAGAAACAAAGAGATTACATCCCAATGTGTATTTTTTCCCCTAACTTGTTCATCTCTGCCACATGACAGTGTGCTTAAGATTTGTTTATGGTCACTTGAGGAACCTCCTTCATACGTTTGAATGCTTAATGGAACTCCGTTCGAAAGAGCGTAGTCGATTGTGCGATTAGATGCTAGTGATGTAGCTGCATCTGGAATGCATGGTGCTAACGAACAAGCGTCAGTCCATTGAAGTAGTGCTTCACTTGATTGCGTATCATTATTCATGTCGACATTAAAATCTCCTAATATTATACATTTGTTGAAAATGAGATTAGTGAGATCTTTCCAGTTCCATGATTTACTTTCAGAAGCGTAAATGCCTATAATCCTGATTTTTTCACCTAACATTAAGTCTAATACGCATACATTTGGCAGACAAGTATCAATTCTTTTAGCTGGAATACTTCTTCTAATTATGGTTACTACACCACAAAAACTGTTTTCTCCCTTTTGATAAAAAAATTGAATGCTCTGGGAAAAGTTTTTCCATCCAGATGATATCTATTATCCCAGTTTCAACTAGTATGGTGACATCGAGTTTAAGTGAGCTAGCGAGAAGAACAACTTCATTGCATCTATGATTAAAACCACGTACATTAAAGGACATACATTGCAAGGAAGAGAAAGAAACACACGTGTCTGTGAACACATATTTTGACCGCAGGTTCAAACAAGAAGAAAGAAGAGTGCAACTTTCCCATTCCATCAAAATACTTTTGAACATACAAGAATCAAATAACGAAAGCTTAGTTTCTGCAAGTTGTATAAAGTGTTCATGATTGGATAGCTTGGGAAGAGGGGTACATGAAAACAAAGAAATTGCATAAGGCGACAGAGACATTATAGTTTGAGTCTTTTGTCCAAATACGCTTTAAGCTCGCTTTTCCATAAACCACTACGTGACCTAAAGTCTGCATCCATAGCCATACCATCTTTAATATTCAGTTCAGTTAACACCGTGATGATATCATCTAATATCGGGATAAATAATTTTTCAATGACCTTCACTTGATGTTTAAGTTCTTTATCTAATCTACCATTAGCAAGTTGTGCAGCTTTAATATCATTTTCAATTTTGATATCATTTTTTTCTTTTTTGGTAATCCATTCTTCAATAACTTCAGTGCGTTTGGTTAAATCACCAATTGTGTTTTCGAATTTGGTCATAGAGTTGAGAATCTGGTCTAGCTTTATCATGATTCCATTTTTGACATTTGTTGATATGTGATAATTGATGCTTGATTGTTTGCTAGCTTGTAGCAGTGGCGGAAATTGTAATGATGGATCGGCTTGTCTGTTACACGATTGTTTGTGTGTAGATGATAAAAGTGTTTTAGTTAAATCTGACCTAAACTGTTTAATCACCATGCATTTTAAATCATTTGAATGGTGTGCACCACCAAAGTGTAGACATTTGACCAC